TGCGCTCGCCACACCGCCGCTCCCTCCACGCATACGTCCGACTCCCACGACCGTCTCTGAGCTCGTCGGCTTCCTCGTGCACAGCGCATGCATTGCTCTCTGACGATATGTTTCGGCAGGCAGGAATGCAGCACTCAATCCGTCACCTTCGCCGCCACTTGCCGCGGGATTCCCGTGCGGCGGCACAAGGCACATCGAACAGATCGATCTTTCATATTGGCTATGCTTTGTCACCGCCCGCCGTGGCACCACGCACGTACGAGACTTCGCCCAGCGCACTCACAATCCATCCGACTTTGGCGCTACGTCCAGGCGCCTTCTTGAGCTTCTTCTTGGCGCCGCCTCCATCGGCCGCGTCGAGTACGCCCAGACTCGACCACATCCGTCGGTTGGCCGTCGCCGTGAGCAGCGCGCGCTTCGCCGCCACTGCTTCCTTGTCGCATGACGTCAATGGTGCGTACACGCCGGACGAGACTGCCGTCGCGAGCTGCTTGGACGCGCGAGATGTCGCGATGGTGGCCGCGCCACCAAGACATTCCAGGACAGCTCCTTTCGCGACACCAGCACTCGCCGCGCTGGCTTCGATGCCTACACACAACACGCTCTCAACCTGGACGTGATCACGGGCCACACCTCCTTCCACGCCGCCGTTGCCATGGTGGTCGTCTAGCGGTCCCGTCGGCGCGGTTGTGCCGTCGGCTCCGGACGACGACTCTGTCGGGCCGAGGAGGGTCTCGGGCGGCGGGGCGTCGAGATCATTCCGTCGAAAGTCGGGCCGTTGGCCGTACGTGTGCGCCGCCGGCGTGCACTGGCACACGTTGTGGCACGCGCAGTGGGAAAAGTGGCACTTGGCGCCGCGTTGGCACACGCCTTTGTTTTGAAAGTCGTAGCACACGCCTTGGCCGGTCGGTCCGCCGCCGCCGCCGCTTTTTTTCCACTTTTCGATTTCGTCGGGCGCGAGGTTTGGCGGAGGCATCGACGACAGCGTCGGTCCAGTCGCGGTCGCTGGCGGCGCTTTCGACGGGTATTGGTGGTGGTGGTCCGTAAAGAAAAACTCGAGCTCGTCGCTGCGAATCGGGTCGTGCACGAGCGCTTTCTCGAGCGCGCCGACGTGCGCTCGCTCGTGGGGCCGACCCATGTCTTTTCGCACACGGATGAGCTTCCAACCACCTGCGACACAACTCGTGAGAGACGCTGTGACCCAGCGCACGCACCTTTTCGATACCCCACGCCGTGCACGTCATGGTGAAAGTTGGTGTGGCCGCTATTGTCGCTCTTGTCGTCCGACGGGATAAATGTCGGCATGTCCGGGTCGAAAACACACTCGATAATGCGGTGGGACACCTTCTTGTCGGCGCAAAAGTGGTCGTACGCGTCTGCATATACGGTTGACCATGACGTTTATGCGCTGGCGCCGCCACCGCGGCGCGGCACATACCTTGAGGAAACGTGATCCAGTCGTAGAAGACATTCATGCCTTTGTCAAACACGTTGAGTTTGAAAACAGGTTTCTTGGGCCTACAACGCGGGAAGCACATGCGAGAGAAAGGTGCTCGGTGTACATGCCGCGCCAGTCGACGCCGAGCTGGAAAAAGGCGGAAGCCGCGGATGGATACGTCCAGTAGTACACGCCTTTGCTGTGGCCAGGAGCGTACGGCAGCGAGAGCGGGATGAACATGAGTCCTGACGAGCACGATTATCGAGACCGTCGAGCACGAGCGGCGGTTCAAGTACCTGCGTGCTGGACGGCTGTGTTCGTTGGCACCGGTGTGAGCTGTCGGACCGAGCTCGCCATCTTGTTCAATGGTCGGTTGGGTGGGAAGAGCAGTGAAAACTGGCTCGGGGGATGGCCCTTGGCCATGGGAATTTTGAGCAGCGGACTGATGACCGAGTTCTGGATCGTCTAGAGAAGCGCATACAAGAAGCACGTCGGCACGACGCGCAGACGAGAAAAAGGGGAGCGGGTTGGATGGATACCTTGAGGCGGTCCTCGAGTTTGAGCGACATCACGGACACGCCGTTCATCGCAAGCATGTCCGAGATGACGTAGCACAGCTTGTCCTGGTTGAGCACAAGCGTGCCATCGAGAATCGTCCATACGTGCTGGCTCGGCTCGTTCTCACTGGCGTTTGCCATGGACTGCGGTCGGTCTTGTTGCCGCAGCGGCGCAAACAACCACGTCTCGCGGATCTCGTAGTTGTGTGCGATAAAGTAGCAACGTCCTGACACGAGAAGCGCCAAGTACCTACCATCCACGCATCAACGCCATGCCGGTGCATCGACCCACGACAGACACACACGCACCGGATGCCGGTCCATAGCGACCCCACGAGATACCCGAGGTCGACAATTTGCTTTCGATGGGACCGGAGCATGGGCATGCTCGTCGACATGGGCGCAAGTTCCCGCGAGTTCCATCCCAAGAGCGCATTCACACGGTCTTGCACAGCATTGCGTTGCTGGGGAGTTAGCAAGAGCCCGACTTCGTCCGGGATCGGCGCGACCGTCGCCGCGCTCATTGCACCGACGACAAAAACTGTCAAAATGGATATCCTCCCGTCAAAACCTCTACAATCGTATATGGGAGCAAAGACATTCCGCGTTTCGCCGCCGACGACACGATGCCCGAGACGTACCAGAAGCACCAGCGGTACATCCTGCGGCGGTTCCCGCCCTTCCTGGACGACACGATGATCGAGCACAACGAGAAGTTGCGACTGCTCTTCATCGTGCTCTGGTCCATGTTGATCGCAGTGCCCACGATTCTGGCAGCGTACACGTGCAACTACTTTGTCAAGGAGCCGCTGTTCTACTTCAGCGTGCTCATGGTTCTTTTCGTCCTCGCGCGCGCCTTGGTACGTGTGTGGCGACGAATCTAATTGTTGTCCTCATGACGAAGCTGTGTGTCGTAGCATCGGTATTGTGTGCGGTGGCCGGAAGGACATGCGAATCGTTGGAGCTACTGGGCGGAGGTACGTACGCGCAATGCATGCATTCTGTCCACCAAGCTTTTCAGCTTGATGAACGAACATGGCGACCAGATTGAGCTCGCGACGGCGCCGTACAAACTGAAGATATTGGGATACTACCATCGCAAGATCGACCACTTTCTCGGCCATTTCCCTCGTGGCACGACGGACGTCGACATCAACCGACACTACAACATTCGCACGGGCATCACGGCGCTGCTCTTCTTCGCCGCGTTCGTTGTCTCCACGGTACGTCCTGTCGAGTCATGGCGACTTGAAGGTCATGAGTGAACGACGTAGGTGCTGTTGGCGCACACGGAGGGTGACGACTACTCACAAGTGTTGATCTTGTACGTTTTGAGTGTCGCGTCCGTGTGCGTGCTCTTCTACCTTGGGAAGGTTCATTGCATAGAGCTTCCTCAAGTGATCTTGCTGCGCCATCGACCGGAGGTACGTCCCGCGATCGATCAGGTCGCAGCTCCCATGGCAATCACAAACACGGATCTGTGTAGTTCGCGTCGGATGTTCTGTTCAGTGAATTGCATGACGAGAAGATCCCCTTTGCTCAACCGGTGTCCGACTACTACACCGCTCGATAAAGCGGCGGCCGCGCCCGCTTTTGTTGATGTTGCCAGTTACATGTTGGACTCATGGTTAAATATTCACTGTCTTTCATTGGTCAAATTACTTCCAATTTCAGCGATTTAGAGAGTTTTAATTGGTTATACAGTGAATTTTTCTGAAAATGCCGATTCCGTTGGCTAAAATCCATCCTTGCAGCGCGGACTTTGAAATGGACGCGTGCCGCCAAATTGCGCGGGTGCGCGAGAACTGGGTGCGACAATGCGAAGCACATCTGACTGCTTTGACGCGGACGATGTCGAGGTATGCATCCATATGACGTCTGGAGCGAGTGTCTACGAAGCATGATGTGGTTTGGGGGATAGAGCACTCCCCAAAGACGAGCAAGACGAATTCGTCATGGCACAGTTCTTGTTTGCCGACATCGAGACATCGTGCGAACCGTCCCTGCCGCCCGACCTCGCCAACATGCACCGCGTTGTGCTCCAAGGGCGCTATTTTTTGCAGGTACTGATGTACGCCTCCCGATTTATGATGGCTGGAAGCATCCGCATTGCTCACAGCATCGAGTCACCCCCACATGCAGATAGTGGACATATCAAATGTTGCTGCAGGGCACGAACAGCGGCAAGAGGACTCGCCGAACCGCATGCTGAAGCTATGTCTGACGGATGGAGCGTCGTTGGCCTATGCGATCGAGTACGTTTTTGACCATTTCTGAAGGACTCAGCGTCCTTGCAGACACAAGCCCATTCGCCAGCTGAGCGCCAAGACTCCGCGCGGCACAAAGGTATTCATCCAGATGCGCCGTGCTCCGACTGATGGCGTCATGACATGCAGATCGTCATCGAGAACGTTGCAGTGCGACATGGCCTCCTCATGCTCACGTCGGCAGTAGTGCTTGGCGCGAGTGGAAACGATGCTTTAGAAGGTACCCCATCGGCGACGTCTCTATTGCCGAGCGAGTACGTCCCTGCGTCGACTTCTCATCACGAGTTACTTGGCAACCGTCTCAACCGAGCTGTCACAGACACGACAGAGCAGCGGCACCCCCGTTGCCACCTCCTCCTCCATCAGCTGCAGCAGCCATCGTCAACCCTCTTCCTCCCGTCACCATGCCAACTCCCACCCCTGACAAGCCGTGGGACGCCGATCTTTCGGACGAAGAGCGGTCGACCGACCCATCGATCCGCCACTTGTTCTACGAGCCACCACGCCTTGCCACGTCGTCTGCCCGACCCCGCGCAACGTCCAGCGCGCCATCTTCGACGTCGTCGCTGAAAGCCGCAGCGGATCCGATGACTCCGTTTACGTACCTCTCCACCGTCAACGTGGCAAGCGCATCTCGTGTCATCGTCAAGGGCTTTGTCAAGTCGGTCGTGTCCTTCCAGTTCCAAACGGGGGTGTACCAGCTCAAAGTGTACGTCGAAGATGCGACGCGGGCCGTCTTGGTCGATGTCGATCCCGTGGTAATCGTCCTCCCGATCGACACCGTTGACGACGTCCTGCGCCAGTTTGTCCAACAGCTCATGGGCGTGCCGTGCGCGACATTTGTCCACGCCATGCAGGCCAACACCCCACAAGGCATGCAATGGGTTGCGACCATGCAGCACAAATTGTCTGTGCTGGAAGGACGGCTGACCATTGATTTCACGTCGGCGGCGTGCCAGGTCGAGAATCCGTGTGGGTTCCAACTGACTCGACGCTGTTGTAGCCCACCCTTGTATCGAGTGAAGATGCAACGATCGCAACGACACAGGCGCTTCTAGCTCGGCTACAAGCAACGGCCTAAGTGAGTCTCGGTGGCTTTGGAAAAAGACGCGTGCAACATGTGTCGCTAGTTGGCACGCTTATCTTCGACAGCGGGCGATGGGGTGCGTTGTGGCGTGGCTGGCGTAAAAATCTTGGCAGCGTCCAGTTCTTGCATCAGTCGTGTGTACAACTCGTCCGCGTTGAACGCGAGTTGCTTGTTCGCTTGCCGTCGTTGGTACGAGATTACGATTTGAAGCATGAACGCATTCTCTTCGTCATATTCGAGCTACGTCCAACATGGCGTGCGTCACCACCACGATCCAAGCCGCCGCACACGCACCTGGACGGTCGGGACGGTCCCGCCCCATTCCTTTTGGAACTGTTCGCTCCACATGACCTTGGCGACCTTGACGTTGCCATCGTACACGTGGGACTCGTCCTACCGACGGCCGTCACCCCACTCGGTCGACGATACCATCCCCGCCGTGCGCTCGGGACCATCCATGGAACTCGACAACACCATGTCGTACCGAGATGTTTTTCGTCCGCAGGAACGTCGCCAAGAGTTTCATGTCGATCGGCACTTGCTTGGTCATGCGGATGGTCACGATGCCCTGGGACCGGTTCACGAACGTCTTGAGGAGAAAGAGGAGACCCGTCGCGACGGCGGCCCAAAAGAGCAAGCTCAGGACAAACCTGCTCAACACAAAAACGAACGGTCACGTCACCACCAGCGCTGCGGCGCGGTATGACGCACCACAGACCCGGATTGTCGAGAACGAGCGGATTCAAAAACGCTTTGGCCCAGTTCTCGTTGAGAAGGGACCAGTCGCCGGTGAACTGGTGCAAGATCTGAAACGCGAGCGAACCGGACAGGACGACTTGAATGAGCTGGAGCGTTGTCGCGGATCGCTCGTTGATCGTCTGGAGTTCGCACAAGCTTCGCGTGTGGTATCGAATGGCTTCGTGTTGCTTGTAGATGCGGTCTTCGCTAAAGATCGTGCTCATTTCGTTCAGGACAGCCAGCTCGTGCCGAGCGCCGTCCATTTTCTTCTCCAAGTCCTTCACCCGCCGCTTCAGCTGCGTGCTCAAGCTCTAGGGCAATCGACCACGATGAGCATGCGCACACAACGCGCCGTGGAATCGCGCGAAGATGGCCCACACACACGCGCGCGATCGAATTTGCAACTCGCCCTGTCAAACGATATACCGGCCCTCCCCCAACTCGACACCGGCAGACACGCACACAAGCTCGCATCGCGACGTACCCCAAGCTGGAGCCGTTCGTAGAGGGCCCGGCCCGCCTGTTCGGGGGGTTCCGGCGGGATCTCGGCGTCGTCGAGGGACTCCCGCAGGAACCCGAGTGTCTCTTCGAGCAGAATAATTTCCTTGGACAGGACCGCGAGGCGGCGGCGAATGTCCGACAATCGATTCGGGTCGCGCTCCGCGACGTCGATCATGGTGCGGACAGTCTTCATGTCGTCGACCACGATGAACACGCGCGCAAAGAAATTCTGCGTAAACAGGTTCATGGACTCGTACTCGAGGAACGAACACAGGAGCGGCTCGTGGTGGCGCGAGTTGGGGCCGGCAATGAGGAGGCCGAACGCGCCAAAGATGAGCGTGTCGTGCTCGGAAATGTCAAACGCTGCGCGGGTGTCGCCGATCACTTGCTTGAGCTCGTTCTCGTACTCGCCTTTGTCCATGTACTCTTCGGCGGTCAAGTGGGGCGTGATTTCGTTGGCAATGATCAAGTTGATCTTGTCGCGATTCGAATCTTCGTTCATAAAGACGAGGCCGAGGAGGCTGCGCTGGTACGCCGACAGGACCGAGTCCACGATCTGCGACGAATCCTTCTGAACGTCGACGAGGAGGCGCGAGAGATGGTCGAGCGAAATGTTGTCCTTGATACGGTCCATGATGGCTTCGACCTGCCGAACACCGACTGTCACAAGAGGGGATCGCACAGGAAGACGACGCACTTGCATGCCGTAGAAACACGACCCCGACGCCGTCAGCGAGCACCCGAATGTCTCGACTTGGACGACGCCCGGCGCTTCGGGGTAATGGATGTCTGCTTCAAAGTTGACGTGGTTTGTCAGCGAGTAGTCGAGGATGTGGACCGACGTGAGTCCCGGGTCGACGGAAATCTGCGTCCCCGTGGCATTGCCGTCGACGACCGACGTAAAGAACCCGCCCTAGACGGACGTTGGCGGGTTGCACCGGATGCCATGGGAAGCACACACGTACCTGGACGCGCTCGGTGGAGCCGAGGTTGCAATTGAGCTGGACGAGCTGGTTCGCGCCAAACGGGATAAACTCGGCCACGATGAGCGACACCGAGTTGAGCGTGATGATTTCGTCGAGCTGGTCCTTGATCGTCGAGTCGCTGAGGCCGCACTCGTGGGCGCGATGCGCGTTACTCAGGGTCGGCCGCCCGCCGCGCCGCAGGCACTGCGGAACGTACGCACTCGACACGTACGAGACCGTCTCGGTTTCGGTGACAGACGACACACGGCGATACCCGCTCTCGTTGTCGACGAGCCAGTATTCGTGGCCGTCCCATTCCACCCGCAGCAGGTTGCGCGTTCCTGGGGCGTAGGCCTAGACCAGGCACACCAGCATGACCCACGGCCGACCCGACAACTCCACGACGACGAGGGGTCGAATCGATGGCGCGTACCATGCCGTGGATGGGGGCCTTGTCGCTTTTACCGAGCTTCGTGATGAGTTCCTGGCCTTTCTCTGAGATCTGGTAGCACGTGACGGGCTGGTACGACTTGGACGCAAGCTTAAGCCCATTCAAGAGCTCTTCTTCGCGCAGAAAGTCCAAGTCGGACTTGCCTTCCTGCGAGATGTTAAAGTACTTGCGCTTGTTCTCAACGAGTTCGGACGCCGGCGCGTAGTCGTAGTCGACGGCCTGGGACACGATAGCTTCGTAGAGAAGCACGAGCAGCGCGGGTTTGCGGATCCATTCTTCTTTGTCCGTCGACAGGATCGCTGGCTTTGTGTAGAGGGAGATGAGGTACAACAACCGATTTTGGTTCTCCGTGAGGCCCTACGCACACACCAGATGAGATCTCTCCGCCCACTGTCGTGTGCCATACTGTGTCTTCTTCGTTGGTGTCGCTCTCGTCGTCAACGTCGTCTTCGTCTTGGGCTTCGACGGCTGCAAGTTCGGCCTTGGCGGCTTCTTCATCTATTGCGTTGGTTGCAGCCGGCTACGAGACATGACATGATCATCCAACCCAAAGGAACATGTGCGATGCCTGTGAGGAATAGCGGGGACGTACCTCCGCTGCGGACGTCTTTCCCGACGCCTTGGACGACGTCGGCATCGGAGCGTTACCTGTTTGCCGCTTGGCGCGTCGGGTCGGTTACGAAAGTGACGTCCAATTATAACTCCGAAGGTAGCATGTTATACCAAGTCGATGAATAAAATTGTTGGAATTTATAATCCTATGAGAAGCAAGTTTTTATAAATAACATCACCCATCAACATAGATGCATTTAAAAAATGCATGGTTGCAGTTTGTATTAAAGATTGGACATTTTTCATCAAGTCTAATGGAATTATAACAAACCGTTGTCAAGTGAGGAAGTCAACATGAAGACCTACGAGTCAAGCGACGGCCGGCATGAGGGTGGCGCGCTCGAGCCGCTGGACGAATGCGTCGCGATTTACGTCATTTAGGAGAAACTCGAGTTCGATCTCGTGGAACGCCGCGACGTAGTTGCATTGGACAAAGCCTAATCTGGAAGCAGACAAGCAAGGTGAGGGCGAATCATCCATAGTGTCGACACGAACCACACGTACTTGCGGAACAGGCCCAACGAAGCTTCGTTCGCTTCGTTGATCTTGCAGTAGAAGCGATGCACTTTCCAGTGTACGACGGCGTACGACATCATGAGCAGGACAGCTTCGCGACCGATGCCTTTCCCTCGATAACGCGCTTCCGCCACCATGATGTCGATTTCACAATTCGCCACGTCTTCGTCGTCGTTGAAGAACAAGTTGACGTCGCCAGCCATTTCGTCCTCGGTTTCCTCGTCACCTGCGTCATGGGCGAACACAATGAAGGTTGCTTTCGTTGGGTCCTCCCGCCAAGTCACCTGCATCTGTTGCTCTTCCTCCAGGGACAGCGGCTCCGACGCCGTCATCTCCAGCAAGAACGGATCCTTCATCCACTCGTGGTACTTGAGCACATGTCGGGCCGCGTACGGAACCAGCCGGACACGGTCTCCTTGAACCTTCACCGCAATGCGCATCGAACAATGACACAATATCACAATAATGGCGCGGAATTCGTCGACGCTAGCCGGATAAAATGGAATTATCCGTATAAACTTGAAAACCCGAGTATATGCAAAGGAGAGCAGCGCCGACGTCTCACGCGACTCATGCAGCTGGACGAGTATGCGATGGTGGAGGCAACGTGGAAGATGCGCTGCTCGTCCTCGTGGAACACGGATGGGTCCTACCAAGCACAGTGCTCTTCGTCGTAGTGACAAAGCACCCTCGACTCATAAAACGGCTCCGAGGTAACACGCACGTTGCGTGATTCCATGTGCGACGACGATCTCATTCCTTGCATGAACGATGCAGGGGGTATTCCTAAGTCGCTCCGCCGTGCGTGGTGGGTGACCATCGCGACCTCGGACAATACTGGTGACATGACGGCGCTTCTTGGACACCATCCCACGATATTGCCCTTTCTTGACACGACCGGTCTGGACGGCATCATTCTCCGAGACCTTGACCGTACATTTCCGTTGGAGCCGCTTTTTGCATCGACACATGGCCCCGCCCTTTTGGCAAACGTCCTCAAGGCCGTGTCCGTGCATGTGCCTGAAGTTGGATACTGTCAGGGCATGAACTTCGTTGCCGCCAAGCTGTTGCTGTTGTGGACATCCATCGATTCATCCATGTTGCATGTGGATCGAGACGCTTTTCATGTCGTGTCGTTCGTCGTTCGCCGACATTCCGCGCTGTGGTCCCCTGGTATGGCAGGGTGCGTGCACGCCTTCCCGATCGATTATCATGGAGCTTGCGCCTCGTTTAGGCTGCGCAAACGTATATATGCCCTGCATAAGCTCATGGCGCTCCACTTACCGCGGCTCAACAGCCACCTGCACTCGATTGGGATGCACGCTGGCTATTTTGCCACGCAGGTGCGTCGTTCGAGATGGAATTCCTCTGACACGTCTCACGTCCGCGATGGTGTGCATTTTGTAGTGGCTAGCCACGTTGTTCGCACGCATCTTGCCGCTCGAATTGTTCGCGCATGTTTGGGACCGCTTCCTCGTTGACGGGATGAAGATGCTGTTCCGCGTCGCCTTGGTTCTACTCGAGTCGATGGAGCCTGCCCTACTCAAGGCGTCCGACATGAACGAAGCCAGCATTCTGTTGTCGCGCAACCCGACACTACCCCTGGCGCCATCCGACGCCACCTCGACGGACTGGTTTGTGCAGGCCGCCATGCAATTTAAAGTCACTCGGTCGATCCTGGTCGACCTGGAGGACCAACGTCACGTAGAACTTGTCCACCGGTGGTCACATGCTGCAGACATCGCGATAGGTTCCAGCGCTCAGAAGGACGACGACTTGTTCTACCCTGAAGTGGACCCGAACGCATCCAACGACGTGTCGAACCGGAAACCCCTCGACATGGACCAGTTGTGCCGCGACATTCAAGGCCTGGACATTGCGATTGCGTCTGACGTAGCCGTCTTTCGACACAAGATCGAACAAGTCCATCGCGCTGCCGACGCCGCCGTCGTCGCGTACATGTCTGCCGCCGCCATGTTCACGGAAGCCAGTTACCGCTTGGACGAGCTCGTGGAAGATCGAGATGGCCCTTTCGAGGATGACGACGATGGCGACGACTGCGACGAACTCGTGACACAGGAGCCATGGTACCGACGCGCATTTGCGTGCTTTGACGTGGGTGGACGAATGTTGAGCCACGTGAAACTTCGTGGGGATGACATGGACAGTGTTGGTCGTTTTCACGCGAGAAGCACGAGGGCGAGAAGGCGGTGGCGTCAGCAACGCAAGGATACAGCCGAAGTAGAGTATGCGACCCGCAGGCAGCAGTTGATGAACGCGCAAATTGAAATGGACGAACTCCACACGTTCAAGACCAAAGTGACGGAGCAATTCTTGGCAATCCTTACAGAGTCTGAGCGAGACAAGACGGCAGTGCTCAAGCGCCACTTCGGGGACGACACCAGCCTTCGATAATGTACAATAGAAACACGGGGTGGCCTATAGAAAACACTTACATCACCACAAGCTGAGGGGAATCAGCGTCTTGACTCGCTCAAAGAGAGGGGCCAGACTTGGAGGAATCGTCCTTGACGCGCCGCCTGTTCTGACTACACAGTCCTTCGAGTTCGCGAAGAGAAGCATTCCATCCGTCGACTCTTTTTCTAGGTACATGCTGTCGCGCGTAGTTCGTCGAGGACGCTCTACCTATCCCAAGGACTGCATCTACCTGTGCCAGTTGCATCCTCAACAGGCGCCATTGACGGAGTCCTTGCTCCCGTGAGAATGCGCGAAATTTGAATGTCAACTCTGTATGAAATATATTGAAATTGCTTCGAAATAATCGTAAAAATTGGTGTTTTAGGTCGTTTTTACGATATATTGAAAAATATATCAAGAAGTATGCACTTTCTTTCCCGCTCCAATTCACCGCCATGGCACGGATGCTGCCATCCCGACGAAGCATCTCGAGCAAGGAACCCAAGGAGGTACCCCATGCGCACTCTCGATCATGAATCGCTCACGTAACATGTGGCACAAGTTTCTTCAAGACGTCATGACGCAGACGTTGGCGGCACTCCAGAAGAAGGACGTGTATGAGCTCTTCGCGCGTCCCGTCGACGTTCGAGCGGTATGTTGACAGAGCAACATGCGTCTAAAGTAGTTGCGGCCAGGTCCCAGACTACTTGGACAAAGTGTTGACGCCAATGGACTTCTCCACGATTCAGGAGGTTCGTGCAACGTCAACGAATCATTTTTGCCTTGTCGGTGCATGAACGATCGAACCATGTGTAGAAAGTATCGCGACGGCAGTATGCCTCGTTTGACGAATTCAAAGTCGACGTCGTCGTTGTGTTCAACAACGCGCAGAACTACAACATGGAGCACACAGTATACTTCCGTGAAGCGACAAAGCTCGCTCAGATAGCAAATGTGCTCTTCCACGACGCCGACATCGCGTTGGACGCAAACAAGCGGCAGTACCGTGCATACTCTTCGACTACAAGTTCATCGACAACGAAGAAGCAAAACAACCTTTGCACCATCGTTGATGAGTCTGCGTCCAACGCCCCAGACACTGAAATGGAGATGGTCCCGCCGACATTCGATCTCGGCATATTTCAACCTGCAGATCCACTGCCGCCACAGCAAGACGACTATTTGGCTGATAACGACAAAGATGGCGACGAATTGTTTCATGACATGGTCAGTCCATCCTGGCATCGTGGTTCTGTCGAGGATGCAATCGATGACGCCCGTCGAAGTGTTCGCAGGACTTAGACGGATATCACACCGACGACAGCTACGTCTTCGATGGTACGTCACTGCTAGAATGCCACGAGTTCCGAATGTCCATGATCTCTCGTAGCTGTGATTCATGATCCAGAACACGACCCACATGATGATGCCATTGCTGCGAATGCCCTTCAAGGGGTCGATGATGTTTCGGACATCGACTCGGACGACTCGTCGCTTAGTGGTAAGTACACTTGTTGCTGGGTTGAAGATTGTTCATGATTTCAATAGATGGGATTGACTTCATGGACGATTTCGCGACTCGATCAGGCGCTCGTGTCGAAGCCACAGCACCACCATTACAATGCCATGGCCCTCCCGACAAAGAAAACATCGTTCCAACTGTTTCCACGACCAAACAGGTCCGCTCCTTCCCTTAGCATGTCGACATTCCACTGAAATGGATACAGGCGCGGCATCGGCAAGACAACTCAGGATGGATTCCGCGCAAGCGCACGACGGCGAGTGTGGCTCTGTCTCAGCCCGGTAAGCGCCTCTCGCCGTCATCGTCGTCGGCGCCCAAGAAGACACCGTACAAGAGCATATTTGGACTGCATCAGCCGCTCCCACCGCGGTCGCGGCAGGCGCTCATGGACGTCTTCGTCGTCCATCCCACGACGGACTCATCATGACCGCGTTTTCGCGCGCCGACGATTCAACGTGATAATTTAATGAAATGTATTCAGATTTGTATGCTCCTTGTCGCCCAATTCAATTCAATTGAAAACGACGCGGGAAATCGCCGTGGATTATCCGGATACGGTGGTCACCGCGGCAGAACGCGCGCGCAGTGTTGAATTCGCGGCAGTAGGCTCAAGCGGATCCGAGGACATTCCCAGGAGAGGCACGCAGGATGGCGTACGTAACGCTGACGAACATCACGGTGCTGGACAACCCGACAGCATTCACGAACCCGTTCCAGTTCGAAGTCACGTTCGAGTGCGCGCATCCCCTCGAAGACGACTTGGAATGGAAGATCACATACGTAGGCAGCGCCGAGGACGAGAGTCGAGACCAGGTACTGGAAGAAGTGCTGGTTGGACCGGTGCCCGTGGGCACAAACAAGTTTGTGTTCCAGTCCGAGCCCCCCGATCCGAACAACATCCCCGAAGAAGACAAGGTTGGCGTCACAGTCGTGCTCGTCACGTGTTCGTACAAGTCGCGAGAATTTGTCCGTGTCGGGTACTACGTCAACAACGATTACACAGACCCCTTCTTGCTGGAGAACCCTCCTGCGGTCGTGGACATCCATAAGCTTCAACGTAACATCTTGGCAGACAAGCCTCGCGTCACACGATTCCCCATCGATTGGGCACCTGGTGCGACTGGTGCCGGTGCATCGGCCGTGTTTGATGAGAACATGAACGCGTCCGACTTGAACGAGATGGACATGCTCAACGAAGAAGAACTAATAAAGGCCGCTGCACAGCTTGACAACCTCCACCCGGACATTGTGATCGAGCCAGAAATGGAAGACGACGAAGATGGCATGGAAGGAGATGCGAATGAAGAAGACATCGACATGGACGTGAACGAAGGCGACGACGATGACGACGACGTGGACTCGGGCATCGAGTTTGAAGAAGACTTATAAATTTATCCACAAATACCATACCCACTCCAACTCCGTCATCTCCAGTGGCGTCGTTGGTGCTTCAAGCATCGCCGATACATCTCCACTTGCCCACGAAATATTTTACTGCACCATGAATTCAACATATACCAGCGTTTTGTATTGGGCTTGCCAACGGCATGGAAGGGGATTTTTCTCATTTTCGCGAGATTTCGAAAAATTAGAATATGGAAATTTTTGGCGGGAAAAGAAATGTGTCATTTTCGGTTTATCGAAGGCGGTACGTCATGGTTTCGTCGAGGGTGGACGCGCCGTCAAAGTGCACCGAGATGTCGATGTCAAGGTCGCGGGGGTTGGTTGCGTTCGGTGCGCATGTCAGGGTGCCTTCGATAACGTCACCGGGGAAGCACGTCAGCGCATGGGAAAGGTAAAACACAGTCTGCTTCCAATGAGTGTACTTGGCGCGAGGTCCCGTAGAGAACGAGATCGGTTTGTGGCAATGGGTGAATGCACAGTCAAAGTATGCCACCAAGGCGTGGCAAAAGTCTTGTCGCGACACCACGAGCGAAAATGGCGAGGAAAATGCCAAATCTTCCTTCTTCACCGTCGCAAGATCAATATCCTGATGTGACGTCATGAGCAACTTGGAGTTAAAAAAAGCGACAACGTACGAGAATTGGCGTGGCGTTCGACATGATTGCATCGCCGTCGACTGTGTCGACCAACGGCTCTAACATCGCGATTTTCTTGATGCAGCTCATGTCGAAGCCGTACACGTTATCCCAAACTACAGGAAATGCACACTCCATCAGACAAGTGCACGGAAGGAAGCAACACGTACAATCGATCTTTTCGGATTTGTATTGGCCGTCTTCAATAGCCGCAAGGAAGAGCACGGCTTTGTCGGGGAAGAGCAGGCCGCCAGGAGCAAGCCACTTGTCGCGGGCATACAGGACCGTATCGAGCATAGACTCGTACAAGAGAAAGTACCCCATCCATTCGGAGATGATAATGTCGACGTGGGGAACAGGCAGCTCCATGTCTTCAACCTTCGCCTTAATCAGCGTGATGCGGTCGCTAAAATCGTTATCCGCGATGATCTGTTTTGCTTGCGTAATGATGCCAGAGCAGTCCACACCATAGACGTGGGCCGCCCCTGCTTTCGCTGCAAACATACTCAGAATCCCGGTGCCGCAGCCGACGTCGAGCACAACCTTGCCTTTGAACAAATGCACGTTCTGGAGAATGGCGTTCATGTACGTCTTGGTGCGCACCGAGTCTTTCAGCATCTCTTCGTGGATGCCAAAGTGCGAGTACGAATCAAAGTAGTAATCCTTGCTCGTCATGCCTTCCACGGACGGCGTCGTCGCCGCGGCGGCCGGGACGTCCTTCGTCTCCGACATCTTTTTCAAAACCAGATCGCCAACCAATCGCCCCAACTGCTGAAACTTTCATACTTTAGTCAAGATAAAAATGGGCTACCCGCCCATGGGCGGGTAATGCCATTCCCAGTCGCGCGCTTTCAACGCTCGCCCGACCCGCACTCCTGCATGGAGGCGACATGGAAGCTTCGAGACGACTCCAGCGATCAAGAAGACGCATTAGGCACACTTGTTCATGAAGCTGCACGCCTCGTTTGTGCGATGGCATTCGTAGCTTGGTGGGCAGGTCCATAGAGGCTGATACGAGCTTCGAGAACGGACAATTGAACCGTTCAAGGACCGAGATTGAGCTGTTCGAACCAATCTGTTGGACATGTTGTCAACACAGTGCACGCAGGCACGCTGAAGTCCATCCTTCTTGGACGCTTTCAGATGAAGACATTCGCGGTACCTTCTTCCCAAGTTCTGCAATAGTCAGAGTACCAGAAGGGGAACATCATTCAAGGTATGACGACGGGGGAAAAAGAGCCACGCGAGGTTCTCCAGTGCGTAGATGCATTGGATTATGGTTTATCGTCCACAGCCTCCGAGGCCTAAACCCATGCTCGAAGCAGTTGAGGAAACTCCTTACAACGCACCGCGGTTGCCCGTCTTCTTGCCACCCTTGGGGGCGTTCTTGATGACTTGCTTCTTTTGGGGAGCGGGGGCGGCGGCCTTCTTGGCCTTGGCTTGGTCCTTGGCTTCCCTGTACACGTAGGCGCAATTGTAAGCCACGAGCGAGTGTCTCCATATCATGACAGGGCAACGTACTTCAAGGCAGCGTCACGGGCCGCAGCGCGGAGCTGGGGCTTTTGGTTGCGCTTCTTCTTGAGTTCGTCCACGGAGACACCGACGATAGCACGTTGGATCTTGGTCGTCTTGCGAGCGCGGCGACGGCTGGTTTCTTCCACCTGTCGTCAAAACATGCACACAATGAATGTACATCCGTCGTGCTCGCCTCCGTCGCTAACGCGACAGACAGCGAATGGACAGCGTACACGAAGCTTCTTGTTCATGCGGCGCCAGCCAAGCGTCCAGTGAATCTTGGCAGGCTTCTTGCGTTGCAAGAAGAGCGACTTGCACTTGGAGTTCAACAACGTGTACGCGTTGCCGTCCTTGCGGACGAGACGGACACCGTGGCCGGGGTAGATACGGCTTTCGCTAAAGGCGCAGGTTTCGGTCCTACATCGTATCCCTCGTCAATCCCCCGCATCGAGACGCCTCGGCGTCGTACTTGATCACCATGATTTAGTCTTGAGGATGCTGTGGAATTAAAGCCAAATACTCAATAATATATGGGCTGCCGCGAACACCAGTCTTTTCGGGGCCGGTTTTGGTTGGCTCTGGTCGAGGAGGCCATCCGCGGCGAGGAAAAAAATATCACTTGGTGTTTGTATTGTCTCGACGGCCATGGCGGCGTATTTAAAACCCACCTTCCTGGCAGGCGAACATTTAAAATCGGATTTGAAATGCAGGCTGGAATTAGTGTGCATCGCCCGAGGATTTAAAATTCCCGCGATCCCACGTTTCACGTGAACAATACGTGGCGATCCGAAACGTTTAAAATGGGTTTGAAATTGAGGGATGACCGGAATTCGTGTGAGTGGTCCGATGCGTGAAAATTCCACGCGACGGCGCGTGCTTCCCAACGAGTTTAAAATGAGGATGCGTCGAAATTAGTGTGACGCGAAGGCCGTTATGAATCAAAGCCGAAGAACACGACAAGGTAGCACGCCACGAGCGCGAGCAGGAAGAACCAGTAGTACGGCGACGGCTTAATGCCTGAGATGAGGTACACGGAGTAGTCGGCGGAGGCAGACACGAGCGTCAACGCGTTGGTGAAGTCGAGGGGTCCAGGCGCCTCATCCCTAAGCGCACGTCAACGAGGCATGTGGGACAGAGTGGTCGTACGTGTCAAAGGGAAAGAACGCGATCCCTGTGGACGGCAAGAAATGTGCAGCGGTCGTGCTCACATGAGACAATGAGTCGATGCTGTGGACCACGACTTGGCCATCACTCGATCCACTCGCAACGTGCATCGCACTACTCAGGACGTTCGTCGTGCCTGCAACGTGCGTGGAATGGTGGCACGCACCTCACAGCCAAAGAGCATACGATGGTGTCTTTGACTGGAATGGAGTAGATTTCGTCTACTGTGCACCGCCCTCGATTATCCAAGACACAGGTCCACTTCGACAGGTACGACGACCCTCGCGCAGGCGTCTGCACCGTCACAATCACGTCCTTCTCGTCCGAATTCTTCTTCCCAGCGCTGGATGACGGCAGAGGAACAAATTGGCATCCTCGGTAGACAAATTTGCCTCGGTTTTTGGCCTTGTCTGGTTTTTGGACGTTTAGTTCGCCCGCCAACGGCATCGACGCCGCTTTCTTCCACGTCCCGTTGATAGAAGCCCAAACGAGGCACTGCCCGTCCTTGGCGCATGACACCACCTAGTGTTCCAACTGTCAGCCTCGGAAAGATCCCGAACGCTCATGGCAAGTTCGCCACAACTGGGCTTCGTCTCTGTATCATCATGTCCATCGATGGGGCGGTGCCGCAATACCTTGGCGCTGGACGGGTGCCACGACAGGTCGTTGATGCATCCGTTGTGACCCTCCAGCAAGATGGGTTCCGACACTTGAAACGCGTCGCGGTACTTGTCGTCAATGTCGACCTCCGACTTGGACGGGGGAATCGTGAGAATCCACAGTCGGATGATGCCGTCTTCGCCGCCAGTAATAAGGGCTTCGCCGTCCGGACTGAACTTGACCACGTTCTAATGTTCACGTGAGAAGGCCGACGATGTGAGTGTGGCGACGTGCTTGGTAGCTGTCTTTCTCCGCAAAGTCGGTCTGGAACTCCACGACAAAGCTTGACGTGGGCGAGTCCCCACTGGTGGCGCGATAGATGGCAGTCTTGTTGCCAATAGTCACTGCAAGCAGTCCTCCCTACCATGGACCGGCTGTGATTACGCGACGAACCAACTTCGAGTCGTGGGGCAGTCGTAGTCTGTACCTTGCTCCCGATCGCGACCCCAGACACCAATGCATCTTTTGTGTCGATGACGAGAAACGGGTCCAACGACGGCGGTTCATGACCTCCTGCTGCTGTCGGTGGAGAAGCTCGAGCCAATGTCTACACCCAACGACGCACGTCGGACAACAGACACTCCATGCAACGTGACCTACCACACAGTTCTTGATGCCCGACTTGACGGCGCCACCACCACCTGCAACTGCAATGAACGGTTGTCCTTGCGCATCGCGCTTCCAGTCGATGCCGAAGATGGGGTACTTGATGCTGACGATCTTTCCTTCCGTCGATGACATGGGAACTCCGTGGAAATGTGTCGAATGGTCGACGGATGTGCCGCCGGTTGAATCTACCCTGATCTGTCCGGGTAAATGGTCAGTTCCACACCTATGGAATAATATTTTGGTAAATGCATTTATTGCAACTATATCAACAAACCAGCACCAAGCCTTCCACGCCTGCCCCCGCATCCACCCTATGTGGGCATGCCGCCTGGAGTCGCTTAGGGGTTACCTCGGCGTAGTCCAAGATATCGAACTCCGACCTTTTCCAGTTCAATCGCCACGGGGACGACGACAAAGACGCGCCGTCTATATATTCATTCGACTGCTGTGAAGACAAAAACGTGTACGATAATTGCTGCAGTAAAATCCCAATCATGCGAATCAATATAATACAAAAAAGTCAAGTAGACTTGAATTTCGTATAGGCTAAATTCAAAATGGACATGTAACTTGCAATTAAGATCGTTATCATGTCTGCATGGAAATGATGTATTTGTTATTACTCTCATTCGAAATATCAAAAGATATTTACGTCCTGGATAAGTTGGCATATGTCCGAGATACATTCATTAACAGTACTAGTACACGTTTTTGTTCGTAAAGTGGAATCCGGCAAAGGGAATCGCGGCATCCTCTACTCGCTTGTCGCTGGACGCATGGCGTGCGGGTGGGACGTCGACTTACGGCAGGTGGAGCACAGATCGAAGTCAAAGCACGACCTACTCATGGAACCAGCAGCCTGAGGCGGAGGTGTGTGACGACTGTCGGGACGAACGTGCAGGAGAATCGTGCGTCGACAATCGGCTGGTTGCATTCGTCGCTACGCAGCTACGTGAAAAGCAAAAGCGTATCAAACCCACGGTACCAGTGGAATGCATCGGGAGGAGACTGAGGGTGTTCTGCCGTTGGGACGTCATCCAAGACGTGGCACCCTTCAAAACAGTGGCGATTGGGAGCGTGCATGTGCGTCGGCGACGGCGACACCCGTCCGTCCATAGCTGTTATCAAGTACTCGACGATCGCATCACTCGGTCCAAGACATTCGACATCAAAGCCGCGGTGCGCCAGCGAGCGCCTCGGTCGGACCGACTGCATATTGACGAGGATTTGTGGTACCGCGTTCAAGTAGACTGGAATGTCCGCAACGGGGGACACTTGCAGCGACGTTCCCATCACGAGGACTAAGTCTGCCTACATCGACGTCAGCATTTGTCCTCTCCGAAGGATCGTTCAAAGCCACGTTGGGCAATCCAACCTTATTGCGGTCGAGCGGGAGTGCATGGCGAGTGGCGTCTTGCAGGGTTTCGCCGAAAAAAGTAATGTTTGGCTTGAGAATACCATGGATGCAGTGCGGGCATCGTGGAATGACGCCATCTCGTTGACAAGACTGCAGCGCAGCGCTCGTGTCCACCGTGTAGCTACGTCAGTGTGAGCGCATTCTGCCCTGGGCGACTGTGGCAGTTTACTCGCACGACATGCACGACGACGTCGCTAGCGTGCCATGGCATTGGATGACGTTGGTGACGCCTGCGGCCGCCTCCAGGCCATCCACGTTCTGCGAGTACACGCGAAGGAGTTGGTTCTGGTCATGCAGCCGCCGGAGGAAGCGATGAGTCGGCGACGGCGTAAACGATCGGTCTTCGCACATGGTGGAGGGCGCCATTGGCAAAGACGAACAGTTGATGAGGAGGATTGGTGCTACCTTTGAAGAACGCCGCAGCAAAGCGGAAGAATGGCATGGGGTTGGATCGGAAGAAGTCCATGTCGAAGAGCGACTCTGCATCGGGCAGCTGGCAACGCATGTGAGAAGTTCGCGAAGTCGACACATGTCGACGTACATCCAGTCCCATGTCGTTTGCCAAAGCATAGATGCCATCTTTGGATCGGAAGTCGGGGATGCCGCACGAGACACTGATCCCGGCGCCAACCACGACAACGATGTGCTTGGCTTTCTTGAGCGCTTGCACAGCATCGTCCAGAGATTCAAGTCGAGGTAAAGGGGATGGGGCTGCTTCCTTGGATGTGACGGCGATGCACTGCCCCGCACAAGTGAGAGACGAGCAAGTGACAGAGGAGGGACTCGTACAGCGGCACAACGATGCGACAGGACGTCAGGAGTCAACCTCCTTGCACATGGCAGGTGAAACCTACGTAATGACATCACCCTCGAGCGCCTCATCTGCTTTATCTCATCACGATGGGAATTCTCACCGATTGGGGCAAGTTGAACATGCACGTAGGGCATTTCCCCTCTTCGATCCTGCTTCGCACATGTAGCAGCACCCTCTCTTGTTTGCTTGTTTCTTGCGAGGTGCCTCGTCTTCTTCGTCGTCGAAGTCAGGAACTGCTTGGCCTGTGTGAAGAACGGCGTAGTTGACGGCCTTGCGCTTCGCGCTCCGCCACCGTCGCGCGCGCTCGCTCATGCCAATATAATATGTAAGAGGTTCGTTCCCTTCCAGAATGTTGGTCGTTCCCCTCGACGGAAGTGCCTCTCAAAATGAATACTTGCCGACGTCGTCACATTCAGACGTGCCAAGGAAAGGCCATGTCCGGCAGCTCGAACCCCGTGGAGCGTCTTCCCGACCCGAACCTCAAGGTAGATGCTGCACATGAGATGGACACGATGAACATGGTGAGGAGAGCATGGTGCTTATGAAGTGTGGTGTGGACAGGCAACGTTTTGTCCTCACCCCACGACGTCGCGCGGCAGCCCGAGCGTGATCGGGGTCCACCCGAAGGAACCCAAGATCGTGTACTGCACGGGCAAACTCGTCGTCGTGCGTGACTTGGCGAACCCTGCCGATTGCTTGTTGTACAAAGGCCACAACGATGCGACGACGGTTGCGAAGTTTTCTCCGAATGGATATTGGGTCGCGTCCGCCGACATCGCCGGCAAAGTCCGCGTTTGGTTCGTGCCCTGCATCCCGATCATCACGATAAACGTTGTCCATAGGTCGTACGACAACCCGGAACACACCCTCAAGGTGGAAGTGCCTGTTTTCGCCGGCGAAGTCAAGGACTTGAGTTGGGACCCTGAGAGCAAGCGCATTGTGGCCGTTGGAGATGGTCGCACGGTGTCGTCGCGCGTATGCATCTTGCGTCCGATTCGTCGTGGCCATTTGGCTTGATACGGATGTAGGTGTTCATGTGGGATACGGGCAACAGCATCGGTGAAATTGTTGGCCACATGAAGCGAATCATGAGTGTCGACTACAAGCCGACGCGCCCATTCCGCATCTTGACGGCGTCGGAAGACTCTACGATCCGCGCGTTCGAAGGCCCGCCATTCAAATTCAAGCACTCGATTCCCGCGCACTCGAACTTTGCCAACTGCGTTCGATACTCCCCCGATGGCATTCACGCTGTTAGTGTCGGATCCGACAAGGGCATGGTCCTATACGACGCCAAGTCGAGTGAAAAACTCGCCAGCTTTCCTGTCGTACGTGCTCGCTCATCGCGTGATGCAGTGACGTGATGTGTTCAGGAACATGCTGTCTCGATCTACTCGGTTGCTTGGAGCCCCGATAGCAAGCAGCTCTTGACCGCGTCTGGCGATAAAACAGTCAAGCTGTGGGATGTCGGGACTATGTCCGTTGTGACGACGTTCACGTTTGGGTCTGGTGCGATCGAAGACATGCAAGTGGCTGTCGTGTGGGTCGGAGACTTTCTCGTGTCTCTCTCGCTCTCGGGCGACCTGAACTACCTCGACGTGACTCGCCCTGACACGCCCCTTCGGTCGGTCCCTTCTGATCGTCTCGCCGGCACTTACCATTTCATAGCGTTGTGCAAGGCCATCAAGTGAGCCTTCAAGCTCTTGCCGTCGACGCGGACACTGGTGTCCTTGTCACGGGAAGCTACGACGGCGCCGTTGTTGCTTGGCATGCGACGTCTGGACGTCGGTTCACCGGCGCCGCGCATACGGCCAAGGTCACTTCGATCGACGTGCACCGCGGGATCGTAGCCAGTGGTGGCTGGGACGATGTGGTGCGGTTTGGGTCGGTCGTCGACACGGCGTACTCGGGCAGCGTCGGCCTCAACGGCGCCCAGCCGTCGGACGTGGCGCTCGCAACACACGCCGCGTCCGGCGCTGTCTTGTGCGCGGTGGCAACCAACAAGGGTGTCAAGCTCCTCGTGAACGGCGCACTCGCGTTTGAATCGTCGGCTACGGCTACGTGGACCCCTACCAGTGTAGCGATGACGCCGTCTGGGGTACGTATCGATCTATGTTTGCGACGGCAGCTTCATCCCCACGACCATGTTGCGGTGTCCCAGCGGGAAGCAACATCAAGTGTGCTGTGATCTGCTTGGCAGGAGCACTCGTATTGCCTGGCGCGGTTTTGAGACCACTATCCCTTACTGGCGGTGCGGTAGGAACAAGTGGCTTTGGGTGGCGACGAAGACCGCCGCGTTCATGTGTTCCACGTGGTCTCGAATGGAGAGACATGGTCTTTGGTGGAGCGCGACGACATGGCGCTGACGCACAACGGGTCGATCACGACGCTTGCGTATTCCCCAGACGGGACCCTCTTGGCGGTCGGCGATGCGGGGCGTGAAGTTCGTGTTTGGGATGCGAAGGACGGATCCCTTCGTGTCGGTGGCCAGTGGGTGCACCACACGACGCGCATTTCGACGGTCGCGTGGAACCCGAGCGGCACGCACGTGGCGTCGGGGGCATCGGACGAGCACATTTTCGTGTGGAATGTTGACCAACCTGCCAACCGGCACAAGTTTGAAAACGCCCATCGCGATGGCGTGATGAGCGTCAAGTTCGTCGCCGACGATCAGCTCGTCTCGGTTGGGAACGACGCGGCGATCCACACGTGGCAAGTGCCATCCGTCTAAGCATTGCATCGCTGCGACACAGGGTCGACACACGCGTGATCGAGACCATCTTGACTGGATAAGAGGAAGTTTTACGTCATTCCCGCGTCGTTAAGGCGATACATCTCGCAAGTGTTGCAGGATAGTGCGTTCGACATATGCCGACAGGTCCATGTCCTCGTCGGGCAAGTTGCAGCTCACAAATACTTGCTTTCCCGTGCGTAGGACGAGTCGTTGGGCCATTTGCTGCTCGATCTCGTCGGTTCCCGCGCCGAGTAACGACGACGAGAGGGGCAAGGCATCATATCGAGTTTTCACCGCCATGGACATGGACCTAAAAAGAGTCAACTTGAGTGTGGCGTGCTGTCGACACTCGAGCGACTTCACCCCATGCGTACGGGCGTTCCATCCAGTCCCACCCAAACAAACACCGCATGAGGAAGCAACCACATCTACAAGTAACGTGTCATCTTCCGAAGGCGGCAGTGCCATGTGAGCAATGAGCTGTGTACCTGAACCCAAAAATGCTGACCAACGAACTCGCCCTTGAACTCAATGATTCGAGTGCTCGGCTTGCTTGATACCGTCAAGCCCTCCATCTGCATGTCCAAGCCCGTCGCCGCCATCGCGGAAGTCTTTTGAATTTAGGGAGTGATATGTCTTAATTGGATAAAATTAAGATATTTGAGTAAGCGTGAAGTGATTTAATTGGCTAATGATGGGAATTACAGCAAATCAAAGGGCGCCAAAAAGTGGAATTTTAGCCAATCTCGTTTGGGTACATTCGTTGCATGATCAAAGGCCGTTTTTGGAGACATGGACATATCTGCCGCGAGCGTCCGGGCGCAATGGGGCAGCGGAGGAAGTAGCGGCTCCTTGCAGGGCGGAAACTTGTCCAAGTCGCTGTCAGATGCAACGTCCTCGTTCTCGTCGTGGGGGCAGTCTTTGATGAAGAACATTCCAACCGCGATGACACCGTCATCCGATGGCGAAACAGCCTCCCTCACAGCCGACGACGACACAGACTTGGAGACTGGCGCGTCATCTTCACCGTCTGCGTCGCCAGGAGGAATCCACTCTCTGTGGAACAACATCAAGAGCAAGAGCCAAACGGCGTTATCTCCTGCACAACTCGACAATGTAAAGACGTATCCGCAGCGGTTCCGGTCGTTTGTGCTTCTGCTGCTCCTCGCGGGCCTCTTCTTCGGCATGGCGTCGCTGTTTTTGCCTCTTCTCTTGATCCGACCGTCGAAATTCGCCCTCAGCTTTTCCTTTGGCAGCATCTCGTGTCTGTCGGCGGTGGCGGCACTACGCGGATGGAAGTCGTACTGCAAGTCGCTGCTCCAAGCCGATCACATTTTGCTCACAACTCTGTACCTATCGTCACTGGCGGCCACGCTCTACTCGTGCCTTGTCATGGGAAGCTACCTCTACGTTCTCCTCAGCGCAGGCATCCAGTTGGTGACTCTGGGTTACTTCTTGGTGTCGGCATTCCCCGGCGGGGTTGCCGCGTTCAACAGTACGTCGATCTTTCCCCATCGATACAGTCTCTCATGCGCATGATGGTGTAGCGCTCGGAAAGGTCCTCCTGAAGACAGTAAAGGGGCTCTCGAAAGCCTGCGCCAAGGTGATGCAATAATGAAGGAATTTCGAAATAAAAAACTGTCCAAGAATTGGGCAGTGGGCTTTTGGCACAATATTTTGCTACGAATTATATAAATACATCAAGTACCGTAGGACAAGTCCTGGGCATCAAGTAGGACAAGTCCTGGGCATATATACTAGAGTTAAATTACAGCAAAATTTGGATATAATATTATGAACGTCCACAATGTATTTTATATTCTGAAGTGAAAAACCACAAGCACATTTTCGAGAACCGTTGATCGAGGGAAGAGACAAGATGAACGGCGGCGGCGGCGGGGTAAGGGCTTCTATGCTGGAGATGGAAGGTATCGACAATGCCGCGTTTCGGTGTGTAGAAAACGATGGAGCAGATGCAAGCGGAGCAGATGCGGAAGAAGTACGTACAACTTATCATGTCTTCAAGGCAGATCATGCTCACAGCCGCCTTGGACCAGGGAGAACGACGAGATGAAGAAGCAAATTATCTCGAGCATCATGACTCCAGAGGCGAAAGAGCGCTGTACGTCATCGTTTTCATCTCATGCGCATGACCGAATCGTTTCTTGCAACGACGTAGTGTCTCGCATTGCTATCGTCAAGCCCGACAAGGCGGCGGCGTTGGAAGACACGATGATCCAAATGGCACAGCGTGGTCAATTGCCGGGTCAGATCGACGAAGCCAAGTTCATCGAGCTCTTGAATCGCACAGGCGCTGCGGAAGAGCAGGCTCGCACGAAAGTCACGATCAAGCGAAGAACCTACTTTTCCGACGAAGAAGATGCGGACGACGACGACTTTTAACTTCGTTTGTAAATGTATAGCGTGGCAGGGCCCCAGCTCTCCTGCATCTTGCATGTCGACACGAGCGCGACGGCCGCGACGGCGTCCTGCGTCTCAAGAATCAACGGCTTGGTCGCGGTAACAACAACGCCCCCCGCCTTGACCGCGGCAATGGCATGCTTGGACACGGCGCGCATGAGCCTCTCGTCAAAGCACGTCGAGTTGCAAAAGATAAAGTCGGCGCTGGGCCAGTCCCCCACGGCCGTTGCATCGTCGTGGTGGATAACGATACGCGTCCGCTTCTTCAGCGGCGGCAGGTTGGCGTCCTTCTTCTCGCGATGCCAAATGGCCGCCACGTCCATCGCAACGTGTGCAAGCCCTTCGAGGATTTCGTACCCGACGCACTCGTCAAAGTCATGAAGGAGCGCCGCCGCAAACACAGGGCGGCCGCTTCCGCATCCAATGTCGAGGAAGACGCCGCCAGGCTTGGACAGGACGTCGTGCCGTTTCTAATCGAGATGGAAACATGAAAGGGTCGGACGAAACACGTACGAGAATCGAGGCGAAGACTGTGCGGAAGTGGCGGAAATCGATCTCGCCATACACGAGCGTAGACGACACGTATCCGTTCGCGCGGCGCTCGTTCTGGTGATGGCAATAAGAAGGATCGCGAGGGTCGAAGATGGGAAATGTACCCGAGAGATCTGCTTGGCCACCTGCATGGGGAAGTCCTTGTACAGCAAGTTGAAGAATTCTTCCATCGAGTCGTCCTTGTCGACACTGCTCGAGTCCACCAACGACAGGTTCGACACTCCCACCGTCAACACGTCTTGATCGTCATCCGACCAAGCATCGCCTTCGACAATAGCTGCATTGGATGATGAGGACTGCTCCATGGACGCGGCGAGCCTGTTGTCTGTGCAAGAGCCCTTTTAGAACGTTGGGAATCCTCCGACATCTCTCCTCCGTCAAAGATATCAACCCGCGGGTGAAACCGCCGCAATGCGTGCCTCAAGATATCACCAGGGCATTCTCATTGCATCCAATGTGTCGCGCAGGTCTTCCGCCGAGCGCAAGCGCACGTTGCATGCTTCCAGGCCGCGCGCCCGGCCGCCTGCTCCTCACATGACCGCCGCAGATCAACAATGCTCCGGATATTATATCCGGACATGCCTGTTCCCGAGTATTATTATTGAGCAGGATACAAACATCTAGTAAATTTAATAAAAATTGCCTTGCTGACGTCATGCGCGCTTGGCCTCACTTGCCAAATCGCATTTTCCCAGCACATTCAATGGCTGACATCGAAGTTGTCACGTCTACACCTGCCGCTGCACCGCCTGCCGCGCCTGCGAAGGTGGCGTTCGTGCCCAAGCCGGACAAGGCTGCCCATGAAGCCGAACTTGCTGCATTGGAGGTCTTGAAGAAGAAGGCCCAAGACCGTACGAACGCCATCCGCGCCGAACTCGACGCGATTCAGTCGGGTCGATCGGGGTTCTCGGAAAAGATCGCAGAGGCGAAGAAGCTGTATTTGGAACTGAGGGAAAAGAAGGAGCATGCGTACACAAGCAAGACGCAACTCAAGGTGAACTTGGACAAGGCGATGGCTGCCAAGTCCGCTCACCGGGAATCCCAAAAGTCGGTCCGCGACCAGGTGAGCTACAAAAGCGTGGAAGAGGTCGACAAGCGCATTGCCGAGCTCCAACACGAACAAAACACGAAGAGCATGTCGTTGACGGCCGAGAAGAACCTCCTCAAGGAGATTGCCAACTTGAAGCAGTCCAAGACCGTGCTTGCCAAGGCGGCGGCCGAAAAGGACAACGGCGCCAAGTTCGACGCGTCGATTGACGAGATCCGCGCGGCGATGAAGGCCAAGAGCGAAGAAATCGCCGCCGTCACGGAAGCGTTCAACGCTCAAAAAGCTATCTTGGACGCGCTGCGCGACGAAAGCAACGCCGGCGGCCGCGACAACTACCCCAAGCTCATCGAAGAGCGCAAGGCGCTCAAGGTCGAGATCGACGACATCTTCAATAAAATCAAGGCGCTGCGTCAAAAGTTCAAGGAAGACAACGACGCGTACTTCCAGGGGCTGCGCGCCAAGCGCGAGGCGCAGAAGGCGGCGCGGGAAGCCGAGGAAGCCGCCGTCAAGGCCGAATTCGACGCCAAGATGGCGGCCTACGAGGTCGAACTCGCCAAAATTCACCCGTACCAAGATGAACTAGACCTCTGCCAAGCCCTCGTCGTATACCTCGAAAAGACGTACGGCAAGGACCTCCATGCGGCGGCGAAGGCGTCGACGACGGCCGCCTCTGTCACGGTCGAACTCGACGGTCTCCAGCCGCTCAAACGCGACGACGAAGCATTCTTCGCGCCCAAGAAGAAGGGCGGCAAGAAATTCAACAACAACGCAGCTTCGTCGAAGAAGGACGTCAAGTTGGTGCTTCCCCTGGCGCAGCTCCAGTCGTTCGCCACCATCGAGCTCGCGCCGCCCGCTTTCGTGTCTGCGGTCGCTGACTCGATCGCGGCGATCAAGGCCAAGAAGGAATGGTTTGCGAACCAAACGGAGCGACCCCAGGCTGCCGCGCCCGTCGCCGCCGACAAACCGGCGTCCCCCAAGAAGGAAAAAGCGGCTGCCCCCGCCAAGAAGAATGCCAAGTTCAACGCGGCCGACCACGGCGCGTTCCCGACCTTGTCTGGCGCAGCGCCGGCCACCGCCCCCGAAGCGACATGGAACCGCATCGCGACGTCGGCCCCTGCATCCTACGACTACAACGACGTCGTCCAAGGAGACGACGAATAGGTTGCGCCGCCGCCATGGTCAGCGCCGTCGCGCTGAGGGAGTGGGTAGAGTAGAAAGAAAGTCTCGTCGTCATCGGACGAGGCAGGTTAAGTTGTCATATAAATCTCGCCGCGGACTCGGGGTTTTATACTGGGTTTTAAGAAAAACGTGTGTCGCATGTGGAGTTGGAACCCCGTTGGGCGCGAAAAACTCCCGCGTCTTACGGTTTAAACGTCCTCGGTCGATGAGTGTCGTCGGGTTGTAATTCCGCGATCCAGGCGTGCGCGAAGCCAACTCGGCGCGACACTGGATGGCCGCCGCGACGACCGAAGACGGCGCAGCACGCGGCCGCCCGCCCCTCCGACGCAAGATGGTTCCTTTCGTCGTGGAAGAACGACATGCCCGGGCTTTCCTTGGATATAACAAGGAAGCCAGGCTCGGGCGACGGAACCACCTGTGCCAACCTCAGTCTACCGAGACAGGATCGAGTGGATCGAGCACGGCGCTGTCCCCGTGAGTGTTCCGATCCATCCACCGACCAACATGGTGCTTGGGTGGCGGATCGGGGTCCACGAGACTGGTTCTGTAACGTCCCGTTGGCAGTTAGGGTCCCGGGCGGCGAATAATTGCCCACTTCCACCATTTCGACGAGCCATGCGTCGGGCACTCCCCGCGCATGCCATCACGCAAACGCTTATCCTGGTAGCCGTCGTCTGCCACGTCGTCCGTGGCACGGAGCGATATCCCGATGCGACGACTTGCTCGAGCGCGACGGCCCGTGCAGCATCGGAATGCCCGATGCCATTGACGCCACTGGCCACATGGACGCCACCTGCACCCACAGGCCTCCTGTACTACGCCACGTACGTCGGCGACTGGACGCGGTCGCTCCTCCATCAAACGCGACGACTCTCGGACGACTGGTATCGCAACGCGCTGCGCAGCGTGCTCATTGCCAAGTGCGTGGCCGACGGCGGCATGTCCCGCTGCGTCCCCACCGACAGCGCTGACGCCGACCGCTACACCAACTCGACATGTGTGCGCATGTTCGACGCAGGCAATTGCCATGACCGTCATCTATGCGAGCGCGCCATGTCGTGTCGCTGGTCGCCGCCGTCGGGGTCGGCGACATCCATCCGAGTCGAGTTCTTTGACGACGAGCAAGCCGACGCCGCGACGTTGTGGGCCACGATAGAGTACCCCAAGTCCATCGCGCCGTACGCACTTCTGGGCCTGGTCATGGCATGCGTCGTCCTTGTCAGCATCATCCTCTTTGCGATCCTGCGCTTTGGCTGCGGCCGATGCTACGGCACGTCGCCCCTCCGGAAGGGCTACACCGTCGTGGATCGATGGCTGCCCATCATGGCCGTCGCTGTATCGACCGCCATGCTCGTCGCGCTTGGACTGGTCGTATGCCTCCTCAGTCCTGGTTACATCCGCGGCATCAGCCGGACGCTGGACACCTTGCATGACACCGCCACGTCCCTCGTTCAGATCCATGCCGACCTCTCGCGGCCGTTGACGGACCTCGCCACGTCCTTTCGCACCGCGCGCGCTGCATTTGCAGGCGAACCCACCGGTTCCTCGCTCGCGGCATCGTCCCTCTCGCTTCTGCCACTTGACGTTGCCAACGTCACAAACGCATCGCACGCATTTATCGATCGCTTCTCCGCTTCCCGCATCGGGTCGTTCCCGTCGTATGCGTGTCGACAGCCGGCGCCGACCGCGCCGCCATACGCTGCGACTTCCAACATGCCGTGCATTGCGTGTCCTGACGTCGTCTGCGGTGACGCCGCGCCGCGTCTTGACGCGATGCTCACCCCCGTCGCCGCCGTCGTCCATGAGATTGAATCGCTCGCGGGATGGGCGCGCGACCACGTCGATGCCGTTGCCGCGACCACCGACTTGGACGCTATCCTGTCGGCGCTCTCGTCGCTCGGGACATCGGCCGCGGCGTTTTCATCGACCGTCTACCCCCCGCTCCACGACATCCTGGGCCGCGTTCAAGTTGGCGGATTCAGCGCCGTTCTCGCCGCGTTTGCCACCGCGCTGGCGGCGTCCGTGCTCGCCCTGGTCGGCATCCTGCATGGGCTGCGGTCGCCCACGAGCGGATGTCTATACGTGCTTCATCTAAGCTGGATCTTGGCCATCTCGTTCGCCATCACGGGGTTCGTTGCGTCCGGCGCGCTCGCCGCCGCGTCCGTCGTCGCCAACGACCTGTGCCGGTCCATGGCGGTCGTGCTGCAAACCCCAGAGCCGTTTTTGCCGCCTCCTGCTGCTGCTCTTGTGAGGACGTGCGCCATTCCTCCGCAACCGTCCTCGGCGGCCGATGACATGGCCACGGCCCTTGTTGCGCTCGAGCTCGACAACCTGACTCGGCTCGGGTGTGTGCTGCACACTGGCCTCGTCGCGTCCAACGCGACCGTCGCGGACAAGCTCGGCCAAGCCGCCGCCGCCATGCAGTCGTACAGTGCCCAGCTTGCCAGGAACGCCGTGCCCACGGCGTTTGTGAACGACGGGCTAGCGCGATTCCTCGTAGCGCAGGCCAGCGCTGCCGCCGCGGCGCCATGGACCCCCCACACGATCCGAACTCCATGGACAGCTCATGGCCTTGTCAATGCCACACAGTCGTGCAGCGGGGCCGCCCATCCCGCGCTCTGCTACATGTACGAACGATGCGGAGGTGCGTCGATCCATCGCCTCTGGTCTCTCGTCATCCGACGCTCTGGTAGATGCCAAGGGGTGCTTTGAAAAGTTTGAAACAGCGTATGCATACGTCACCGCGTACGACGAGATCGAGGCGGTTGCGGCAGCCATGCACGTCGCGTTCGACGCGGGAGACGAGCGGCTGGCGCGGCAAGTGCAGGCGGTCGTGGACGCGCTGCGCGCGGCCGCGACAACGCAGCAGGCGCAATTGCAACAAAGCCCGATTGGAGACGTGGCCCGCCGCACGCGCGGGCTTCAATGCGTTTCGAGTATCTCGTGTGGGTTTGTTCGCACCAGCGCGGCCAAGCTCGAGCACTACTTTTGCAAAGACACCGCGCGGTTTACGGCGCTGGCGGCGGCCGCGCTCTTCGTCGCGAGCGGATTGTACCTGTGTCTGGCGCTGGCGACGCTGATGCTGCAGAAGCGCCTCCAGGGACGCGTCAAGATGATGTGGTGGAAGCGGCGGAGCGTGCTGGCGCGCCAGAAGAAGCGAGGCACCGCCGTGCCATCGTCCGTGTCGTCGTCAGACTCGGTGGCCGGCCCGCCGCCGCGACCCGTGCGCATCAGCGGCCTCGTCATCATGCCAGAGCTCCAGGCGAAAGACCCTGCCATGTCGTCGTAGCGCTGGTCAACAAGTCGGCGACTAGGACCAGCAGAACACAGCACCAAAACAAAGATGCTTGTTCATTTGTCGACTGGACTCGAGGAATTTTGCAAGGGGGAGGCGCTTGCCGTGAGGTGCGCGCTAGACGGACGTGGCGGCGTCACAAAGCCTTGGCGGCGAGTTGGCGGCGCAGGTCTTCGATGATCGCATCCTAGCAACAACGCCGCGTGATGAGGTAAAAGCCATGCGGACGAGCGTACTTGTTGAGCCAGTCGTTCCTGGTTCTCCTTGAGCTGCTGGCGCAATGCCACCACTTCGCCAGCCCCTCCCCTGCACTCTACCTCGACATGTGGAAACTCGTCGTTCAAATACGCTTTGGTCTGGTGCATGGTCCATCGGGACGCCGTCGGCGCCACCAACCCTCGGATCATGACGGCGACATGGGGATATGTCTCGGTGACGAGTGCTGGCAGCTCGCACGGGTCTTGACGAAGTCCTGAACATGCTTCCTCTCAATGTCCTTCGCACAGATCGCGCTGCGCACGTACGTGTCAATGCGTCGGCGCGCTCCATGCGCGTGTGGAACGGGACAAACAATTCGAGCAAGATGATGCCGAGACTAGCACACGCGCGTGATAAAAGGCGGCGGCCGCATCGGAGGCACTACCTGAACGAATCGACCTTGGCGTCGTAGTCCGTGCCCGCGACTTGTTCGGGGCTCGCGTACGACATGGTCCCGACGCCTTGTGTGTGGCGCGGATCGCATGGCGTCTGGGATCGACGGCGGACATCGTCATCGTCGCACATCGCGTCCGCCAGCAGCTTGGACAGCCCAAAGTCGCCAATCTTGAGCGACCCGTCGCGGGCGAGAAAGACATTGCTCGGCTTCAAATCCCTGCACGCACACACACGTCATGCACGGACGGCACGACGGGACGTACCGGTGGACGATCCCGTTTTCATGAACATGCAGGAGGCCGTCGACGAGCTGCCGGAACAGCCGCAAGCTCTGGTCCCCGTCCACTTTGCGATATCGATTGCGCTCTTCGAGCCAGTCCTACCGCGGCATGCCACTCCAGCCCACGGCATCGACGGGATAGACGTACGTGGAGCGTCGACTGCTCGCACAGAAACATTTGAATGTACAACGTCACGTGGTACGTGAAGGACGGTCCGCCGCTCGGATCGGCGCCGGGCTCGCCTTTCATCCCGAGTCGCAACTTGGCCGGGCGGCGGTGGTGCATCGAGTCCGGCATGTTCCAGTGCCGCTTTAAATTCCATGCCCATTCCATCCCAGGAGCGGCGCGCCCCCGCGACACCAGACTGGGAGGGACCTTGGGTACAATCTCGAGCTGCATGTTGTCCGGACGGATCGACGCCGTGCGATGATGGCTCCACGACGACTCGGACGTTTGGCTGTGATGGGTCGTTGCGTTGTGGACGATGTTCGTCGTCGAGAGGTCGCCGGTCGAGTGGTACATGGGAAGATCGCTGAAGCTGCACAGAGATATCCATGAACGCGCGCCGCGGTCAAGGGAGGAGGTCGTACTTGCTTTGTCTGGACGTGCTGTGGTCGAAGGAAAAGTCCACCGAGGACGAGTCGGACGCGACAAACGAAGGCGCAGTCGAGGCAGAGCTCATGGAAAGCACGTCGCTGTCGCTGCTTTGGAGGTCGTCGACGAAGCGCCGAATGTCTTCGATAAGTTGTCTGTTTTCGTGCTTGGCTTCGATGGACGACAGCGACACGCCGCCTCCACTTGATGCATGGGGCTTGGTCGCGGCGGCGGCCGACGCCGCCGTTGCAGGAAACGCCGACGGTTGCCCCATCGGGACCCACGTGGGCTCGAGCCACGCACTGTAGTACCTGTTCACGTTTGGGTGGTCGCACCTCGCCAAGCAGTGGACTTCTCGTAGCACGTTCTGCACGAGCGGCGACTGGAATCCTTTGTTGACAAAGTTGACTTGCTTGATCGCGTAGCAGATGCCGTCCTGCGCACTTGTTCAACGACGACCGCGACGGACATGCAAACGTACGAGTTTGTGTCGGGCTTTGAAGACCTGGCCGAACCCACCTTGGCCGAGAAGACAGACCTCGTCAAAGTCTCGAGCGTACCGCGACATGTTGAGCGTCTGAGGAATGAGATGGAGGCCCCGGGGATCCGAGTCCCATGGCTCGATAAAGTCGGTGGGTCGTGGCGACGACGCGAGCGGCGATGTCGGAAGTAGTCCCAAGTCGGCAAGGAACGCAATCGAGTCGATGATACCGAGTCGATGGAGACGCAAGACGTTCGCAACGAACGTCTTGGGCGTCGCGTCGTACACGGTGCATACTCGTGCCAACAGCACGATGATCGTGACTTGTTTCTCGCACAGGACGGGAACGTCAGCGTCGGGGACAGCCTTCTCGTGTGCATCGAACCGGTCGAACGGTGCGGCTGCATGAGACGGAAGATGGTCCAGTTTGAAGTCGTGCACGTCGTGGCGCGCAGGTCGAAGGTGAATCTCTACAGGGCTGTCGCCGCCGCGAGGGAGGGTAGACGCAGAGTCTCCATGGTCTATAGATGGATCGAAAGTACCGCGGAAGACGGGCGATCGACGCAGATTCTCTGCATAGTCCATGTCCGGGCTGAGTCGTTCCCCAGTGTGTGTTCCGTCGCGGCGCCGTGCGCGTGGAGCATATATGCCGGTGCCCACATGCGGGAAATCCCTCGAGTATATCCGGATAGCGTTCCGGAGAACGTGGATGCACCAATTAGATCGATACCCTCATTTGAAAATCCCTTAAACCGAGTCTTCCGTCGGGCGAGCACAACAAGTCGGCCACATGGACACGGACGACCGACGTCGGCTCTCCGCGTCAGGTTGTTGCGAATGGTGGCCATGGGCGCGGTGCCGCTGCGCGTCTCTTCGACTGCGACGTGAGTACTCGGCGGGTGTAATCTTTCAGTTCGTGTGCATTTCGTTCCGTCGGTGTCGACTGGGGTGATGTGCAACGCTCGTTATCTGGTGACGTGGCACAGCGAGAGGAACAACTACAAGCGTCGACACGTGTGTGCCATGCAATCGGTCAAGCACACACAAAAGGTATATACATCAGTACACGAATCGTCGACGCGGTCAGGGAGGAGCTGTGGGGCATGGCGTCTCCGAGGCCGCTCGGCCGCCGCTGCCGTCAGGATTTCCTGCCATTGAAATCCCAACTTGTCACCCAGATCGGGAAATCTTATTGGCCAATGAAACGTGGAACGGGGTCCCCTAGCCCCCCTTCTGGTGGTAATAGTGACATCTTGACGTCGGATTCCCTCGTTGTAGAATTCAAAGATTTAATTCGTCGCGTAGAGAAGGCAGTAACATACGTTGATCAAGACAAATATCATTTTATTTGGTCGACGGCAACGTCAGTAACGGATACAGTGCGACGAGCTTGGTCAAGATGTCGTTAAACCAAGGTGACTAACGAGGGGCTACAATCCCTGTTGACCGAACTAGCACGAATGTTGGTGTCCTTAAACAGAGGGCGTCAAGGGGACCATGCGGTCCAACGGGCGAAAATTTCGGACCAAAGGTCGTTAAAGAGCGACTTTTTCGAAAAAACGGCGACCTCACCCTTGCCAAGCACAAGGCGCATGACCTCGTCAGGCACACTTTTCGATTTGCCGTCAAAGCCCAAACCGAATTCACCATGGCCGACGATGATGTCCAAGCTCTTGTCGTAGACAACGGTTCCGGCATGTGCAAAGCCGGTTTCGCCGGTGATGACGCTCCCCGCGCTGTCTTCCCCTCCATCGTGGGTCGTCCCAAGCACCCTGGTATCATGGTCGGCATGGACCAAAAGGACGCGTATGTGGGCGATGAAGCTCAATCGAAGCGTGGTGTGTTGACGTTGAAGTACCCGATTGAACACGGTATTGTGACCAACTGGGACGACATGGAAAAGATCTGGCACCACACTTTCTACAACGAATTGCGTGTCGCCCCGGAAGAACACCCCGTGTTGTTGACGGAAGCCCCGTTGAACCCCAAGGCCAACCGCGAACGCATGACGCAAATCATGTTTGAAACCTTCAACGTGCCTGCCATGTACGTCAACATCCAAGCCGTGCTGTCCTTGTACGCCTCTGGTCGTACCACTGGTTGCGTGTTGGACTCTGGTGATGGTGTGTCGCACACTGTGCCCATCTACGAAGGGTATGCCCTCCCCCACGCCATTGTCCGCTTGGACTTGGCTGGTCGCGACTTGACCGACTACATGATGAAGATTTTGACCGAACGTGGTTACTCCTTCACCACCACTGCCGAACGCGAAATTGTCCGCGACATCAAGGAAAAGTTGACGTACGTCGCCCTCGACTTCGACCAAGAAATGAAGACGGCGGCCGAATCGTCTGGCTTGGAAAAGAGCTACGAATTGCCCGATGGTAACGTCATTGTCATTGGCAACGAACGCTTCCGTACCCCCGAAGTGTTGTTCCAGCCTTCGTTGATCGGTAAGGAAGCTGCCGGTATCCACGACTGCACCTTCTCCACCATCATGAAGTGCGACGTTGATATCCGCAAGGACCTGTACTGCAACATCGTGTTGTCGGGTGGTACCACCATGTACCCTGGTATCTCGGAACGTATGACCAAGGAATTGACCGCCTTGGCTCCTTCCACGATGAAGATCAAGGTCGTCGCTCCCCCGGAGCGCAAGTACTCTGTCTGGATCGGTGGTTCCATCTTGTCGTCGCTGTCCACGTTCCAACAGATGTGGATCTCGAAGGCCGAATACGATGAAAGTGGTCCGTCCATTGTGCACCGAAAGTGCTTTTAAATGCACTCTTGGCGGATTTGCGGCGGCATCCGTCGTGTGGTTTTCCTACGTCGTAGCGGCTTTGAGGCTTGAGTGCTTTGGCTGATGCTCACGGGGAGACTTTGCGATCTCGCGGTTGACGCAAGTCGTAGGAACTGAATATCAATTCTGAATAAAGTATACGTAGTTATCTAGTCCTTGGATGCTCCGCTGTTTCCTCGTGTTGTCCTGTGCTCATGCCGCCTTGAGCGCCGCACGGTGGTGTGGATCGACTTTGTGTTCCTGGTGCTTTCAATGAAGAAATTATCGACTGAAATTCTGCAAAGACGTTTTTTTTCGATGCAGTATCCGAGAAAATGAAAGGAATAGAGCAATTGGATTGGATGGAATGCATTGATTTTATCTAATCCATTGGAAGCATTGGCGGAGGCGATTTTGCCGGGAAACAGAAAGCGCCATTTTTTTCTGAACAAGCAGCCACATGCAGTGGGAGAGCAACGATGGCGGGTACATGGAAGGCAGTGGCGGGTACATGGAGTCCCAAACAACCCCGCAAAAGCAAGGTGGCACCAATTCTCGGGACAACCAGACTCTTACCCCGCTCACTGTGCGCCAACTGGTGACGGCTGTTGCGAGCGGCGAAGACAGTCCCCTTGTCGACGGCAAGGAACTCAACAACGTTCACCTCGTCGGGCTCTTGACAGAAGTCGTGCACAACTCCACGACCATCACGTTCGTGATCAACGATGGCACGGCGACGTTTGCCGCGCGATATTTTTTGCAAGGCGAGGATGACCCGTACCAACAACAATTGCTTGAGACTCTACAAGACGGAATTTACGTATCCGCCGTCGGGAACCTGCGGTCGTTTGGTGGCAAGACCAGCTTGTCGTGTCACACTGTGTCCCCTGTCGAAAACTTCAACCAGGTCACGCACCATTTCCTTGATTGCATCTACACACACCTCCGCAACACCAAGGTATGCTGGATCCCTCGGCTCGACCGCACGTCTGATCGTTGTGCTTGTAGGGTCCACTCGGCGGGGGGGGAGGCACGACGTCGCACAACTTTGGTGACACTTCAAGCCACTTTGGCGGTGGATTCAATGCCTTTGGGGGGCATCATGCATCGTCCGGTCACCAGCAGAACTACAACTTTGGCGCGTCGGATTCGGGGTTTTCCGACCCGGCACAGCAAGCGATCCTGGATATTCTGGGAGCGAGCTCCCTCGACATGGGTCTATCTGTAGATCAGATCAAGCAGAACCTTCACGGCCGACTAACCGACGCGCAGCTCCGCGACGCGCTCAACTACCTCACGAACGAAGGGCACATTTACTCCACGATCGACGAAAACCATTTTAAGCGCACGGCGTAATAACAATGCATGTCGTTCTTTTTGCGGAAACCACCGTCATTCCGTTGATCGCCCGTTCTTTTATTGGCAAACAACAGGGACGTGGTTGGTTCACCTCAGCATGGCGCGGCGAGAATGCGCTGGCGGAACACCCGCGACGCGACGTCCAAGCACGATTGCTTTTGCTTGTTTGTGGCATGAATGTTGGCGCCATGCTCAACGAGGAGGGCCGCGATCCCGTCGTGGCCTTCGAGGAGGGCAATATGCAGTGGCGTATTGCCTACGTCGAGAGCGAATGTTAGACGGACGACGTCAGGACCATTTTCCACATGCCATGGATGTCTTGGGTGCTAAGGGAAGCGCCGTGATCCAGCAAGAGGACTACGATATCTGTCCACCCTGTCAAATGACGTGATCACGCACGCAGGGCGTACCAGGGGATGGGCGACCACCCAGTGCCTTCGTAAGCGGAGTCGCGCCAGATCGATCCTACATTTCCATGAGAACGAATTCCACCGAACGAGTTGCACTAGATCTTGACGAACTGCGTGGTTGATGTTCCTCGTGGCGTCCACGATGAGCTCGGCAATCTCCTGACGACCTATGTTGCAGTGAAAGGGGAAGTTGGTGGATGCTGTAGTCCTTCTTGCGCGGCAACGTACATACCCTTGTGGTAATGGAGGGGAATCTGGCCGTTTTCGTTGGCCAGGTTTGCGTTTGCACCCCTATGTTAGACGGTGCGCGTCGAGTTCATCGATATGGAGAATGAATCGACATACTTGCTGAGCAAATGACTCACAACATCAACGTGCCCTGCTGACGTGGCGCTCATCAAGGCCGTCCAACCAGAGTCATCTTGGCGGTCGATCTGTGTCATCTCGGCCAGGTACTCCACGACATCAAGATGTCCCGACGAAGATGCCCAATGCAGCGCCGTTCGCTCGTCTTCGTCCACAGCATTCGGATTGTACCCACTTTCAACCAGCTTCTTCACCTCCTACAGAATCCCATCACGACGGGAAATCCTGCAGGATTATGGAACGGCACCGTGAGGTCACCGGATCGCGCCGCGATGCACAATGATGCCATGGCGCCGAAGTGGTAGTCGAGGAAATCTCATATCCGCATGGGATATCCGGATTTCCCAGAGAAAGGGCGGTTGCGACACAAATCCAGTCTGAAGGACAAGTGAAGAGTGCAGCAAGTCGGCATGGCGAAAGCAGTGATCTCGTCGGTAAGATCATGCGCGAAGATGTGATTCTTGCACGTTAACTTGTCGTAGATACTGCAATCCCAGCTTGGCAGGTATGTCGATGGACTGGCCCCGGAATCGCTACAAGTCGGGTTGTGGAGCGGGGAACTTTTGCTCACGAACTTGAAACTCAAGCCGAATGCGCTCGCGGAGCTGAACCTTCCCATCCTAGTAATCCAGGGAAGCATTGCGAAGGTGCATGTACTCGTTCCGTGGAATCAATTGGGGTCGGCGAGTGTGCAAATCACTCTAGAGGGGATATACGGGGTCGCTGTTCCGAACAACGAGGTAGATATCTCTTGTACTATGTCTGTATCGACGAGGGGCGTATTTACTAGCTCCCGACTCCCGAAGAGGTGTTGGTGGGAATTCGTAATCGGCTGGAACGTGCAGAGCTCATGCGTCAGCACCAACGGCACACGACAAACGGGCAACACAGTGCATCGGACCCGAAAGAAGACGAGAGTTTCTTTTCGAGACTAACGTCACGCATCATGGACAACCTTCTGATCACGATCCGCGATTTCCACATCCGCTACGAAGATGTGACGTCGAACCCAAGCACACCTTTCACGTTTGGCGTGTTGCTCGAGTCGTTCACGATTGAAACGACTGATGAACAAGGGCGCAAGTTGTTTGTGGACAGGAGCAACGCTCCGCCGGCAAAGATGCACAAGGTCGCGACGCTGAAGAATCTGACGGTGTACTGGGATCGATTGTCGAAAGCTACGTCGCTGCAAAAGTCCAAAAACTTTGAGACCTCGATGCGCAACGTGATCTATAGCGACTTTCGGCAACTCGACAGGCGATGGCTCCTTCTCCCACCATGCTCCCTCAGTGTACGTAGTTTGACTCGATGTTGCGTTGGAAATGCTGTCGGCATGACAGAGACGCTGGGATGGGACTGGAAACAGTCTACCACGTGGCAATGATTCGTCGAAGTCGATGTAGTGTGAGGAAGTCGATGATGGCGTCCTGGATTGGAATTCCTCAATGCGGCTGAAATCATGTGTGTTTTCGTTTATGCCGCTGAACACACGAAAATGCTTGGCTGGATTTGAGAGACTGCAGTGCCTTTTCACCCCATGAAAAATTGTTGCGCGAGCGTTCACGTTTCCGTCTTGCGCCTTCACCATGGGCATGCAACTCGACGGTTTGGGTGTGTAGGTTCGATTCACAAAGAACGAGAGCCAAGTGTTCACAAAGGAATGCCCCAAGTACCGAATCCAGGCGACGGTCACGACCCTAGCGCTTCACTTGAGTCGAGAACAATACGACGAAATGGTGTTTATGTACTTGGCGATGCGAAGTCGGCTAGCGATCGAAGCGCACTTTTGGTACAATCGCCATCGGCCATTTCTGTCGATCACCAACTATTCTATCGTACGCCACGCGACTGTCGCCTGTGTACCTCTGACGGCGGCGTTGGACGGTAGGTGTGGTGGGATTACGCTGTGCGCTTTTACAGCAAGAAGAAAAAGTTGCGCTTCCGCTGGTCCGTCGTGCGTAAAATGGCTCGCGACCGCAAAATGTACATCGCGTTGTACAAACAGCACCACTTGCAGCACATTCCGTTGAGTGCCGAGCAGCTGGCGTACCTGCAGCGCCTCGACGACATGTTCCCCCTCGAGTTGACGATGCGCCTGCGTGACATGGCCGATGCCCAACTCGCCAAGACCAAGACAGAGGCACAAGCGGCAGCCGCGCAGTCGTCGTGGTTTGGGTACTTTTTTGGCGAAGGCGATTCGTCCAAGGATGTTCAGGAAGTGCTGTCGGCTGAAGGCAAGGCCGATTTGAAGCGCGCATTTGACGAGACCGTTGCGCTGGAAGAGGCGCCGGTTCCGGAAGACTGCTGTATTGTTGTCGTCGACTTGACGTTGCAAAAGGGTGAAATTGGTCTGTTCGCATACAAAAACGTGCCGTTGCTGACGAGCGAGTTTACGGGGTCGTGTTTGTTTCAAGTCCAGCCCGCGTCGCGATGGCTGCTCCAACTCCAACTGCGTCGGTTGAACGTGCTGAATTGGCGTTGCGCCAATGCCGACGCAGCAGGACGCAAGTTTTGCGCGCTTCAAGTAGACCATGGAAGGAGCGCGACGACGAACGCGCCGTTTGAGATCTCCGTCGCCGCCACCGACGTGGCTGCCATGCGTGTGCGCGTCTCGGCCGATCCGATCCGCGTCGTGCTCGACCCCGTGTTCCTGTTGCAACTGATGGATTTTTTCTCCACCAACGACACCCTGAACGACGTATGGGAGTACGCGACGAGCTCGGTGCAGAACTACGTGTTTGCCGAGCAAGAGGCAGACATGCGCGCAGTCGTGGCCACGAAGAAGCACATCATGTACGACGTCCTCGTTGACATGAAAGCGCCGCTGTTTGTGCTACCGGAAGATGCCACATCCAACACCACGGCGATGTTGGTGTTGGATCTCGGTCGTTTTCACGTCCAAGACGTGGCGACGACCCCCGCTCGCGCTGCTGACGTGTACTCTTGGCAGTTTGACATGACGGAAATCGAGGTGCTCCTGCAACAGCCCAAGGCATCCAACGTGGTGCCGATCGTTCCACGATTCAATGTCGCGTTTGCCGTCGAATCGTCCAAGAATTTTCAAGACAGCCGCATTCCTTTTGTGTCGGCCAAGGCGTCGATGCCGTCCGTGATCGTGAATGGCGCACAAGACACGATCATGTCCCTCGGCAAGCTCCACGCGTCGCTCTTGAAACAATGCAAGGCGTATTGCAACGCATCGTCCGTGTCAGTGCACGTAGCCGATGACGTTGTGCCTGCATCGGCGGCGCAGCGCGATGAGACGTTGGAAAATGACCTGACAACGAAAAACGATGTGGACTCGTGTGTGCTACACCTCGTGTGGTTGATCGAGTTTGTTCAAGTCAACATTGACGACACATTCCGGTTCAATATGCGGGGCACGTGGTTCGACTACCAAGCTCGGAGCTCGTCGACAACGGTCCAAGCCAGGCTGCAAGATTTGTCGATGGAGGACCGATGCCATGCGGCGCAGTCGCCGTATTACTACCTCGCTCGCACCGAAGACTCGTCGGATTTGATCCAAGTCACACTGGCCACGAGCACCTCGCCGGCCCGTGTGGCGGACACTACTGTCGACGTACAGTTCAACGTGCTGCACATGCAGTGGAATCCGTCGTCAATTATGATGCTGTACACGATGATCGCGGCGTACGGCAGCAGCATGGACGGTTCAACGACGACCGACTTGTCTGCTTCGATCATGAGTCAGAGCACGACCTTGGCCAAGCCCACCAACGCGACCATCCCGTCGTTGAAAGTCACAGCCGCGCTCAAGAAATTCAGTGTGTCTTTCAACAAGGACGAGCTCGACCGCCGCTTGCTCACCGTGACTGTGGCCAATGCATCGCTTGGGTACATTGGGCATCAGTCGGGGCTGTTCAGCGTGCAGGGCGAGTTGGGCGACATGACCGGAGTCGACTTCAGCGTGAAGAAAGCGCCGACGTATTCTCCGTTTTTCGGCATGGATCGAAGCGTCGAAGGTTCCAAATCGTCGGTCGCCAAGTTGCTCCAGTTCGAGTATGACGTCACGGGCGGGGCGACGATGCCGCGATTGTCGCTCGTTTTAAACTCGATCCGGATTGTGTATTTTCACCAGCAGATCCTCGAGTTGGTCGACTACTTGTTCCAAGGCATCTTGGGCTCCCTCGTGAACCAAACATTGCTCAGTGCGACGCAACTCCTTCTCGAACCTGCAGCGTCCGTCGTCTTGGACATTCGCATCGAACAGCCCAAGATCCTCGTCCCCATGGAACCCTTGGATGTCGAGCATTTCTTGCTCACGTCGTCGCGGTTGACTCTCACCCATGTGCCGTCGACGTTTGCTGCGTACGCCGACTCGATGCTGGCGGTTGTCCGCACTCGCGACAATGCGCGTTCCGAGTTTGCGTGCGATTTGAAGCACGTCGTGCTCGAACACGCTGGACTGTACAGCTCGAACGGCAGCGGAGGCTACGACGACTTGATGGCAAAGCCAATGACGTTGTCGATCTCTATTATCGACGTCCGGTCCACACACCTCGAACACGATGGCAAGGCGCTTCCTCGCTTCTCCATCGATTGCCTCATGCCCCATATGCACCTCAAGATCTCGCGAAAGCATTACCTCATGTTCTTTCGCGTGCTGGGGGAAAACATTGGCGGCGACTCGCTCGTGTCGTCGGCGGCCGCCGCGATTCACCAAACGGACACGGGGTCGAATCGTCCCGTTGTCGTGTACGAGTATGCGAACGCCGACTTGGAAGCTGCAACGATGGCGCTGTCATTCTTGATGGAGTCGTTCTCGTGTGCGCTGGACATTGGGTTGACACTTGAAACGACCAACTTGACGGTGTGCTTGAACCTCCTCCATCATGTGAATCCGTTGCTCCATGTGAGCTTGGCGAATGCGTCCGTCTCGAACGTCATGCGATGCGACTCGATCATGACAATCAAATACGAGTGGGATGATGAAGCCGGTACGACCTTCCTCGACGTTGCGCTCAGCCACCTCCATGGCAAGTTGATTCCGCATGTCTTGGTCGACGTTTCGCGCTTCTTTGCCTTGGAGACCAACGACGAAGCGCCCGGCGCGACGACCGCAGCTGTTGTGGCCATCCCTGCCCCGAATCGCCAAACGTCCTTCACCATGAACATGGTCGCCACGAATGTCCAGCTGAGTCTACCACAGGACCTCCAAGTCGACCACGGGGTCGAGTTCGTCGTGGCGGCGAATTTTGACGTTGCGTTCGAGAGCTTTACAAACCACATTGAACACCTTCAGCAGAAATTGACGCTGCGAGCGAGCGACTGTGAAGCGCTGCTGCAAAATGCCAATCGGCAGGGCTGCAGCGACACGTTGGTGCAATTGATAGAACCAACCACGATGGGGGTCACGTACTTGGGTTTCGAACCGTGCCCAGGCCACCACCAGGACAAAATCGATGTGTCTGTGAGTCCGATTGAAGTATTTTTGTCGTACGAAGACTCGCGGGTTCTCGCGGACGTGTGGGCCACCATGCAGTGCGACATGCAAACGTCGGCGTCTCCTCCATCCAACGCGACGTTGACAAGATCGTCTTCCAAGCCGCTCCAACTGGCGTCCGACCGTGTCGTCGACGTTCAGCGCCACATCACGTGCGACGTCGCGAGCATGCAGCTGACGCTCATCAACGATTGCGACGGGTGCGACATGGGGCTCCTCCAGCTCGAGCTCCCAATGTGTCGGGTGTTCATGAATGCGACAACGACCAACGACGCAACAACGGCCACAGGTGGCTGTGATCTATCGTTTGCATCGTCCTACTACAACCCGGACAGTCGCGTATGGCATCCGCTATGCCCCGAGTGGAAGCTCGCGGCGTCTGTCATGACCAATATCCCACACGTTGTCAAGGAGGACCAGTTGAACTCGATGCAGTGGCATATCTCGGCTGATACGCTGAAACTGACGGCGACTCATGGGTTGCTCGAGGCGCTGGCGTCCGCGGGGGGCTCTTTGATGAAGGCCAAGGAAACGACCGACGACGCATCTCTCAAGCACGCCGCGCCGTGCTTGATTCAGAATGAATCGGGGATGCCCATTGAGTACTGGTGGAGTAGCGACCCGCGCAAGAAGACCCGCGTCGAACACAAAGGAGCAGACGCGATTCATTATGTGCATGTCAAAGGAAAGGGCGCTGGAGTCACTAGAACGTACACGTCGAGCGACAAGGAGCATGGCACGCTCTGCATCAACCTCCTTGGGATGGACACGATGCCAGTCCAAGGTGAGTCAAATCTCGCGAAGGCTCTTCACGGACGTGCGTAGGCATTGTCGTCGAGCAACTGGGCACGCGTCTCCATGCCCTCGTCGAGACCTGTGGCAGCTTGTCCAAGCTCAAGTACGCAACCAGCCTGCGTCGCTACCTAATCCCTTGTGTGACTAGTGTGACGTGCGATACGCAGCTCGTGGGCGGCCACATTGTACTCACGATCTCGTCGCATCTGCGCGTGCAAAGCCATCTATCGAACGAGATTCAACTGCTCGTATACGACCCCACGTGGAAATCTCCCGTGGAACTCGGCAACTTGCGCCCCCTCGCGTCGACGTATATTCCCATAGCATACTCCACGGGGTACACACGCCATCCCACGTCGCACGAATCGCATGATATGGCTAACCCCGGGCGGACGCAGGTCCGAGTTGCGCGTGCGACTGAATGGACCCGACTGGGCGTACAGCAGCCCGATCCCCATCGACGCGGCAAGCACGTCCACAATCACCGTGACTTGCGTGCACGAATCGTCCAAGGTCGCTGTGTTTTGCGTGGCACTCGACAACGGCGTGATTGAGCTGTACGAGCCGTATGTGCTCGAGAACAAGCTGCCCGTGTCGGTCATGTTCCAAGTCAAGGACGCGCAGTCGTTGCCGCGAGGCGACGACGTTGTGGTCGGGTGCAAGTCGGCCATTTGGTGGTGCCGCAGCACGCCCGTGTTTGCATTCAACGTCCCTGGGTGTGAAACCACGAATTGGCTCCCTCTCCTACGCAAGCGGGACGGCGACACGTTCTCGCTCACCCTCAAGCGGTTGGATCGACAACCGTTGACGATTCTCGTCGCGATTTCCGAAAACAAAGCCAAGGCCGTCACGATCACGCTCCTGGCCGAGATGTGGATCATTAACAAGACTGGCGTCGAATTGTTGTACGGCAACGACGCCGACGACGTGTACGTACCGCAAGCGCGGTCCGTGATCGGGGCCACCAACATCACGCTCTACTCGACGCCGTCCGCGCTGCGCTTCAGGATGGGGTTGTCCAACTGGACGACGCGCTTCAAGGCGGACCCGAAGCGAATGAATTGGCAAGACGAGTGCCTCGCCGTCACGACAAGCCAAGGTCGGCTGTACGAGTTTGGTGTGTCGGCGGACTATGGTACGCGTCACTTTGGCGTCTTGACGACGTTGGTGAGTATCACTCCTCGGTACGTGGTGGTGAACCGCACGCCGTGGACGTTGGTGCTGCTCGAGGACGATGGATCGCTGCAGACGATGGACCAAGTGGACCACGTGATCAACGCCGGTGACGCGTACAGCTTGTGGTGGGCAGGAGGCAGCCGCAAGGCCCTTCGCGCCAGTGTCGTGGGCCTCCATGGGACGTCAAGTTGGTCGGACTCGTTCAGCATCAATACCCCCAACACGTTTGACTTGATTGTCCCGAATGACGTCGACTGTCCGTACCTCCAGGTGTGCCCAAATGATGATAGCTCACATGACAGGTTGGTGCTGCAGGTAAGCGTCAAGACGGGTGGGCTCTCGCAAGCGACGTTCGTGGTCGACATTGCGCGTCTCGATTCGGAACCCGACCTGGAGCAGTCCAAGTGGGACGTCATCAGCTACGACATCAAGGTAGGCCACGTTATCGTGGCGTGCACTGAAACGCGAGTTGTCAGGTTGCTGGGTTGGACATCACGCTGTCCGACTCGACCCAATCGGCCAACGACGCGTTCGACTTGTTTGGCAGCAGCGCCATGGCGGAAGACGTGGCTCGATTCAGCATTTCGAACATTCGCTTCGATTCGTTCAAGGACCGCATCTCGACAAACGTACGTCTACGTTGCAATATCGCTTGGTTCGTCATGTGTGGGTCGTAGTCGCATCTCGACATTGCATCCGTCACGCTGGAAGACCTGCTGGAAGGCACCAAGTACCCCAAGGTCCTGACGCCGTCCAAAGCTGGCCACGACTTTGTCCAGTTTACGTATGTCTCGAAGCGGCATCCCAAATACGCGTACATTGAAGAGCTCACGTTGTGGGTGAAGGACGTCCATCTCCAGACGTCGATGAAGTTTGTGGACCGCATCAACACGGTCGTGGCGGAGGTGTCGACGCATTTTGCGACGACGCCGGTCGACTTGCTCACGTACTTTACCGCTTTTGACTCGATGGAAATGACGGCCATCACGGGGCGCAAGTGCTTTTTTGAGCGCTGCCACATCCACCCGATCAACGTGGTGGTGTCGTTTGTCCGCGACAAGAACGATCGCATCGACCCGTCGGCTGGGTTTTGGATATCAAACCTCAAGTTCCGCATCAAGGACGCGTCGATTGTGCTCGACGAGTACAAGCTCAGCCACGCGTTTGCGACGCAAGAGTCGGTCGTCCATGCCGTTGGCGCGTTCTACGTGAGCTCGATGAAAGGGCAAGCGCTCAACTTGATCGAGTCGATCCAGGTCACGTCGCTTGTGACGGGCGTTGTCAAGGACGGTGTGTCGTCGTTGGTGTCGACCTTGATCGGAAAGACGGACACATCGCTTGCGTCGTCGGCTTCGTTTCGGTACGAGTCGCTGTCGAATCAAGCGATCGTGGCCAAGCACTCGGCCGCGCTGGCCAAGCGATGCACGTCCCCCGCCGACGTTGCCGTGATTCTCAACCACTTGGTGTACGACTGGGACGGCAATCACACGGGGCTCGAGGCGCGGGCGTGCATGGCACTCGGGATTGTCAACAATTCGCGGCAGTCGGTGGTGCTGCAAGTGTTTTTAAAGGATGGCGCTGAAACGAGACTTCTCCCCACTGGCCGCAACTACCTGGACGGCGCGTCGACCCAGCACTGGACCAGCGACCGCGCGCTCATCGTGTTTGCGTGGGGTTACACGCCGACGCTGCTCACGACGGGCGACATTTGCCTCCAGCTTCAGTCGAACGCATTCAACTTGTACATTTCGAAAAACTCGACGCGGCTGCAGCCGAATCCTGGTTACTCGGCGACGTTTACGGTCCAGGAAAAGCAGACGTGGTGGTCCAAGTTTATGATCATCGTCGGCGACGACTTGCCGTCGCAGGAAGTGTCGTCGACCGACGCGATCGACACGTACGAAGTCATGTTTACGACGGACGCGCTCGGGATTGTGGCCAAACAAGTCGACCATCAGACCGTCGTGGTGCGCGAGTGTTGCTACTTTTCCAACGGCCAGCCCGGCCCGGCGCTCGCGACCGGCCGCATCTCCGAGGACGACGTGATTCTGTCCGTGAATGGAATTCCCATCAAGTCGACTCAAGCATTCAAAGACATTATCGTCAACACGTCGAGGCCAATTGTCGTCCGATTCAAAAAGGCCTCGTTCGACCTGTTCGGGGAGACGCCTCGACGCGGACCCAGCGGCGGCGAGTACAGTTTGTTTGGGTAGGAATGGATTCCACCCACGTGATGCGACATCACTTGTGTGCTGTGGACGACGGACAGCGCCACCACTGTCGACATGCGTGAGCGACGGATTGTAACAAAGCCATCCCTTTGAAGCTGTCCTTGGACGTTCGTCGAGTCCACAAGTGCCTGTGCGTGAGTAGTGGATCGCCGACGTGTGTGCAAATGCCATGAAGTCTCAAATTCGCATTGTGTCGTCAGGAGAAACGGATGAAGTCGGAAAGATGATAGGGACAGCTCCACCACTGTCGACATCCGTGAGCGACGGATTGTAACAAAGGCATCCCTTTGAAGCTGTCCTTGGACGTTTGTCGAGTCCACAAGTGCCTGTGCGTGAGTCGAGTGGATCGCCGACGTGTGTGCAAATGTCATGAAGTCTCAAATTCGCATTGTGTCGTCAGGAGAAACGGATGAAGTCGGAAAGATGATCGTGATCTTGGTCCCGAGACGAGGGGGACGTGGCTCGCGAGTTGTGCGCAATGTAGGCGCATTTGGATTTGACGAGTCGACCGTGTCGAGGGCGGTAGCAAGTTGTGCAAGCACACAACCAAGAATATGACCATGATGCGAGGTCATGGCGTCCGTGACGATCTTGCGTTGGACGACCCATCTTGTTGTTCAAGCACGGACGAGTGGACCATTTGAATCGAGTGTCATAGTTGATCATTCGCGCGGGTGGGTTGCAAGCCCGGGAGTTGAATCGGGCATCATCATGGCCTCCCAGAAACCTGACGGCGGCGGAGTCTCCACGCCGAGGACATCTATCAATGCGCCATGGCATACGTCGACCATGGTTGCGGGCCGTGATGGAGGATGGATTGACGTGGGTTGGGAGTTGTGCAATTGGAGCGACAAGAGCCGATGCACATGGAACGGGAGCAATCGTTCGTGCACCAGAAGGGGTCATTGAAGCGCGTCGATGAATTCCTCAAGTTGACGCACCGGCAAGATGCCGCGGATTGAACCATGGCCCTCGAACAGATCCTCTGGCACAGAGTCGACAAGTCCGCATCCAAAGACGCCCTTGTCGAGCGGCCGCCGATGCGCTGTGGCACGGGTACCCCTCCAAAGTATCGACGTGTTCGATCTCGTCGACCTCGTAGGTGGTACCCACGAATGTCTTTGTGTCGTCCTCTGCACGGGCTCCCGCCGAAGATTGGGTTTGCCACCGCCTCGGATCTGCAACTCAAAATCCTCCATCGTTCGGTCGTACGCTCGGGTCGACCTCCAACGGCGTGCGCCAGGACTGCTTCAAGTGGGCGAGTCGGTCCAGCTGCGTTGTCGTATGAGACGGAGAGAATCCCGCGCGATGCGACGCCTGCCCTTGCACACGGCGACGACTCGAGGTGGCTGCAGGACGGCAGACGTGGGTCGGTGCCGCCGCTCCGGCTAGCGCTACACGGATGTGGTCGATGCTGTGCTGGGTACGAGCTGCCACTCGGCGCGGGACAGTGTGGTTTAGCCGGTGGGGCTTTTGCGGATGCATGAATTGCGTTCAAGAAATCAAGTGCGTCGCCACCAAGTCTACACGATCTCGTCCGTGACCAGAACGCCCATCGGATGCCGCGATGCGTAGTGTCGGCGCAGCCACGTCGTGGTCAAGGCGCACTCGTCGTGAGGTCGATCCAGGCGGCGAGCAGCATGCATGAACGACTGGACTCTACGACGACAGGGCGGGCGGCGCAAAACTCGCTCAGCCAAACGTGGTGATCCCGGGAGTCAATAAGATACACGAACACTTCGGAAACAAACGGGGGCGGCTAGCTAGCTATGTGGACACGGTGGCCTTGGACGGCCGTTGTTTGGCTCGATGAGGCGACGCCAGCGACGAGCGCAGCTTGAGTGCGAGCGCAAACTCCTTGAACGAGAGTCCGTCCGCTTCGACGGCGTCATGCATCCACTCGACGAGATCGGCCTGGTCTGTGGACGACACGTGGAAGTTGATTTGATGGAAGCCGTCGAGGAGCTCTTCCAGCGTGATGCGCTTGTTGTTGTTGACGTCCATGGCGGCAAAGACGTCCCATGCCCGGAGGTCGTTGACGTGGATGTACGAGTCGAGGCGTTTGAAGCAGGACGGGGGCGATGAAACGAGCGGACATACCGACTTGTGCGCGGCGACAACCGCGGCATTCCCATAGTGGTGCGAATTCAACCGGCTCGCTTCGACAGGAAGGACCGGAGCCGCTTGCGGCGGGCGATACAGCATCGGCCGCTTGTCTTCGTCCACTTCGTCCTACGCAAAGCACACCCGTCATCTCGCCGCGCCACCAATCGCCGCTGTACCAAGCTCGATCGAGGCGTCGATCGAGGACAGCATGCCGTGTATGCTTGGCCCATCCTCGAGAACGAATGGGATGGATCTTGAAACGGCGGCAGAATGTTTGTCGAAACGCGAATTCCCGTGCAAGTTTCGCCAACGGCGGCGATGGTCCTGCTATCGAAGCTAACGCTGCCAGACGCAGACAAGAACAGCAAAGCCAGCAAGACGCCCATCACGCAGCTGACGTCGTCGCAATGCATCCAATGGCTGAACCCACGGCGCCAGGCACACGGCCTGCCAACGTACAGCAGCAACAAACCGCCGCCCGTCGAACAGCTACGTAGCGAAATCATCGATGCCGTGCAGAACGGGACGTACAGCCAGTGCGTAGGCTGCGCTAGTGTGCGTATGGCCATGATGGCTCCTCACGGCGTCGTGTCTAGCACAACCATCCGCGCGTACGACGACGACGAAGCGAATCACCCCAAGCCCCTCGGCGCGCGGTGGTCGCGGAACATGCCCGTCACCCGCCAGCACCTCGCGGCAAACCAAAGCATTCCGTACACAGATCTGTGGACTGCTGCGTTTCACGGACGCGTCGCCGAGGTCCGTATCCCCCGTGGGTATCCTTCATCCCATGTGCCGTGCTTTCCAGGTGCAATACTACGTCCGCCACGGCCTGCATCCAGACACGGCGGAATTCGGGTACCCGAACCAAACGCCACTGCACTACGCTGCCGCGGGAGGCAGCGCGGCCATGGTACGTGCATGTTGTCACCCCATGGCTGCATGAGAAGCGCGTTGCAGGTGACGTACTTGCTTGCCATGCACTGCAGCCTCGTCGCCGTCGACGCGAATGGAAACAGTACGTGGCGACCGCGATCGCGCGTCTGCCCTTGCGGCAGCGTGCTAACGTGTCCAAGTAGCTCCAGTGCACTTGGCGGCGCGATGGGGTCGTCGGGAAGTTATCAAGGTCATGAAGATGGAGACGAACGATGGTTCGTGGACCATCCAGAACAAAGCGGGGCAGACGCCGGACGCGATCGCCCGTGCCCATGGCCACGAAGAAAGAGTCGGCGTGTTGTAGTGTCGATGAAAAATTGCTTTAGTCGGCGCGGCGATGCGGCCTATTCCAGCGCGGTGTACCTGTTGAACACTGGCGTCTTTGCCTGGTTCAGGCGCGCGATGTACTTCCACACGATCAGCAGCAGCGACACGGACAGGACGGTGACGACGACGACCTTGAACGCCCACGACGCCGAGTGGCGCGGGACGCGCGTCGGCGCCAAGAGGGACGCGGCAAATTTCGCCAGCGACGGACTCACGCACGCTTGACGGATCGCGAGGCCGGCCGCCTAGACCCGTCAGTCGTTCCGTGATGTGGATCGTAGTGGCATGGTGGTCCTACGTGCTTGAAGTCGGAAAACGCGCATCGCACGGCCGCGGTTCCGTTGGCGAGCACGATGTCCTGGGAGCAGTGCGGAATCGCGACCGGGACGCGATCCGGGGGCTGCACAAGACGTCGATGAGAACAGCATCAAGTCGATCATATCACAGTACGTTTTCCGGCGTCAGCACTTGCGCGTGGCGAATTTGCGTCGGCGACGCGGCCATGAAGAACGCTTCGACGTAAAAGTCGGTCTCGGCAGTGCTATTTTTTTCGCGGCTCGTCAGTTGGGCTTCGATCGTCGAGCTACCTGTGCGGGCGGTCGGCGTGCAGCTCGAGCACGAGCATGCTGCCGGGGTTGGGCTGGTCGGCGAGCCAGTTTTCCGTCTCCCATTCGAGGCTACGTCGCAGCGATGACGCGGCCGAGGGGTGCCGTCGACGTACCGCAGCAGGTTCTTGAGGAAGAGCAGATTGATGTCGTGGCCCGCGTAAAAGAGGAACGTGTTGGAGAGGCTCTGCAGAAGATGGGGGCCATCGTCGTCGCGGTGGCGCGCGACGGCTTCTGGCGACGACTGCTGGATCGTCTGCTGCATGCTCGCAACCAAGTGCACGAGAAGGGTCGACCCAAAGTTCTCCGAGTTGAATTGGTTTGTTACGAGGTCCATGTGGGCCTGCACACGGACAAGTGAGCGCGGCGGGACAGCGCAACCCACCTTGTGGATGGCTCCAAGGGCGACGACGTCGTCGAGCGCCATCGACGGCGGCAGCGACATGTTGTTCAGGCTCTGCAGGAGGAACCACTCGGAGAGGAACTGCGCTTCCGACAACGAGTCGTGCCACGGGTCGTAAAATTTGCCCGTCTGGCACAAAGCACGCGTCATGACCTGCCACGACGGTCCGACGACAATACCCATGTGGACGGCACGTGGAAGAGGTCGCAGCCGTCGGCGGCGGTCGAGTTGCACACCACCGGCTCGCAGCAGTCGACGACGGCATTCAGCCGCGCAATTTGACGCTCAAACAGCCGAGCGACGTTGTCGGTGGTCGACGCGCCGACAATGCCCTCGTACACTCCACGCGCCATGTCATTCGTCGTGGAACAACGACGAGGATGCACGTACTCGAGTGAGATGCCACGGGGCACGTGGCTGTCGGGTCCTGGCCTTGCTCAAAGAGCAGTCGCGTCCCGTTCGTGACGGGCGACAAGTCGGCACAGGTCGGCAGGAATCCATGGAGGAACTCTTGCGCCGTGATCTACTCCGCAACGACGTCATGACGTAACCACGAACCTACGCCGTACATAGTCTCGCTCGTTGTCATCGGCGTAGGCAAAGGCGTCGCCGCACGAAGCGCTCGCGGCGGCGATCGACGGATACAAGTGCTGGGCAAAGTACTGCAAACAAAAACAAGTCGGTGAGGTCGGAAACCAAGACTAGGCTGCTGGCGACCTCTCCCATGCGGCGGATGACTTGCGCGCCGTGCTTTGTGATCTTGGGTGTCACGAGCTCCGCGTCGTTGTTGGACGTGCCCCACTCGGTGCCCTTGACAGGGAACGGGAACTTGTTCTTCGAGTACCGCTGCATGTTGGTCTCCGTGGGCGGCAAGTCGTCTGGGCCGTAAGGGCCACGCACACCATGACGCGACACGACCAGCACCTGTCTCAACTCGGCCGACGCCATCATCGACGCCGCCAAGATGGCGCACGCCGCCGCCGCCGCCTTCGCCACCATGTTCATCGGCTGTCGCAAAGTTGTGCAAAAAGGGTGAGAGCCAAATCAACGTGGACAAGCCAATCAGAGTTCGAGGATTTCAGACCAGGACTACTATCTGACACCTTTAGTAGTACTATACTCAACATCATCGCCAGGGTGAAGGCGATGGGTGCAGATGTGGAGATGGAAACCGTAGATGCACACACTTGCGTTGGGAAGGTTGGTACAAAGGAATACTCGACCAGAAGCGTGGTGAAGGCATGTCGAACTTGGACGCGTCGCAAGGTTGGGCATGTCCACATGAACAATCCCAATCGAAGTTGTCGAGATAGTACTACTATCTAGTACCTGTCGTCGTACTATCCTCAAGACCGTCAGGCGGGGCGATGGGTGCAGGAGAAGCTGTAGGTGCAGGCTCAAGCTAGGTGCAAGACAGTGCACCAGATGCGTCGGGCGGGTATGGGACTTAGCACGTAGACGCGTCCTTTGTGACGAAGCAAACGGTGTGCGGATCGCCCTTGCCGTCGCGGAGGACCTTCATGCACATTTTGCGGCCGACGTTGAACCCGAGTGCGGAGAGCACGTCCTTGATGGACGCAACTTTGGACCCCGCAAACTCAATGATGACATCGCCTGTGCCGCCATGCATTATGATGATCCGTCCGTCGTGGCGACGTATGGCGATAGTCGCACCTGGAAGAATGCCGGCAGCTTCCGCGGGCGACCCACGAGCCACGGACCTGACAACGACGCCTTGCGACAGCGTCGGGTACAGTCTATGGGCGGTGTTTTCGATCAGAGACATCCCCACCGACACGGGCGGCGTTTACTTGGCGATCTCGGGAAGCACCGCGCGGGTGAACTGCACCATTTGCATGCCGACGTAGGGTCTCGCCACGGTGCGGTGCTTGCGCAATTGATCGATGACTTCCATGCCTCCGTCGATCGGGATGGCAAACGAGATGCCCGACACGCCTGACGCGCGCAAGAAAGTTGTCAAGTTCCATCGCTGTCGAATTGCCGTCTACCTCCAGCCAACTTCATCGTGTTGATGCCGATGACTTGGCCGTCCAAGTTGACCAGCGGGCCACCCGAGTTGCCCACGTTGATGGCGGCATCCGTTTGAATGAACTCGGCTCGATTCGACGGCGAGAACCTGCCACGTCATCAGTGAATCCATGGATCACGCGGCGGAGACGGCAGCACACCCGAGCTCACTGCTGAGCCGCGCCGTCGCGCTGATGATGCCTGCGCTGACGCTGTTCTGAAGCGAGAGCGGACTCCCGAGAGCGATGACCCACTCGCCAGCACGCAAACTCGACGACGATCCGATGGCGACTGTCGGCAACTTGGTCACAGGCTCTGCCAACCACGCAGTGACGTATGTCGTAGATATTGTGGAAGGAATGGTACCATCGATCTGCACGAGCGCCAGGTCCGACTTGGCGTCGGTGCTGTGCACCTTGGCCGTGTACTTTTGGCCATTCTCGAGCGTCACCTGCTAGAAGTTTGAACGGTGTGCTGCGAAAGCTAAAAGCCTCACCGTGATAGCGGAGTACCGACCAAGGTTGGCCACGACGTGCGCGTTGGTCACGATGAGCCCTGTCGGCTCAATGATGAAGCCCGATCCGGAGCTAACTGGCTGATGGTGGGCGAAGATCGTGATGTTGACGACGCCTGGAGCCGCTTTCTCGACTGCATCCGCGATAGAATCGCGCGTCAGTGGTAGGCCGGTGGACTTGAGATGTGCAGTGGATTGGTCGTCTGCATCCGACAACTCAAGTCATGTCCGTGGGAATAGCTGGCGCACCTGCTGCTGCTGCTGCCACCGCTGCCATCGCGAGACTGAGACCACCTGCGAATTGCAGTGGCCCAAGAGGGATACTGCTCGTGCCCTGGCGTGTTCCAGCGTGACCTTTGGAGGCAGGCGTTCGCAAGCTCGTGAATGCGCGCAGCCCAGCGCGACGTCGAAGCCACCGGCCGCCGTAACGTTGAAGACCGCCGAGCATTCTAGAAATGCGATTATCCGGATAAGCGGTTCTTTGGCTGGTGTTTCCTAGATACGTGCAATATTTTATCATTTCCAGTCCAACACTAAATTATTCGCTTGTATTCCTCGACTCGTCGACAAATTCGTCATTCAGCGCCGCATCCACACAACACACACACTATAAAACGTGACACCGATGCAAGGAATGCTTGTCGCCGAAGAGCGCCGCACGACATGCCCGATCTCTTCACTCTGTCTCACAAAGATGCAGGGATTGGCACGCGCACTGATATCTGCCATCCAAGGTCGTGGACACAGCGCAGAGGAATAATAATGCACTTACATAAGGTACCCACCACCTTTTATCCGGATGCACCTTTGACGCTCAAGTTGATTGTTTTGAATTCCATTGAAAAAGAACATTCACCCGCTTGTTCGTCGCATGGCGCGCCTACCACTCGTCCTTGATGATGGGGACGGTGACGGCGAGCGTGTCGGTTGTGGCGTCCCACGTGGCTTTGCCCTGTTTGTGCCGGACGGGATTGGGGAGGTAGAGCGAGAGTTTCCTACGACATCCAGCCAGGTCGGCGTTAAAGGAACAAGGAGTCGTCGTACAGAGCGTGCGATTGAGCGATAAGCTTGTGCTTGGTAAGGTCGAGTGCAATTTCATCGAGACGGTGACCTGGGAAAGATATCTTGATCGTCATGGCGTCGCAACTGGCCACGGACGGATCCTTGTCTCCAAGACCGAGAAACACGTCCTCCGTCATGACTTCCTGCTTGAACAACACTTCGTGCCTACGCTCGCCGTGGTTCAAACACGTCAAGTAAAGCGTCTTCTCGGCGGTGTACTTGGGGCGCCGCCGCGTGTCGAATTCGTCGTCGTCTCCGTCGCTGCCAACTTCATCGTCGGTCCAGATCGCCTTGGGATCGGCAGTGACGATCTGTCCAATCTGCCGATTCATTGCTTCTACAGCCACGTTGCAGTGATGGCGCATTTTAAAGCCATGGCGATGGAGAACGCACCTTTTGGCAATGCGACGTGTGCGTGCGGCACAGGTCCGTTCGACACGGCTCCCTGTCCACAGGCCAACTGTAAGGGCGACAGCCGCCTACTTCGCGCCAGACGTTAGGACGTCTCTCACCTCGTGACGGTCGTCTTCCTCGGCAGGCTGGAGCAGGTCGCTCAGCGCCAACAGGTCGTGGAAGGAGCTCATCGCGCCGCAATCGCCCAGAATGGAGAACTTCGACGACTTTTCAAGGTGACCGCGTAGTTTGTGGAATCTTCAGGAAATCGCCAAATTATTGGGAAAATTTTTTCCATTTTCAACTTTGAGACGAATTTTCCCAATCCTCACTGGTTATCTTCGACATCTCACATCGAGATGGGACATGTGTCGGCGGCGGCGGACGCCCCGTGCAGGCCGTATTGCCCGTCAAAGGCGACGCTGTACGTGTCGATGCTCCCGTATGCGTACACGAACAATGACGTAGCGCAACTGTTCACGGGGTACGGCAAGATTGCCAGGGTGACGTTGCTCCGGCACAAGGACACTCGCGCAAGTCGCGGCGTTGCATTTGTGCAGTTCTCCCAGGTGCAAGATTGCGAGGCGGCATGCAAAGCGATGCATGGCGCGTTAGTAGAATCGATGACGTTGAATTGCTCCATCTCAAAGGACAACGGCCGATCTGGCGACTTCATGAAGAAGCGCAAGTACTCGTCCAAGAAGGTGTGCTTCGAGTGCAACGCGTCTGGCCATTACTCGTACGATTGCCCGCGCAATGTCCTGGGATCGCGAGACAAGCCAAAATTCAAGAAACCATCCAAACGACGGACCAAATTCGAGCACGGCGAAGCCGCCGATTTCTTTGACAACCCTCTCGACGACGACAGGTACGCCACCGCCGCTTTATCCCGACCCACTGATCGTGGACCTTGCAGCGATATTGGCAACGTCGGCGTCGCGGCTCTTGCCTATTCCAAGCACGCTCCTCCCTGTCCCATGACCCATGCAACTAGCGACAGCGTCGTCTCGCGGCGCCAGATCAAGAAGGATTCGTACTTTAGCGACGAGGACGAGTCCCCGTAGTCGGGTGGACGCATCGAACACTCGTATTTAAAGTCGTCGGCCCACTTCAGGCGCTGCATGAGGATCGTCCATGTCGAGTCCATGCAACTTCCACCGCGCTCGCCGACGCGACGCCGCAGACAGTGCATGCCAACGTTGGCTGCATGGGTCCGGTGCAAGCCACGCAGAAACACATCATTCTCTACTTCTTGGTTGCCGCAGGTGGCGGGTTTTCGCGAAAGCAGCTGCGCTTGAGCTTGACAACCTGCGACGATGATGACGTCCACGATCTCGACATGTCGAGAGGTATACCTGGGTGTGGATGGCGCTGGGTGCGATGCGCTGAAAGTTGCCCATGTGTTCGGGCATTTCACCGTGCTGCCGCGGGACGTGGCCGCGCAAGATGTCTGTCAAGTCCTCGTTGAGTTGCCTCATCGCGCGGGCTTCTGCTTCCATCGGGTGCATCAGGTTGGGCCGCTTCTTGTCGTGCGCGAGTTCGTCCGCCCGACGCTGAAGCACCGACACGAGCGCGGCCCGGTCAAAATGCAGCGGATTCACCACGCGCATTGTGTCGTACAAGAGCGCGTCCTTGATGACGTAGTCGAGATGGTTTTCGCGCGCCATCGACGGCGACGAGTTGATCTCGATGAGCCATGGCCGGTACTGGTCGTCGAGCAAGATGTCGTACCCGTACAAGTCAAACGAGTTGACTTGGTACGGAATCGAGTCTTCGCCGGCCACGAGCGACTTGACGATAACGTCGACGATCGCGGCCTTGATCGCGTCCACGGGGGCGTTGGCCGCCGCCAGCCGCGACCACAGATACGCCAAACTACGGCAACCACATGCGTCGAGCTCGCAAAGCGGCAGCGTACCTGGCCTTGGTCCCGCCGGCCTCGGTCGCGTCGGCTTGGTGGACCGGGTTGTCCCTACGCCAGACATGTCGAACCGCGGCATGGCAGCGGCGGGCTACGTACGCAACTTGGTCCATGTGGCCATGTTTTTGAATGCTGCTGTTGGTCAAGTGCATGAACAGATTGCCGAGGTCCGCCGAGTCGGTGCTGTAGCGGTGGGTGCAAATGCGGACAAACCCTTCGTTGTAAAAGAATGCCTACGCCACGGCGATGGGGAGCGGCGCCGAGGGATGGCGGCGCTACCTCGAGCGGGTTGAAAGACGTCACAAGAACGTAGAGGCGCAGGTCAAACTAGAGGCACGGGCATGAGGCACGATGCGGGCGGCGCGCCAGAAGCACCTTGAATCCATCGAGCAAGAGCGGGTTCTCAATGTACTTTTGCACGACGACGGCGTCGCCGTACGCGACTTGGCCGAGGTCGTTGAGGAGCGAGATGCCGCGGCCGCGGGACAGCGCGACGGGCTTCATGATCCAAAAGTTGTGGGTCGCGCCGACCGCGTCCGCGCGGCGCTTGAATGCTTGAACAAACGGGATGTAGTCGTGGGGCAAGATGAACGTTTCCGGCGCAATGTCAAACGCGGCTTTCATCTTGTCGCCCATGGCCTACGCACGGGGGGTTCGTCGGCGGCGCGCCGTCGAGTGTTTTGCACCGTGAAGCGCTGGAGACTCTTCTTCAGTTGGTCTTTTCGAGTCAGCGCCTTGGCGCCGGCAAAGTGGTTGACCTTTTGCCACGCAAGCAGCGTTTGCCGCTATGATGCCGCGTCAACAAGAGCGGTTCATCGAAGGAACGGATGGCGTACGTCGACGCGGGGCTTGCTCCACGTCCATAGGAGGTTCCATGTCGTGCTGAGCCCCAAGTCGACGGGGAGTTCGTCCCAGTCGGGAAGCTAGACGATGCGCCGTCAGCGCGCGGCGCCACGAACGACGCGTGTCACCTTTTGGAGCGCCTCGACGACGATGCCGACGACTTCTTGCCTCGCTTGCGAATGGATGCGGAACTGCGCCGTGTACGGCGTGCACTTGGCATCGAAGACACACGACGAGTCGATCGGGCGCGACGTCTTGAGGAGCCCTGCGATCAAATCCGTCAGCGATGTCAATGGCGCACGCAGTCAGTCGCATGCCATGGACGCCAAACACTGTCGCATAGTCGTGCATGATGTTGGTCCAGACAGTGTACAGCTTCAATTGGAATCGAATCGCGACGTCGCCGTTCTGGATGATGTCTTTGGTGTGGGTCTTGCCGCTGTGCTCTTGCGCGGCCTTCATCCGTTCGTAGAACGACGTCATCGTGCAGTAAAAGTTTCGATAGATGGACGAGTAGTCGGTGACGGGCTTGGACGGCATCTTGACGAGGGGCATGACGACGGGGGCGGTCGGCGGACCTTTGGCGGACTGGTGGCGGGACGGTCGCTGGGGGCGCGCCGAATCTGCAGATTGGCCCTTGGCCAGAGGCAGATGGGGGCCGGAGGCGCGATGGCACGACCGAGGTCGCTGCGACTTGTTGGCCCCACGAGTAGTGTGTGCTTCGGTAGCCACTGGACACGCACTGGGGGTAGACAGCGACTCGAGGGCGCAGTCGACGCTAGCTTGGCACAACTGGATGCACGACCTATCGCGCATGAGGTTGGACATGATCGTCCTTGCGCGGTCGGCTGCCGATGCGTCGGTAGCAGCAGCGGTCGTGTCGCCCCGGGACGTCGGGGGGATGGCTGGCGCATCCGAGCAAGTGAATCGGGTCCCGTTCGCCCCCCCTTCCAGTCGGTCTGGTTTCGTCGCATCGCTTGGCTCGTCGGTGATGTGGGAAATCAAATTGCGCTGGTCCTGAAACCACTCTGGCAGCGAGGCGGTCGGCGGCGCGGCGGTCGGCGACTCGTCTACGGCACCACATGAGCCCCCTTGGCACGACGTCGCGGTACCTTTCATGACCAAATACACCGTTGTATGAAACGACGACCTGTCGTAAGCAGTCTCACACGGCGGAGAAGCCATGACGTCGTCATCGCCGCCGCCGCCATCGGACGCGTCGTCGCTGCTGTCGTCTGGCGTTGAGCCGGCCGCCGCCTCTGGTTTGCGATGGGTGACGTCCGCCTCGTGAATCTCGTGTGGACGAGGTTGGCTCGATGTGTCGGGGGCCTCAGGCACACGCTCGTGTGTCTCTGGCTGACAGCGCAGATCCAACGCGACGTTGGGCTCAGGCTGGAGTGGGGATGCGGCAGCCTCTTGGGTCGGCACGTGTGTGGCTGTCCGTGGCGTGCAGCTCCTCAGCGCGCGCAGGTTGTCTTCGGCCTGGACGAGGCACAGCTGGGCGTTGATGCGACGGATGCGCTCGTCACCGTCGACGGCTGGATCGACCGCGGGCTTTCCCGCGTCGGGGACGTCGGCGCATGGGTGCCCAGCCGCCTCGATTTCTTTGTGTGCAGGCGCAGCACTATCAGCATCAACGTACTCCTCGTCCGAGCTAGACGGGGCGACATCGTTGACATCGTTGTCCGATTCACTCGAGTCGTCGTTGGCGGGTTCGGAGGCTGCCGCCGCGACTGCCGCGGCGGCTTTCTTTGCTTGGTCCTGCGCGCGTTCGCACACATGAGTGGCCCCTCACGTCATGGCAACGTACCTGCTGCTTCTTGAGGGCGATTTTCGCTTGCCGGGCGAGGAGGCGGTCGTGCGCGGCCCGCCGTCGGTCCTCTCGTTGCTTTTTTAGCAACTCTTCGGCGCTGACGACTGGCGCCGCCTTGGCCTTGCGCCGCCGCTTCTTCTTGGACGTGTTCGTCCCGAGGATGATAAACTTGGCGCCGTCGGTGGTTGCCGTCACCTTGGTGGCCTTGGCCAGCGACTTCATGTCTCGTAAAGACAACTTGGACGGGTAAACGGAGTGGGGGGGTGAGGAGGGAGCGGGATGGTGCTTCGTTGTCGGCGCTGCGTTGGGGTGTGAGGGCGGCGTTTGCATCGCGTGGCAGGATTTGCTGCGGCCTGCACGATGAAAATTTACATCAACCTGACGTTGTGGACGGCACGAACCGTCAGGGGAAGCGGCAAAGACGACGGGGGGCCTTGGCGCCACGGCATTGCCAGCAAGGAGGTCCGCGATGCGCTGCTTCGCCCGTCTGTCCTCGAGCTCCGTGACGACGGTGGCAAGCTGCTTCCGGATGTACTACATTCATGCTGGCAGTCAACCGTCATGCAGTAGCGGAAGGGACGTCGCACGTGGCCAAGAGCAACGTCGTCCGGGTGGTCGGGCGTCAGCGAGTCCGCCAGCTTGACGAGTTGGACGCGGCATTCGTTGAGGCGGGACGTCGACATCCTCGGGATGACATCTAGCGGCACGAGAGGAAAGTTTTCCATGTGCTGGTCGTCGTCATATGCCATCCTTTGCTATGTCGATGCAAGTTGTTTGAGAGAGTTCGCGTGCTTCCATGCCACGTACGATGGGATCGTTGGATGGATGGTCGGCCGTCCTGTCTTGTGGATGTGATTGCAAGTGGTTGGACGCGTTGTCAATCATGACATCGATTGGCGGCTTGTGCCGCAGATCTGCCGTCGACGCGCCTCGTCGCCAGCCTGCTGCGACAGCTGTGAGAACGACAGGCACGGCGACATTTGCTTGCCTGTCATGTCGCTGCCCAACATGAAAACGCGTTACTAGGGCAAACGTTGGCCGCTGGAGAAGTGAGTGCTTCCGTGGCACGGTGGCAGGAGATCTATGCCTACACAGACACGCGCCGTCACCTCCAACGGCCTCGCCGCCATGGCACCCTCACCGCCTGCATGCGAGAGCGTAACTGTATCGTGGGGAGCCGTTTCGGCATGAAAATCGCAACTTTCCCCTGTGACCTTTAAACATCCGGATATAGCAGCTCGATGAAGATATACTTCGAAGTACTATAGTATGCACGAAAAAAATTTTTTTTAGTTGACCAGCAGTACACATCAACGATGCGAGCGGCGGCGGCGGTATGCGTCCTTCTGGCACACGCCGGGATGTCCATGTTCAACAGCAACGAGGTGTGCGAGCCCAAGACAGTCATCTGCAAGTCTGCTAAGCGGGGAGCGAAGACGGTTCTTGCGCCAAAGCCGTACGTGGACGACGAATGTGTCGCGGATTGAGTGTGGATTGTGGTTTCAGGAAGTACAAGGTGTGGGCGAACGGGTGTGGCACCGACAGCATGGGGTTCCAGCTCATGGGCGATGAACATCTCGACTTCACGGACTGCTGCAACAGGCACGACGCGGTGAGGATGTCTCTGTCAGTCGTTGATGTGACGCCGCGTCATGCATCCAGTGCTACGGGGTCTGCGGCATCTCCAAGAACCTGTGCGAGAAGAAATTTTCCAAGTGCATGAAGGACAAATGCGCGCTGGAGCCAACGGCGGACCTTCAAAAGTCGTGCGAGACCACGGCCGAGCTGTACGCGATGGGGCCGAACTTGATGGGATGCCCCGCGTTCACGGCTGGGCAGAAGGAAGCGTGTGAGTGCGTCGACGCGGGAAAAGCAGACAAGTTGAATCGAGAGCGCCTCGAGCACTTCCTAGCCCACCAAGCGAAAGACGGTGCGGCTGAGGACGTGGATGGCCTCCTGGCCAAGTACAAGGGTAAGGTCGTTCGATGGTGCGGCTGCTGCTGAGAGCTGCATTAGGCAAGGAACCCGTCATGTTTCTGCGCCTTTTAACCAAGTACCCCGACGCCATAACGCTGAAGAAGGCACGAGTGAGCGAACATGCCAAGATGTTCGAGGCCCTCAAGAAGAAAACGCAGGAAGAGGCTTCCTCAGCCGACGAACACAGCGACGTGGAAGCGCACATCGAGCTGTAAGGTGGGCAGTCGAAGGAGGCGAAGAACACGCGCGTGCGAGCGGTCAATCTTGAAAGGAGTAACGACTTAATCCAATGTGGAAGCTGCTCTTACTTCTTAATGGCTTTCCCTGGAACTGCGCTGGGTGTTCCGACCGTTTGGAGTGTGCTCGCGCTGTCGCAAAAGTACTCTGGCTTGGACAAATTCACGCCGTACTCTCGCAAACTCGCCGCGAGATCTTCCATCGTCAACGTCAGGTTCTAACGACCGGGATGATGGAGCGAAACCACGCCAGCATCTCGAACACACGTACATCTGACGTCACGTTTCCGGCTTGGCCATTCACGCGGTGCTCATGGAACAGCTTGGCGTCGTGCGCGACATCCAGGACAAACTTTTGTGCAACGAGGGCCACCATGCGGATGCTACCGATCCCTGGTCAGCAACCCATCGAGTCCAGGCAATGACGTACATGCGGGGATCGTCTGTCGTGAAGCCGACGCTCTCGAGGTAGTACGCGACGACCTCGTCTGGGATTGCTGGGGCATACCGCTGGCCCACCGCATCCAGGAACTCATGGAGCTGCCCGTCCTCCATCTTCCATGTGGGTGGCGAAATGGAACTCGTTTAAGTGCGACCTGTGGAATCGAATACCTTTGAATAGTTATAATCTCGGGTGTAACCGTTTCCACGCGCCAAGAGGCATGACGCGGCTCGAGCGCAGCGCCGTTCGCGACAACTTAAGCCTTCTGGGCAAGCACCCCATCACGAACAAGCATATCTTTACTCGGCTGGATGTGAAGGTACGCTGCGCCGTGCTCTTGTCGCACCTCAGCACGATGAACAGGAACAGAATCTCGTGTCGATCGACGTGTTGAAGGAGTTCCCGTTCCTGCAGGTATGTGCATGGACTGCATCTAGGCGAATGAAACCGCGCATGTGGAAGGACGTCGACGTGGCCAACAACCAGATCGAGTCCCTGGCGTCACTGGCGCACCTGCCATTCTTGATTGCTCTGAACGCAGAGAACAACAACCTGACGACGCTACTTGGTGAGCGCTCAAGGCTTGTCGTCGCCGATCTCATCGCTGGACGGCAGACTTTGACCCGCCCCAGTGTACGCCCACGAATGCGTGGGTCGACGGCCACGAAGCGATCGGGTCCATGCTACACATCGCCAACCTGGCGCGCAACCACATTGTGGCCATGCGAGACCTGCGGACGCACCGCTACATCCAGGACCTTATCTTGGATCACAACCAGATCACAGATATCACTGGAATCGCCGACCTCGTCTTTCTCAAGGTGTTTCCCCATCCTTTTCTCTGGACGAAAGCCCAACGTCGGCCTCGTTGGTCTAGTACTTGAGCATCTCGCACAACAAGCTGACGACGACGAAAGGCCTGACGAGCAACTTGCCGATTGAGATTTTGAACCTGTCCCACAACGAAATTGCCGACACGGCGCAGCTCCCGGGGCTCACGCGGCTCCTCAACGTCAACGTTGCGCACAACCGCATCCGGAGCTTGGACGAGTTTGGGGTAAGCGCGTTCGTGGACGAAGCCGCGATCCGTGTCGATGGATTCTCACGCCGGGTGTAGAAGTGCCGCATGCTGCAAAAGCTGGATGTGTCCTTCAACCGCATTCAAGACCTATGCGAGGTCGACGCCTTGGCCAAGCTCCGCGACCTGAGCACGCTGAACTTGACGCAATGCCCTGTAGCACGAACCACGGGCGCCATCTCGCGGCTTGACATCGTCATGTAGGTCACGCGCATCCCGTACTACCGGTTTCGCATCCTCGTGCGAACACAGCAAATCGTCATGCTGGACGGGTTCCCGGCGTCCATTAAAGAGCGGATCAAGGCCAAGGTCATTCATGGCGACGACATCCGGGCGCGCACCGACATTTTCGACTCGCACATGAAAGGCGACACATTTATCAACTACTTGGTTCCCCTCGAGCACGAGTACAATCGCGCGGCTCCCGACCGCCATCCCACGACGCTCAAGCCGCCGCAGCTGTCCAAGGCCAGCAGCTGCAAGAACATGGCCGAAGCCGAAGCGGCCAAAGCGATCTTGATGTACGTCGGAAAGTCGCAAGCTCGTCAAACTAACGATTCCCGTCGATGCGCAGCGCCCAGATCAAGATCGTGACCGCGGCGTTCGCCAAAGACACCCTGAACGACCTGCCCAAGCGGTACCCGATGTTGTTTGGCAAGTGCGGGAAAAAGCCATCGCGGCGGTCGAACGGGTCCATCATGTCACGGAAGCCGCTCGTTGATGTTCCGTCCGAGTAGCATGGTGGCATATCGTAACTCCGTGTGCGTGAAAAAGAATCGAGAGCGCTCTTGAGTACACAAAGCACACGCGTCGAGTCGTGCTAGTTAGTGGAGGCGCGCGATGGGGTGGGAGGCTTTCTACGACAACTCACTGCCGCATTCGACGGGCGGCGACTCATGACCGTTGGTTGTCATGGCAGCGGTCGCCGTGCACGATGACAACTTACTTGCGCAGCACCAACACAATCGGGAGATGGTCGCTGCCTTGGATCGACGACCGAATGGCCGAATCTTGCTATTCACGCAACAACATTCACGCGCGGCATCTCGACAATGTCACGGCGCGCCTTACCACTCTGTCCATCAAGGCCGCCGACACAACAAAGTAGTCGAGTCGCCACCCTGCGCCACTGCCGTTCAGGGCCAACGAGGCGATGGGATCGCCGCACGCACCCTTATTCTTCCGGCGCGCATCCGACCGATACGAAAAGTACGTGTACGCCTGGGTGTGTGCATGCAAGCGCCGGAATGAGTCGACAAACCCGGACGCGAGGAAGCTGCCAAAGCTCGCGCGCTCTTCGTTTGTGAACCCGGCCGACCTTTTCTGTGCACACCTTGAGCCCACTCACACACTCGACGACGCATGCCTTACGTTGCCTTTGGGATCATGGATGTCGATTTCTTCGTGCGCGACGTTCAAGTCCCCGCACCACACGACCGGTTTGGCCTTTTCGAGCTCGCGGAGGTCGGCAAAGAGCGTCGGGTCCCACTTGGTCGTTCGGAAGCCCAACCTAAGCATGCCGGCGATGACGACGATGACTCGACAAACGGGCGTCCGCACCGGTCTAACTTTTGGCCCGAGTTGGGGACGTAAGTGTGCACGAGCCAAAACGTGTCGAACTCGAGCGCGACGTACCGACCTTCGTCGTCGGGTCGGCTGTCCACCACGAGGCTAGTGCGCACGCTGAGGGGTTCGGTTTTGCAAAAGACCGCCGTGCCAGAGTACCCTGCGGCCGCCCACGACCGATACCAGTTGATTCATGGACGAAAAGCATGTGCATGCACCTTTTTGTGTGGCGCAGTTCCAGTACTGGAACGGATACTGCGGCAGCATTCGTTTGACCTGGAAGACATGGATGGATGGGAGCGGTTGTTGCACAAGAGAGAGAGAGGTGAACCTGGCCCAACGATGCGTCGTCGATCTTGGTCTCACTCAGACACAGCACGTCCGGGTCTTCGCACGCGATGTAAGCGCGAAACGAAGATTTCAACACCGCGCGCAGACCATTTACGTTCCTAACGAGCAAGCAAGCGGTGGATGTCGCGTACCACATCGACCGTTTGTACCAGGCGAGAACGCGGACCGTGTCTTTGTCGGCCGTGGCGGATGATGGGATCACGCTGTCGAACACGGCTTTCTCCGCCTCGGTGATCGGAGGAAACTCGACGTCGTCCGCTGGCGGAGTTGCCTTCTTTGGTTTCTTCAGCTGCGGTCCTGTCGGAGCCTTCAAGAATCCCCACGCTTCCGAAGCCTTGGCGGCTGCGTCAGGTTTGCCGTCGTCGTCGTCCCGACTCGCGTTTCGCTTTGCCGCCTTCGACGTGGGTGTACATTCTTCTTCTTCGTCTACGCTTGCCGCGTTGCGCCTGGACTTCAGTTCATCCTTTGCGTCTTTGACAGCCGCCGTGCGCTTGGAGGCTCGTGTCGTTGGAGTGCTGGACGCCTTCTTGATGGAACGTGCCATGCCGTGTCGTCGATGGGCGGTCAATTCCGAAATGTAGATCGACCGCGAAAGGCGGCAAGGACTTTTCCTAGATGTGAAGAAATATCCGAATTTCAAATTCGAATTGGCTCGCGAAGATGAAGCGGGCGACGAGAACGCCGCGTCCATGCGCTGCCACCATTGAACACACAGCGTGCTCATCGTCTGGCAGAAGCGGGCAGCAGATATCACCAATCCCCGAGGAAAATGCAGTCGTGATGTGCGCGACGTCGATCTAACGTGCCCTCGAGATGCCTTCTTCACGCCTGGCACCGTCAACTGCTCTTCTCCTTTGCCTCCTTCCGAACTACCATCAAGCGATCGAAAAGCCCCGCATGACGTCGACTCGATCCTTCCATAGATGGGTGGGACGCATCCACGCGCCAAACATATACTTCGTCGCAACGTTCATGGAACTTCATGTTGATCCTGCATCCATCGTGTCACGCCAGGCTGCCGTCGCTCCATGGTACGTCACCTACTCCATCGGCAAAGTTCGTTCGTGCGAGCACCCTCATGTTCTATTCGAAGTCAATGGGCGGTGGGATGGGACGAAGGCGGAGGCAACGTGTTCAAGGGTATGCACCTTGGATTTTTGCGTGCACGCTTTCAGCGTGTACAACGCCTTGAGAGAGCTCGCCACTGTCTGGACCAGTCTAAGGTGCTCACACCTGGCTCGCCATTGCTCTGACGTCGGTCTCGCTGTCGGCACACTGCATTCAGCGCGACGCGCCTAAAGCAATGCGTCGACGCATCTGCACGGCCGTCGCTCATTCATCGAGATGTCTCTGCCGTTAGGGTTCTCTTTCCTCGACTTGGATCAGCGACTGCGCAAGGCGTGTTGGCTCCCAGCGCGATAGCGACCATGACAAGACCCACCCTAACACTGTATTTGGACTACTTTTTTCTGCCCCGTTTCGCGGCGGCGGCGCTCGCTTTTGCCTTGGCGCCCTTCTTGTCGTCCGCCTTGCGCTTCATGGAGGCCTTGTCGGACGGGATGACGGTAAAGAAGTTTTCCATGCGCTGCTGGGCGTGCGACGTCTTGGCCTTCTTCAGTTTCTCGATCGCGTTCATGACGCGGTCGCCGTTGAACCCGTGCTTGTCGACGAGAAATTGACGCAGTTCGTCCACGTTCGGGTCTTTCCACTTAATGTCGACATCCGCCATGTCGATCACGTCGGGCTCGAGGAACATGGCGCGGGCCTGCTTGTAGATTGCGTCGTCGCCCAGCCACTCGTCCGGGATCGTGATCTACCGCCGTCCGTACGATGACCATCCACGCCCCCGCCGCGTGAAGACGTACCCCTTTGCTTGGGTGCTGCTGCAAATGCGCCACGTACGTTTCGATCGTCTTATGCTCCTTGATCGCCGACAGCGCCTTCTTGGGCCCGACGCCGCGAATCGTGTCGCAGTAGTCGCACCCGCACAAGATGCACAGGTCAACAAACTAGTCGCCGGGTTACAACTGCATGTGTGTGTGGTGGTGTTGGGGGTGTACCTGGTCGTACGTGAGGTCGAGTTCCTCTAGCACTTTGTCGAGCTTGATCTCCAAGATTGGCAGCTTTCGACTGGCGGCAATGGTCAGACGACGAAAGAGCACGGGCGTGCCAAACGTCATGACGTCCATGTCTTCGGTGCCAGACGCAAACACCTTGTGGTGTTTCGCCAGCGCGGCGCACGTGGCTTCGGCCTCGCATGGAGCGTTGACGAAGGGCACACCCATGAGACTAGAACGTTTGGTGCATCAAGATCTTGCGTCGCCATGGCACGAACACGTACGTGAGGAGCTCCTTGCAGTCGTCGTTGTGTTGGGGAGTTGCGCGCACGAGGCGCTTGTTGAATTTTTCAATATCCTCGACGTTTCCTTCCTCCGTCGCCGTTTTCAAGCTCTCTACAATCGCATGCCAGGATCGTCACCATGGATGGAGCAGAGCACGGACAACCTTGTGCGATTTGCCGTCGTTCGGTGCGTTTGGCAAGTTCGCCGCCCTTCAGCACGGGCGGTTTGCCGTCGAACACGTAGACAGGTTTGAGTCCATTCTCCATCAGTCGGATCGTGCGATTGAACATGCCTTGGATGTGGGACGTGACCTCACCCGCGTCGTTTGTCAGCATTTGGGCGGCGCCGCCGTGCTCGCCGTTGCTTCGGACCGCGACTAGGAACTGGTAGAGCGCCATACTAGCGTCGATGGCCACACTACGACCGCTCAGGGCAGACATCTGAAGCTCCTTCACACAGCCGGGCGCTTCCTCTGTGAGCAACTTCATCAACCCTTTGATTCCCATCGTGGTCTATGCTGGTGACTGTGATAATCAAGCGTCAACGTGGGAAAGCGAATCTATTTTCCCGGCAAAATGCTGTGCCTTTTAAAATAAATATTGTATAAAATGATAGAGGTATCATCATCAGCCATTTGCAACTTCACTGGTGCATGGCGGTTCGATGTCGGCGCGCGTAGAGTTCTCGGCGGACTCGGACCAAGAAGTAGTCGTCATAGACGATGATGATAGCGAGGAAGATGAATGTCTCGATATGTCCAACCCATTGGCGCACGTGAAGAAGGTGCCGACAACGTCATCGGCAACGCCCAGTCGCCGACACTCGTCCACGTCCGACAGTGCTCAAGACAAGATTGTGCAAGTGGTACACAACCCGGCGACGAATGGCAAGTCAGTGTCTCCAACTCAACACGTATTGGCGCCGTCTCGTGGCAAAGGAAGCATCGCATCGAACCGATCACCACCCCACGGGACAAAGGAAGGAGGGCAAGGAAGCATGACGTCTCCAATCGATCTCCCAGAGTCGGAAGAGGATGAATCGTTTGCCGAGCAGCCGCCCGTGACGTTGTCTCCACCGTCGTCGGACGTGGACGAAGTGTTTGTGCCACCAATGGCCAAGCCATCGATCACGTTGTCGAAATGGGCAAGTCGATTTCTAGCACCTCGCGCGCCAGCCGCGGTGGTCGACGAGTTGGATCTCCAACCGATGCAGGACTTCATCCTGGACGACTTCGGCACGCGGTTCCGTGGGACCACCGATCCCGACCCCGTCGTCGACGACGATGATGATGACGACGGAAACTCAGATGGAGACGACGCGTCCAACAAACTAGTCGTTGGGGCGCCGATCGTGCACAAGAGCCCGCCATCTACAGCAGCAACCAAAGACACTGCCGCGCCGACCAAGCCGAGGAAAGAATCGCGGTATTTTCGGAAGGACCTCACGACCAAGTGCTTCAATTGCGGCGAAATTGGCCACATGTCAAACGCATGCGTCAACTCGACCGTGTTGCGACCGTGCTTCATGTGCGGCTACAGAGATCACAAAGCCAACGAGTGCCCGCACCTGCTGTGCCACCGATGCAATGAACCGGGCCACGAAGCGCGGGTAAGTCGACTTTCCTGAAGCGCGTTCATAGGCTGGTCGTAGAACTGCCCAAATGGGCGATACTATCTGGACTTCTGCGGGACGTGCGGAGCTGCCGACCACGATAGCCGCGTACGGTGGACGAGTGTTGAATGACCGAGGCTGACGACGTGTTGCAGGAATGCCCGCCGCGTCTGCGCGACGCCAAGCTTGCGCGATGCATGGTGTGTTTTGAGCGAGGCCATTTGGTACGACGCTGGTGCGGATGGAAGCGTCGTCAAGAGCTGTGTAGAGCTGTGTGCCACATACCCGCCCAGCAAATAAGCGTATTTATTGCCCCAAGTGCTGCGGACCGCACACGGCCGAGGTAGTAGTAGGTTGGCCGTCGATGGTTCGTCTGACGGAGACAACACTAGGAATGCTGTGGTCGCACTGACGGCCACCGTGGCCGATCGGCTTACGACGACAGCAGGCATCGATTCAGCGACAACGGGCGGGCCCTGTATGCATTTGAAGCTACCAAGACGTGCTATAAGTGCAATGAAACAGGGCATATTGCAGCCCAGTGCTCAGCAGGACCTGCCAAGCCCCGCCACGGCGTCAAGCACCAGAGGTACGACCAGTATTTCGTACACTGGACTGGGCTCATCGACACAAGCAGATTCGACAGCGCGGACGACGCATACGGCAGCGCCCCCAAGCGACAGCGCACCCACCTCCACGACGGGCAGTCGTATGCGAAGAGGGTCTTTTCACGGCGCTGAGCGGTCCACGGGTACATTTGTCGCGTTGTGGAAACCACAAAGTGGTGACAAGGGGGAATATAAGATATTCATGCTGCAGCATATATTTCTGTTTTGATGCATATATAGAAATATTTGGTTCTTATCGTGGGGATAGCTTTATCCGGATTTTGTCCATTCCTGCATGGATGTATCCAGCGATTGAACGGGCAAAGGCGCAGTTCCTCAAGCGAGGATGCCGCAGCCATGCACCCGCATGGTGTCCAAGTAGCCACACGTTCGCATCCCATTTGATGCAATTGCCGTCCGCCATGACGTCGACACCCTTCCAGGCTGGTGACCAGTCGTGGGCGAGCCTAGGAGAGTGCCTCGACCGCGATTTGCAAAGGCTCCAGACCGCAACAACGACGTCGTTGGTGGAAGTGGAAGCAATGTTCGGAGAAATCATGTCGTTGATGAACGCATCACCTCACGCTTCCACTGCCTTGACACGGCAGAATGGGCAGATTGATGAGTCATCGCTGTTCGATCAACGTGCCAGCCCCACCGTTGCAAATCTCCAGAAAGCAGCGGTTGATGACAAAGCAACCAACACGGCGAATCGTTCTTTGGGGACCAAAGCGACGCAGACGACGCAACCCGCGGCGTGCATCCCCGACGAAGCATCTGTCCTTCCGAACAACGTCCAGCTGAGCCTCGAGCTATGTTTAACGCGGAGCTTGCGTCGCAACAAGCTCAACGACCTGGGGAAGTGCATGCTGCTTCGCCGCGTGCTTGTTTCATGGAGGCGGGTGGAACAGTGTCGAGTTGGGTGGGCACAGCGAGCCGCGACATTCGCTGAACCTAGACGTCTCGACGAAGATGGGACGTGGATGCATGCCGTTCGAGCGCGCGACGGCAAGTATGGCTTGGCGAAGGCGGTGCATGGCCAGAGGACGTGTCGGAAGGTGTTCCGTGTATGGATTCAACTTTTAGCGGGAACGAAAATTCAAACGCACGAGGTCCCAATGAAGTACGAATCGCACCTAATCGAAGTCGTGCAATCACGACGATTGGCACCCGCCTCATCCCACTTGATGGCAGAGGAAAGCGCGAGCGTTGCGGCCCGCGGTGACGTGGGCGACGCATGTCACGGCACGAATGAAGAGCATGATGGGACTTTAATAGCCGAGAGAGAACATGCAACTACACAATCGACGCCAAAATTGGGCAAGAACCAGATGAGACGCCTCAAACGCGAGCAGATATGGACATCTGTGAAGGAACGCAAGCGAAAGAAGAAAGAGGAGATGAAAGCGCTGCGCCCAGTTGTTGAACAACTTGTGCTCGACACGAGCGACGAAGCGGTGCTCATGCGGAAAGAACGCGCGATTCTCAAGCGCGAGAGCTTCCTCATGCGTGCAAACGAAGGCCCGACGATCGTGATCGATTGCGGGTTTGAACACGACATGACGAGTCGCGAGAAGAAGTCGTTGTCCCAACAAATCATGTACAGTTGTGCGTCATCGCCGCTGTCCGTGTCAACTGCCCATTCCCTTCCTGCTGTAGGTTTTCGTACGGTGTCAACAAGCGCAGCGACTCTCCCGCAACCATGTTCCTGACGTCGCTGCATGGAGAAACCGAATCCAACTTGTGCAAGATCAGCGGGTTTGGAACGTGGATTGGTGTACGTCCGTCGTCAACGGCGTGTTGAGTCGGTTCACACGACGAATGGATTTCTAGTGCACAGCGACGCCCAAGTGCTACATGGACATTTTCAAGAAGGAGAGCCTCGTGTACTTGACAGCCGACTCGCCCAACGTCATCAACGACCTGGACACGGACAAGGTATTCGTCGCATGTGCGTCACGGGATATCGGACCGTCCGTTGTAGGTGTACATTATCGGCGGCATTGTCGACCGCAACAGACTGAAAGGAGCCACGTACGACCGAGCCAAGGCCCAAGGCATCCAAACCGCCAAGCTTCCTCTGGACAAAGTGCTCGAAATGGGGCAGGCCACCCGCGTGCTGACGGTCAACCACGGTATGCCATCTCATCGGACAAGTCTCACCGTGAGTGCGCTAGTCTTTCAGATTCTGGTCGATTACACCACGGTGCGGGACTGGACGCAAGCGACGCTAAGCGCATTGCCCGAGCGAAAAGGAGCACAACCCAAGGGGGCCGAGTGATCACGACTGGATTCACCAACTTAACGTAAACACTGCAGTGCCTGCTCCAGCCGCTGGATGGCAAGCTCGACTTCTCGCGTCTGATTGAACCAGTTAACGCCGATGATGGTGTGCCACGAGCGCGAGCAAGACGTACCTTGAGGGCAGCCGCAGCAAACTTGGCGCATTCCATCGCATCATTGATGTTGTTCTGAGACCACCCGCCAGTTCGACCGGTGGCAGGCGGCGGGCTTTGTCGTGGGGGCTCTGCGTACGTTGGTTGCGTGTACTGTTGCGGAGGTGGGGCATATTGGGGCGGCGGCGTGAATGAAGGAGCGGGCGGCGCTTGGACCACTGGCAAACACTCGCGATTACGGACGTCACGTCACAGGTGGCAGTACCAGATGGAGGCGGTGGGGTATACCGGGGTTGTTGATACTGAGGTTCGGCAGGTGGAGGTGGTCGTTCTTGAGGTTGAACCTCGTAGCTCAAGGACGCCAAGTTTGGGAATTCAGGGACGCTGGGCGGAGGAGGGGACGGAGCTGGAACGAATTGTTGCTGGGGTTGAATCTGCTGGACAGGCGACGGAGCAGGCGCGACGCCATCGTCGTCGGGCGTGTTCGGAATCTAAGAGTATGGTAAGCAGCCGCGAAGTATCGCTGAATAAACTCGACGTTGCACCTGTTCGCTGGGAGCCCCCGGTGTCGGGGTACGACCCTCTTTGATGGCTTTCAAAATGTCGGCGGCTTTGAATTTGCTGTACTTTGTCTTTTCCAGCACATCTTCGCTGGGCGTACCAAACTGCTTCAAAATGTCAAAGAAACTGCCAGCCGCGTAAAAGGTACGAGCGGTGTTCCTGCACAGACAGGGTCAATCCAGCACGAAGGTGACGGTCGTCACGCACTTGTTGGAGCCACCGCTGCGGTCTTCTTCGTCAGCTCGCATGAAAATGTCGTATGCAAAGTTCTCGCAGATGATACGCCCTTCGTCCTGAGTGTGCGCCGGCAGCGAGCTTTTCTCCAATTCGAGCGCTTCCATGAGGGAAAGCAAATAATTGGTCGCTTCGTCCGACGCGTCATGTTCTCGGAGCTTGATCCCGAGTTCCATGGCATATTGTCGGCAATAATACGCCACCATCTTGCTCTCGGGACGACTTTTGTCCCGATCAAGTTCCTCCGCCCGCCGAATGAACGGCGTGACGGCCTTGAATGTCGCGGGGATTTTGCTCGCCATGGTCGTCCGCGGCGCTCTCTTCTTTCGAAATGGCCGCCTTCTTGTCCAGACGCTTGCATTCATTCCGTTCGAGAGTGTTGGTGTCCAACCCCACAGACTGTCCAGCAAAAAAAACTATTTCAGCCAAATATTCAAAAATATTTATGAATTACGAGAAACCCAATATATATTTTAACAACGCCCGCTGACATGGATTTATCAAGCGGTGCGCGAGCCACCCGTACTCATGCGTGCCTAAATACTTCATTGTTGCGCCGTCGTGGGTTGTCAGAGGGCATTTGCCGAGATTTCCACCGTGATAGAAGCGGGCGGCGACGCAGGGGCGGCCTTGAACAAGCCAGGGATGCTCTGTCGGTCCTTCACACGCAGCGGGACGGAATCAAAGCACTGGTACACGGGGGGTTGCAACGGATTCGGTGGGTTCTTGTAGCACGGGATGTACGTGTCGACGAGGCGGAACATGACGTGCACGACGCCGTTCTCGAACGGGGCTTCAAATTGCTTGTCGCAGTCACCCACAAACGCATCGGACCCATACGTCGACGGCGAGCACCAAAATGGAATCCATCCGATGGTCCCGCCCGCTTGCAAGTGAGCGCCATCGATCGAGACGACCAATTCTTCGTCCACCATGGCGTACTCAGGCTCCAACGCCACAATAGTCGGTTGAGGTGACAGCATAGACTGCACGACTACAGACGACGTCGTGTACTGGATGACTACGTATGTGAAGATGGCATATCTACATGTGTAAACTTGAGGCATCAGCGCGGACAGGGGAAAGGACGACCTCGACCACTTGTGGTAAAATTTGAATAGGAGACCAACCGATGCAACTATCATGGCGGCTTCAATGATCGGTCCGAGACATTCCCGAGGCATCAAGATCGGCCACTCGGCGTCGACGCCCCCCCCTTCCACGATGCCCTGGAACCACTTGAAGCAGCACCCCGTCACGTCTTTCGAGACATGCATTTCGTGGGCGCAATGATGCAGTTTCCAGTAGAGAACGGCCACGTGTTGGTGAACGAGGGCGATGTTTGCCTCCATGTTTCGCGACGGAAATTCGTCGCACAAATTTCGATACGCCACAGCGACGATCAACACGATCGTGCACGCATTGAGAACACCTTGCTTGATGAAGCTCGTGGGTGAATTGCATCCCAAGGGCCACATGCTGCGCAGATATGTGTGAGATCCACATGGTGTAGAATAGGGCCGTCGTACTCTGGTGTGTAAAACCGCTGGAACGGTGCGCAAAACAGCACGATGAACGGCGCGAACAAAAGGGCAACGACTGTCCAGAACACATGAGCGATGAAACCAGATCGGCTCAAATATGCGCCGTCGTGGCGACTTGATGTCACTTTGGAACTTTTCGGCGTCCACTCGTCATCGTCGTTTCCATCACCGTCGTGATCAATGGACCTGACGTACGCGTCAAGCCAGTCGCTCCATTTGGGTTTCCGCTTCAAGTTCTCCAGGCGCTGCTCGATGATCTCATGAGACATGAGGTCAAACCCGCGGTTGCTCAGCTTCACTTCCAGGTCATGGTCGTGGTCAGTGTCTACTTGTGGTGCCGCCACTCGAAAGACCATGTTTGCGTTTCTGTTTTGAACCTTCCCATGACAAATTTGAATATTTCGAAATACTTTACAAAACAATGAAATTTTTGAGAATAATTGGCAAAATGTAGCTTGTCAATTCAAAATCCGGGTGGAGTTTTTCATTTTCAGAAACGTAGTGCGCGCGAAGTCCGTGCGACGATGGAAAGTTCAAGGAGCTCGTGACGACCAAGACGAAGCATGCAAGATCCACGAAGGTCCCGTATTCCACGGAACGTCTATGGCTCATGATGCATCGCGGAATCGTCATGCCCAGCGACGGCGCCTATTTGTTTTCTCCTGTGATTCTCGCTGGCTGGTGCGTCGCCTCCCTTCACACTCCTTCGTCGACGGCAACTTCAAATAAGGAAGTCACTGCAGCAGGGGGGGCTATCGTGATGCAGTGAAGTGCCGAATGCGTATGCATCTATTCAATGGCGCTGGTAGACCTCAGCATAGATGTATGGACGATCGGTGATCTAAGTAGTCTCCTCACCAAGGGCGCTTCAACCCTTTTTGGTAGGTACACGTATATATATGGGATCTCTAGCGCCAAAGAGTGAAAAAATGCGAGTAGATGCCTTCAACTTATGCTGCTCGTGTGTCCCACACCTCTCTCCATTTCGCCATATCGTGACCAAGGGTCCTTCACAAGGCCGGTTGAGTCGTAGCCTTCACGACGCAAGGTCTGCACCACATTCCAGGATTCAAAATGTGATCTTTTAGACTGCGTAGCTGATTCTTCACACATGCGGGCGTTGCGATAACTACTTGGGATCAAGTTGATGATGGCAGTTGCAGCAGTTTTTCGTGAAACCGTTCGACACCGCTCGAGTTGGCAAACACTTACACCTAGCATGTCACTACCGCGGATCAAGAGCAGCAGGGAAAGGCGCAACTTGAGTGTTGATGCTAGCATTGTAGCTGCTGCAATGCCAGACCCGATGCCCTTCGCATTGAGGTCGCCTGCAATGGCCACGGATCACCTCCAAACCACGCCCTCGTCAGACTCCAGCCAACTGTCGAGTTCGTACAATTTGTTGTCGCCACGCAACTTGCCAGCCAGTGTCGATCGCGAAATAGTCGTGGATGGACCCCATGTCAAGTCGGCGGTTCATGTCTCAAGTTCGTGCTACTTGGCCTATGGCATGGTTGTGTCGTGCCTATCCACAGACAGATCTGGGCTTTTGGCATCTGAAGGTCTCACTTCAGTGGAGCTTCGAATGGATAAATTGGCTGTCAATACCAAGCAGGCGCTCGATGCTGTGGATCAAGCGATGAATGGCCAGAGTATTATGAACCTTCCATGTCAATTGGTGACGACACATTTCAAGGATTGCTTGTTCGAGGTACTTGTTTGGTTGGTCTCTCACTGGACGTCAAATGTTGTGTGTGCAGGTGATTCCTAAGATGTCCTACGATGCAACCAATCGGTTCCTCGAGGCCAAGACCCATCCCAATGCGCATTCAACGGAATCGACGGCCTTTTCCGACGAGTATTCTGATCTCAAGTTCAAGAGCGAGTCCGAACTGCGCTTGAACATCAACATTTACCAAAAGCTCCATGGCACAAAAGTGAAGTACGGACAGGTACGATAAGCGGCTCGCTATAATTCTTGGAGGGATTTCTGTAACCCGGTGCCAGGTGATCCAATTGCGGCACATCAAAAGTGGGCTCTTTGTCTCGACATCCCTTGCCAGCAGGACCTCGGCAGATAGTGTTGAGGTACATACGCTTTCAAATTACAGATATGCATGAAATTTGGTGTAGGTGCACGTTGCCCCTGGGTCGTCCTTGTCACACTTTACTCTCATGCCGCGATTCAAATTGCGCAAGACGGGAGAACCAGTGCAAATGATTGACCAGGTGAACTCCTTGTCGTATTTAATGTTGCGCTTCTGACGTTCGTCTGGGTCAAGGTGGTTTTGTCCAGCGCGGACAAGGTGCATAAAACGTCGTTGTACGTGTCAAACCGGAAGTCCCAAGATGTCAATGCGGCGCTTGTGGTTGGGTCGACTTCGTTCTCTTCGCAGTGGCGATTCCTTCCGTACGATCAGAGCAGCAAGGACGTGTCGACCGTACAAAAATATCAACAAGACTTCGGAAAGGGTCTCAAGGCCGGCCACTGCATTCGGTTGTTTCACTTGGAGATGAGTTCGTGGCTGGGCAGCCTCGGGCGAGATAACCGTGTGTGTCTGCACACTACTTTTGGCGAGTCTGCAGATGGAGAAGCAAAGCAGCCGACCATCGATGATCGCACCCAAATGGTATCTCTGTCGCTACACCAAGCGCAAATCATCGAGTATGACTGAGATTGAATGATAGCTGTCGCCAAACACGCTATGGGAAATCGAGCGCACGACCATGTTTCAAGGCGGGGTTTTGAGTTGGTCCCACCACATCCACCTCCGCCACGTTGTAACTGGACTGTACTTGGCTGTGCGTGAGCACCAACTCTACGGTCCCAACATCTGCTTGCAACCGCAACCTGAATCGTTTTTGCTATGCCCCACAACACTTGGTGGTTCTCGGTGGGTGTACACCCCCCTTTTGCTCTTCATTTCACACTTCAGTGTGCTATTTGTAAATTAGGTCGTCCGTCGGGCTAAACAGTGCTGTCCAATTGCTCCACTTAACCTCGGGTCATTACATCCATGCATCGCAAGAACAGCAGATCGAAGTCTCGGACGACGTGGACGACCGCGGGTCGTTGGCGTGCCGGGTGAACGCACTCACGGATGCCCAGGACCAGGACGCATTCAAGATCATCCCCGTTTCGCAAGCTGAAATGGAGAACACGTTGCTCTTGGCGTCGTATCGACGAGTGTTTGACAAGTTTTTGATGTTCTTTGGGTCGACAGACAACGGTGCAACCAGCCCCATGGACGAAACCATTTTGCTGGCGCAAGTTCGACGCGCCATGGATGGGTTGAAGAACTTTACGGTCAGCGAAACACAGGGGTTTGATCATATTACTGCACTGCGCCAGTCCCTTCTCCGGCAACACCGATTTGTTGCACTCCTGACGGACATGCTCAGAGCGCCGTTCGTACCATTTGGTGGCCCGTATTCGTTGGAGTACGTGTCTTCATTTTACATTGACACCAAGCAAGACGACGAAATATTCGACCTGGGTGGGATTACCATGACCTTGGACAGCCCCCCCCAGTTACCAACGTCGCCAGCCAATGCGTCATGTGGCGATGCAGCCGACATTCCGTCCAAGTTCCGTCTTTCGGTCGCCTCCATGCGAACTTTGAATCGCGTCATCTGCGAAATCAACGTGCTTTTGTTTCGAATCTTCTACTCGTCGCGAACGTCGGATGCGGCGTCGTGTCGCCGCGCGCTGCCTGTGTTGGTGCAGTTTCTCGGACACAAGTTTCATGCGTCGGTACCGCTGTCGTACTTGATCCAGGAAAAATTCTACTTGTCCGAGTCGTTCGCTTCGTTTTCGTCGCTCATTCGCAACTTCCTCAACTTGATCAAGACTCAAGGCAAGTCGGCGCGGTATGTGCAATTCCTCGTCGTACTGTGCACTGCGGACGGCCATGCGATCCCAAAAATCCAGGAAAAGATATGCGAGCTGCTCTTTAATCCACTTCACGGATTTACGGACGCGGTGCTCCTAGAAACTCGCCCCTTAAGCGGCTCGTCGGGGTTTGAAATCTGCATCCCCTCAACAGCAAACGACGGCGTGGAATGGATGCCTTTGGCTGAATTCTACGAAGAGTACTACGAGCTTGAGCACCATTCGACATTAGCGCCATACTTCTACGGATTGCTCCAACTGTACGGCGCCCTTTGCATGGACAGGAACTACATGTGCATCAACAGCCTCAAAGAAAAATTTCCCCGGGGTTGTCTCGTCGCGGCGATCCAAGACTCGAAGCTGTCTCGATCGATTCGAGCAGTCTTGCTCAATTTACTCTTGGTACTTCACGTGGATTGTGAGCCACTCAAGAGTGTGCCGAGCCCAAATTACACGCGAATATGGAGAGATGTGGTCACGGCAAAGGCGACAACGATTCCGATGGCGCAAGAGGCATGGTACACCACACAAGACTGGATGTTCTTCGACAACCTCAAGGCGATTCTCGTGGGCCAGTTGAACAAAATGGACGGATATATTGTCATCGCGGAGTTTCCACAAAACACGATGCTTCTCGCTATCGTACGAACGTGCAAAAAGCTCGTGGAGTTTGGGCTCTTTCGAACGTTTGACGAGTTGTCACAGCTTGTGCAATGCCTCGTGCGGCTCTTGGACTGTCGCACGGACACCTGGAACAACACTGCGCTCAAGTCACTTCGTCAATCGGATGCAAGTGCATTCTCGTCTGGATCATCCATGGCTGTGTCCCCCGTGTTGCCGCGATCATCGGAGTCTACCAGGTTCGATCTGAACGCGCAAAACGACATCATTCAGCATACTCAAGGCAACATGCTCGACGAGGGCATCCGTCGAGACTCGCTCGACCGACAGTACAGTGCCAAACGATTCGAGTATGTACCGAACGATCGGTCTTTGCATGTTGTTACTGTCGAGTGGTAGGTCTAAGAAAACCCTCGATCGTGACCTGAAAATCTTGAAATGGTCGACAAGCAGCTCGGTGCGGAACGCGAATGCCTTTGCAACCAAGTCCCAATTCAAAATGAGCAAATGGAACCAGGTTGTGATGGATATCAAAGATGAAGTGTGTGCGATCTTGCTGCACATCGACTCGTTCAGATTGGACCACCAAATTTCGTCGGTGTTACTGGCACTCGCAAGGAGCCCTGACCATCCGGAGTCGATATGCAATAAATCAGCCTGTGATGTTGATTTTGCTCGAAGTGCCTTTGGATCTGTGAATGGCAGCGACCAGGTTGGCAAGGCCCAAGACACGTCAGAACAACTTGCAGTGGTCAGTCGAGCTATATCTCAGACCATATCTGGTGACCGCACATACGCGCTGTCGGCGTTGGCAAGGCGCTCCCTCGACACCATTTTGCTCCAAGCGCTCATGTATGAGCACCCACCACTGGTGTCAAAAGCTCTCGAGCTGCTATTGCAACAATTCAACCAACACGATCAAGTGATCAAAGCGTTGAACAACGTCCTTTTGATCGTGGACGAAGAGACGGTGCAAAACTACGATAAGCTCAAGAGCGACATTGATCAGCTCCGCCAACTGGCCGAGACAACTGAAGTGTGGATGGACTTGACGTCTAAATGTGACTACGAAGTTGCTGAGCACGTGTGCCAGTTGCTAAAAAAGCTCACTGGTGTGTTGAACGTCAGCCCCACCGCCGCCGACACGACGGCTTCCACAGAGAAGGGAGGCAGGCAAAACGCTATCATCGACAACTTCTCGAGCACTTCCAGAGAATCGCTTCACATGCATCATTCCCGACGTGGATCCCAGGTGGAAACAAAGCGCTTGCTGCGTAACTTGGATGCAATGCAAACGGTGGTCAACATGCTGCGCGACGGGTCGCACTATTTCAAGATTCAGTATCCCTCTGTGCTCAACCAGTCGGCCGACACTGTCAGCAGCCCCCAAGCCCGGCACCAATCCCTTCATCATTCTCCGCTGCAGCAACAATCCATCAAGAGGGTATTCTCCCAGAGCATGTTGTTTCTGCAAGCCATGTGCTACGAGAACGTGATGAGCCAGTCGTTCTTGGCCGAAAACATTGCTTGCCTGATCGACTTTGTTGAGGAACTCCAAGAGGCTCAGGACTTGATTGTTGAGATCTACTCCAACTACATCCCGCTGTGCAAGAGCGTCCCTGTAAAAGTCATTTCCAAGTTTACGGCTCTCTTGCTCGCGGAAATCCAAGCGTCGGCGCCTTCGCAACTTCGCTATGCAGCCTTTCTCCGCACCATCGTTGTGTGTCACGGCGAATCGATCGTTGAAAATCAAACGCTTGTGCTTTCCCAGGTTGTGAAGTCCCCAATTGTGTTAGCGTTCCTCCACAGTTGCACGAGCCAAGTGCTGCAAAGTCTGGACGTGCTGGTGTCGGGTAAAGTTATCGACACGATAGTCGCGCCATTTGTACACCACACGGAGTTGGCAGGATTGTTTTCAGCCTGCGCACGAGGCAAAGACATGCGATTGAAGGCAATGTGCGCCGGAGTCTTGCCTTTTGACCAATTGCTGCATTTGCTTGAGACGTTCTCCTCGACTGCGCTGCATTCCATCACGTTCGACTGGTTTCAGAAATTTCAAGCCGGGATTGTCGACGCGCTGAAGGATATCCACTTGAGCTGTGACGCGTTCAACCAGCATCCGTTGGACGAAGGCATTCAGTTGCGGCTCTTGATCGCTTTAAGCAAGCTGATCGTGCAATGTACGTGTGGAATAAATGAATCGCCGGTCGGTGCTCACTGAATTCTGCAAATGTCATGCATATGTAGGTACATGCCAACATGTCCACGTACTGGCCACGCACGACAACGAGTGCCGAAATCCACCCCAGCCGCACGTGATTTTTGATGGAGGCAAGGTTTTTGTCGACGTCACGATGACGTCGTATTCGGCGTACTATGCCAGAGAAAAAGCGACGCACGGTTTGGGCATGCTGTTCACGCTCGTCATTCCGTCGTTGCATTTGATTTTCGTTCACCACAATGTCGTTGTGCACAATGATCAGTTGTGGAAGTCGATTTACTCGAGTTTGTTTGCGCTTCTCGCGACGAGTATCGCGTTGCCTGTCGTAAACGCGTTGCCTGTGGACGAACAAGACAGTCTCCTCGATGTCCTGCGGGTGCTGGACAAGCTGCAACCTATCGAAGCGTGTGGTTTGGAAATGCTGTTCTACGATGTGTCGAGTCGGACGAAGCGGCCATTCCTTGGGGACCGCATTGCCGATTTTAACGCGGGGGTTGCTCCGATCGATTCTATCCAAATGCTGTATGACGCGTTCAGTAGCGTTCATGAACAATCATCAGGCACCCAAGCAACGCCATTGCCCATGGCTCGAAGCTCCACAACACATAATAGACTGTCTCTTATCAACGGCTACGACATCCATCCCGTCGCGCCCCAAGCTGTCAAGAAGAAAGGCAGCTCCGTGAACGGTCAGGCTGCGTGTTGGTGGCCAGCGATAGTGCTCAACTCTGCCAAGCGCTACTTGTTCTTGAAGAACGATCGAGGCCAAGAGATGGCCCAGCCTCCACATCGGTCCCCCAGGTAATCCCTACGGTCATCATCCACCCCATCTACCCGTTCAACTTGACGACATTGAAATGTAGGCAAAAACAAATGGAAATGTTTGTGGTCAAGGTTGACCACGAAGCGGCGATGCTGGATCGATACTTCCAGTTAGTCCAGAACGATCCGTGCACGCAAGCCATCATCCAAAATGAGTTGCACCACATGATCATGCAGATCCTGTCCGTGGAAAGTGCTCTCAAACACGAGAGCGAAACCATGACGGATGTGCCGAAGACGACAACTACCCTCGATGAGATTATCCTGCGCCTTGTCGAACACTTCAAGGTACACGACTCTAGAACGTCACGACGCAATGGGTTTCGACATTTTGGAATCGATAGCTGCTCAAATACTCAAAATTCTCCAAGGTCAGCATCATCTTGCTCGACGTTTTCAGGTATAAACGATTGGAGAACCAGTCCCTACGGCGCCTCAATTCATGCACAGCCACATGATCAAGTCCCAAGACTTGAACAAGCGGCATCAAATGCAAGTGCGGCTGGACACTCTTGGCCTAACGTCGTTGGTGGTCACTATCATCAGCTCGACCACGGATTCTGTCGTGTTTGACCGATGTGTTGAACTTGGGATATCTCTCCTTGATGGCATGAATGCCAAAGTCCAAGAGAATTTCTACTCGATTTGGGTCGACAGCAAGAGCACACGATTCTTCGAACGTATCAAGCAGCGCATTGACAAGGTGATCACCTTTCGTCGCTTCCATTGGCAGGCTGATGGCACGGCTACGGTAGGCAACGGAAGTGGTGCGGCAAAACCAGGACGACGATGTCGAAGCCTATTCCATGAAACGCCACCGCGTCTGGATGGACAACGTCAAGGTCTTCAACACGTCCGATCCGAATCTGAACATTGTCCAAGTGTTTCGGTTTCTCCAGCTCTTGTGCGAAGGCCACTTTTTGAAAATCCAGCGCTACTTTATTGCGCAACCAATGCTGCACACCCAAATCAACTTGGTCGAAGCCACAACGAGCTTCTTGCTCGAAGTCCACGGCAGCATCAGTTCGCCGAATCTCAACATGATTAAGCAACTGTTTGACACTGTGACTGAATTCTGCCAGGTACGACACTACGACCTCAGCTAATTCGTCAACCGTGTGGTGCAAGGGTCCATGCATCGAAGCTCAAGAGTGCATCGCAAACTACAAGTTCATCTCGGCCGTGAATGAGCTGATGGCGCTCCTTCCGCCGAGTGGGAACGTCGATGCCCTTGGACGCTTGCGGCTCTTGAAAGGCTCCATCGTCATTTCGTTGTTGAGCTTGATCGAAGGGCGTACTGACACGATCATTCATGACCGGTTGGTCACCGAATTGAATTTCGATACTCTCAAGGACAACTTGGTCCGAGTGTACAAGTACTTTGTGTCGCAATACAAAGTATGTCTGTGTCCAGCGCTGGTTCAGTCTTGACGGCATGTCTTTCCTAGGGCGTTTACGATGGCAATTCGTCCTGCAGCACCGACGCGTACTTGACAATGGGGTTCAATTTGCACATTTTAATGCAACACCTCAAAGAGCACCAGCCCCAGTTGGCGCTTACTCTGCAGCCCAAGCATGTCAACGTGGGGAGGCAGCAACAGAGCGAGGCGTGCAACCCGTTCTCGCTCACATGGCTGAAGCAACTCGCGACAAAGGCCCCCGAGACGAGCAAAACGAGTGCCCACGTCGACGATAAGGACGTTTGGTAAGACCCCTTGCAAGTTCCTTGGTATAGGTCCCCATCCTGTCGTCGCAGGTATTCGCAAGCGTACAACTTTTTCCAGGACAAGTGCGGACGCGTCGAGATCATCTGGCGTCGAGACGACTTGACCCATCAACTGGTCCAAATCTACTTTCCCGTCCATCCGATCTGTTGCTGCTTGACCGAACGGTCCAAGCATCGACTCCACGCAACGATCAACACGACGGGAAGCAACAAACTCGCCGATTTCTTCTCGCGCATGCCGACGCTGTTGCATGAGATGGAATACCATAGCCAGCTCTTGCAACGGCACTTGATCACGCGCCTGGCAGTCCACACCACATCCATGCAAAAGCTCTCGTTTGCGCTGGCGTTGGTCCTGAACGGGATTGTGCTCGCGACGTTTCGAGCGCGCGACAATGAGTCCGACCCAGTCTTGGACATCCGCACCGTGTTTCCCGGGCACAGCGACGATGCGGCGGACGAGCTCCACGCGGCGCTGCGCATCCTTGGCACGTGCCAAGTGATCGTGTGTTCTATTCTGTTTGTGTTATACTGTGTCCACACTGCGCCAGTTCTTGTCATGGAAAGATGGTACCAGCGGCGGGTCAAGCTCAAGGACAGAGCCGTCAACGACCCGACTCAAATCAATCGATTCGAGTGCGATTCAAATGACAAAGAGTCGTTGCAAGACGTCGAAGATCTCTTGCGGTCGCTCGGGGACCGCGACGTTGACGTAGGCTCGACCAAGCCTGAAGTGGTCGGGCTAACGTTGGTTGTAGGCGACGCAGCCCACCCACAGCTTTGGCACCAACGCGGTAGCCACCGCCTGGATTGTGCTAGGCGATTCGTACTTGATCTACGTTGGGCTTCTCGTGGGGTTTTCGATCCTTGGCACGATCATGAGCCCGCTCTTCTTCTCGTTTCACTTGCTGGACGTTGTCAACCGATCGCAGGTGTGACGACGTGGCACCGTCGTCAATCACCCCGTTTCGATAGGATCTGAAGAGCGTGCTCCAGGCGATATTTCATCCCGGCAAGGCGCTGCTTCTCATCTTGGCGCTGTATGTCCTAATCGTGTACATCTTTGCGGTCGTGGGGTTCTACTACTTTCGGTCCGACTACACGCCTGAAACCAAGACCGACCCGACGGCTCCGCTCCGGTGCACCACGTTGTTCCTGTGCTTCCTCACGTCGTTGGACGAGGGGTTCAAAAACAATGGCGGGCTCGGCGGGTACCTCGCTCCACGCGAGCGAGGCACGGACCCGCTCGCGTATCCGCGGTTGATGTACGTTTGCCATGGCTGGTTGCCGTTGTTCTCATGGCACGTCCTGCGTAGCTTCGATCAACTGTACCACGCGATCCTGATCATTGTCTTGATCAACATCTCGTTTGGGCTGATCGTGGACACGTTTGCCACGATTCGGACGTCGCACAAGGAAAAAGTCGACGAGCTCCACGACCGGTGCTTCATCTGCTCGATCGACGGGTACACATTCGACCGGCTCACGCGGCGCGGATTCGACTACCACACGCACATGGAGCACAACATGTGGCACTACCTGTGCCTGTTTGTGCACATCAACAAGAAAGATTACACGGAATACAACGGCATGGAGCTGTACTTGGCGATGCGGATGGCCAAAGCCGACGTGTCGTTCTTCCCAAACCACCGCGCGATGGCGCTGGAACGAGTACATGACGTGTGGAGCGACGACGCGGCCGAGCCGACGGCGCACCCCGCGCAGCGACAGGATGCTACCAGTCGTCCCGACGCGAACCAGCCACCCGGCAACGCAAGTCTCTTCGCGCCACCGCATCACACGGTCGAGAAGCAACTCGGCCAACTCTTGGACGCCCAGCACGCGATCCGGGACAAGCAAAACGAGATGGAAACGGTGCAGCGACAATTGCTCGTTGCCCACGACAACGTGATGAAGGCGCTGGCGCGATGGCCCACCGACGCCGCCCACACTCGTCCGTCAAAGCCCATCCAGTTTTTCAGCCAAGACGAGTAAGCAACCGCGGCATGTTACACGTCTAAGTACCGAGGCGACGCTAACTCGACCAACGACGACGCGACCTGCGTCGCTTCGTACTTGCATGGAAAGTTGTCGAACTTGGTGCTTAACGCGAGCGCGGTCCACAGGGGCGTTACGGACCTACACGACCGACATGAGCTCATCCGACATGAGCCCATCGTTGTCGCGCGTACTCTTGCCGCACGCGGAGGAGCGCCGCGTGGGTGGTGGTGTCCGCCACGACAGACAGCACGTCGAAGTTGTGCGCGGCGACACCGACAGTGCCGAACAATTGCTTGATGCTGGACGCGATCTGGAGCTTGACCGTCGTCGGCGTGATCGCAACAGGGTCGGTTCCTTTGGGATTGGCGACCGTGCTACCATTGCGTGGTGCGTTCGAGGTGAGGCAGGTCGGGATGTAGGACGTACATCTCGAGTCGCATGAAGGCAAAGCTGTGAGGGCTGCATGTGTACGTGGCGTGGGTCGCGGCGCCGCCGCCGTGTACCCGCCCCGCCGTCGGCATTGGATGGCGAGATGGATGGGAGAAATAAATAAATTCACCACATCAGATTTCGAGGTGAATTTGTCAGGTATTTTTAACCTTTTTCGTGGTAAATATTTTGGAACACACATTGGCATCGAGGTCGAGACAACATGCACGACACCGCGGGACTCGCGGGCGTTCGCGTGCGAAAGTGGCGGAAGGAGCTCAAGCATGTCGGTCCTGGGGGGCACTTGGAAGTGCTGGCGTGGATTCCTGAAGTGCCAACTCCCACTCCAGCCCTTCAAACGACGCTTCACCACACCGTCGACACTGGCAAGTCGTCCGCGGTTGTCAAGAAGGCGCAATTCAACACGCGCAAGCGAGCTGCACCACCTGATGGTACATCAGCTCGAATGACGCGCAGCTTACGACACAACACAACGAACGGGTCTGAGCTGTGGGGTCAACTGTCATCGAGCAACTCGGTGCGGCCGCCCGCACGCAAAGAAGAGAAGAAGGGCGGCGAGGATGGACACCACCAGTCGGATGCGGCCGGTGGCCCCCCCTCACACGACACGTCGAACAACCTGCACGACGGAACCAACGACACACCGCTTGCACCATCAGACGCGACTCCTGTGCCGTCCCAGCTCGTTACCGGAAACCTGCACGAGTATAGCTTCGCAGACGACGACGACGATGACGACGATGGGTACATCTCGCCCCTGTCGTCACCAGATATCGCGTCGGCATCTCCATCCCCTGCTGCCTCCCCGGATACGTAATCGATCGATTCCCCATTAAGCATGTTATCCCACGAGTTTCTTGGCTAAGCGCTGCAACATCTTGGTTTCGTCCGACTATCGGAGACACGTGAAATCGTGGATTCCGAGACACATGGAGCGTACAGGTTCCGCGTGCCGGGGGTTGTGGCGATATAAGTACTTGGCGAGGTAGTCCAGCGGCTTGATGCTAAGCACGTTCTCCCCGCGGCTCTTTCTCATCTGGACATCGTCTTCCGCGCGGAGCAAACTCGTCAACGCTGCGTCGCAACGACGATGAGAGGGGACTCCACGTGCAACTTGCACGCACCTGGAACGAGACATGGCATGAGTTGGGTGACGAGATATTCTCGATCCTTTTGATCGGCAGCCGTCGGTGCGCTGTCGATGATGGACTCAAAGAACTCTTGCGACAGCGCCTCGTCGGACTTGAGTCGACTAGGCATGACGACACCCAGCTGAATGGTGCGGCTCTATGTCCCAATTATAGCCGTGTAACGTCTCGCCAGGCAAGAGCAGCGATGTCTTGCGCGTGATGGCACATCCCCACGCAGTCTGTGCATGGAGGGGATGCGCTTTGGGCACGTACAGCGCGCCGGTGGACACGGGCGACGATGCTTCACTTGGCGCCATCGATGAATTTTTGATGAAGCAGGAAATATACGAATATTCATGACTTTTTGTGTCAATGTTCCGTTGCTACAGCAATATGTTTGTGAATATTTTCACAAATTTTTGGGAAAAATATGATATGGCTAGTAAATTTGATTGGCTTCAGCACTCTGACAATGATACTTTTTTCTTGTTTTTTTTGCGTTGGGATCCAACGGAAGGCGGGATGTTTGCGACGCGGGCCAAGAAGACCCAGGGCAAGAGGCGTCGGGAAGTGGATGCGGAAGGCGATGACGGCGCGCATGATGGAGATATTCCTGTTCCTGTCCAAGCCGAGGCTCGGAAGAAGCTGAACACGTTCTCGTCCTCGTCAAAGAAACCCAACGCACAGGAAGTCATGGATGCCAGGTTCCAGGCGTCAACGCGACAGGCTGTCCGACAATCTTATGCTGGTGATGCGACGTACGAATCGCAAATTGACACAGAACAGGACAGGTATTCATCGTACCTCGACTATGCGACGTGAAATCATCGTGACGTGAAGAGATGCGCGTGCGATTCTCGAGAAGAACATCAAGCTCAACGCAGACGGAAACGAACTCAGCGGTAAAATCTACCAAGGTCAAGCAGGGTACAAGAACTACGCGACGAAGAAGGAAGCGTCGATTGGCATGAACAAGTACACGGGAACCCAAGGCCCGATTCGCGCGCAAACGTGGGCGCGATCGATCTGTCGCTTCGACTACGCCCCCGACATTTGCAAAGACTACAAAGAAACAGGATTCTGTGGGTATGGGGACAACTGCAAATTCCTGCACGACCGCGGCGACTACAAGAGCGGGTGGCAGATCGACAAGGAGTGGAACGAGAAAGAGCGCAAGAAGGCGCGTGCGTTGCAGGATCGAGGTGCGTCGTGCATGCGGCAAAGCCTTGACGGATTCTGTAGACGGAAAGGACGACGACGACGACGGCGAGTCGGACGATGACAAGTACGTGATCAAGAGCGACGACGACGACGAGCAATTCGCCTGCACGATTTGCCGCAACCCGTTCACGAACGCCGTCGAGACCATGTACGTCTTTCCATCGATGCAACGGTTCATGCATGGTGGTGGTGACGATGGCGGTGGAGTCTGCCCGTTGTAGCTGCGGCCACTTTTTTTGCGAAAAATGCGCGCTCAAGCGGTACAAGAAGACGTCGCTGTGCTTCAACTGCCGAAAGCAAACGAACGGTGGGTCGATACTGCATGAATTGATCCCGATGAACGTGGATGGTTGTTGGCGCAGGGGTGTTCAATGTGGCCAAGGGCTTGCGCGAAAAGGAGAAGGAGCGGCTGCAGGAGGACGAATCGGCGACGAGCGACGATCCCGACGACGCAATTGCGTCCAATTAATATGTAAGCCTTGCTGCTGTGCAAACGCCAGCCACCTCGTTGTCCTGCGCGACCAACGCACAGCATGCATCGACACGCCGGCGCCAGACTCTCCGCCGTGCTGGTGGATTTGTCGTGAATAAAGCGTTTTCGGGTTTTCGATCGAGTGAGGATTGTCCGGGGACCGGAGAGTCGTTCGTGTGTCTGCCTGCTGCGTGGTGCCAGCACGTTGCACGCAGCTCTGGCGCCATCGCATGAATGCTTCAACGAGTCCTTGATGATGCGGCTAAATTTGGAATCCATCGAGTTCGACTGTAACATTAGCACGGGCGCGATCCGATCGAGGCGATGAAGGCGTCGAAAGCATCAGGGCACTCGTCGTCGCGGTCGAGAAAGTCGTCGACAAAGTCTCCTCCGCCGACGCCGCCAGACGAGTGCTTTGTGCCAGACCATTATGGCCACCACCAGTACCAACCACAGTACGAGGCACCGCCGCCCCACGCGCTGTCATCGGTCAAACCGGTGGGAGGCGTCTTGATGGACCAGGGGCGCGATGTACTCAAGCACTTGGAAGCAAAGGAGTCCCGCATGCTCCAACTCACGGCGCTGTTGGAAACGATGAAGGAAGAGACTGCCGGAACGACCCAAGCCATGGGGCGGACGCTGGACGAGAATGCCCACTTGCATCACTTGAACCAACAACTCACGTACGAACGTCCGCCCGCTCTTGTCGGTGACAACGAGTTGATGTAGCGCTGATGTCGAACGTGCTACCAATGCCGCCGAAGCACAGAAGGCAGATCACGAGAAGCAGCTGCAAGAAATCATCCAGGTCTTCACGGACGAGAGGCGCGACCTCCAGAAAAAGTTTGAAGTGTACATCGAGGTACCGACCCGTCGTCGAGTTCGAAAGATGCCCGTCAGGCAGCGGCGGGTTGTAGAGCCGCCAGGCCGAATTCGACGCCGCGCGCGTCGCCCACGATGCGGAGGTGGCCAAGTTTTCCCAAAGCACAATCGACCTGCAAGAAAGGAATCGCCAGTTGCAGCATGAACGCGATGCGTCGCATGATGAACTTGGAGTGCGCCATGACGCTGCTGGATCGCAATTCTGACTCGTGATATCGCTAGGCCACCAAGGACCACCTCACTGTGGCCGTGCGCGAACTCGAGATGGAAAAGGAGCAGCACGGCGCGGCGCTCGCCGCAGTCACGGCTTCCATGAACGAAGCGAACGCGGAAAAGGAAGAGCTCGGGAAACTTCTCGCAGACACGTTTCGAGACCTCGAACGATGCCGCGCGGCACTTGTCGAAGGTTGGTCTGGACGACATGTAGATGATGCTGAAGGACGTCTGTAGCAAACAACAACGTGGCCCGATTGACGGCGTCGCTCGCTCAGAACGATCTGTCTTGGACGCACACGCTGACGAGCCTAGAGAAGCAGATCGTCGACAGCAATGCACAACAGCAGCTTGTTCAAGACAGCCTCCGCGCAGCGGAGAGCGCGCTGCAGGTACTTTGAGACGATCGCCTCTAGTCGTGGCAAGACGAGGACGCGATGGAGTAGGTCGAGCGGTCCCAGAAGGAAGAGCTCAACGCTGCCATGCGGGCCGAGCTGCAGCGGTATACGGACGAGCTGCACGAGATGCAAACAAATCATGCAAATGCCCTTGCGCTCGTGATATCCGACCGCGACGAGTGCCAGGTTCAGCTCAAGCATGCCCAGGACCAGCACAACGCGACGGAGAAACAGGTGCTAGTGGTGACGCGGCAGTTCGAGGAAGCGCTCCATGATGCCGCACACAAGCTTCACGCTCAGTCAGCGGACTCAGCCAAGTACCGCGCGACGGCCGAACGCAACCTGGCCGAACTCAATGCCCAATGCGTCGCGATGGCGCAGGACCTGGACGCGTGCAAACTGGCGAAACAAGCCAGCGATGCCGTCATTGAAGCCTTGCGCGCCAGCCGTGGCAAGTTGGCTGCGTTGATTGGAATCGATACGTCGTCGACGGTACTCCTTAACAGCCACCGTGGGCCATCTCGTAGTGTGATGGGTGGTCGCGCGGAGTAGATGGAGGAAGCCGTCGTCAAAGTCGAGTCGGTTGTCGCAGCTTCGATCGTCCGCGACCGGTTGGTCGAGACGCTCGAGACGAAGACGAAGGAGCTTGAGGTAGTCTTGGTGGTGTCTGAGGTGGAGGGGATTATCGACGGATGTAGCTGGAGCATGCGGCGGTGGCGGAACAACTTGCCCAGGCGCAGCAGAACCTCAGCAATGCCACGAACGAACTGGACGCGGTAAAGCAAGACTGTGCGGCGCTCGTGGTCGAGATCCAGGCGCTTACGACCACGCACGACAATGAACTCGGTGCGTTGAACGCGTCGAGCCAGCGCGCGGCGGACGAAGCAGAGGCGCTCAAGCAGTCGCTGGCGATGACAACGATGCAGTTGCAGCGGTCGGTGGACAAACAGCGCGACCGGATCGACCAGCTTGAACACGAGAAGCGGGATCTCTTGCAGGTGCTGCAAATACATCGCATCGGGGCGCGTCGTCATGGCCACAAATAGGAAGCGGAAGCGTTGAACAAGTCGCTCGAGATGGCGTACCAAGCAAAGGAGTCGCTGCAGATCGAAATCGATACCATCAAAACACGTTTCGCGACCCTCCAGTCGGATCACAACGATCTGCAAGATGCACATGGACAGCTGAATGCCGCGGCCACAACAGATCTCGCGGAGCTCAAGGCCAAGCTGGCCGACGCGGAAAGCGTGTACCAGCGAGAGCGGACGGCATGGGACGAGCAGTCCAGGTCACTCGTGGCCGCCATTGCGACGCTGGAAGGACAGGCTACGTCGTTGAACGACGTTGCGCTGCAAGCGCGGGAAGATGCCGACACGGCCAGGCATGAGGCCAAAGATCTGGCGGACACCCTTGAACGGACGCGAATCGAGCTCGTCGACGTGCAAGATCTGTGTGCCGAATGGAAGGAAAAAGCGGAGGCGCTGGCGGCGACGAGGTAACGACGAGGTGCCGGTCGGTCCTCAGACGTGACGGCGATGTTGTTGTGGCAGCACATCGGTCGAAAGCACGTTGAAGGCCGACTTGACCGCGTCGTCAAACCAATGCCTGGCGCTCGCAGCGGACAAACGCCGGCTCGAGAGTTCCGTCGCGGCGCTCGACGCGTGAGAAACAACGTTGTGCTGTGTGGCGCGTCATGGAGGTGGCGTAGACTGCACGGCCAGCTCAACGCCGACATGCACGCGCTCCGGCAGGAAAAGCAGTGCATCAGCAAACACTTGGAAGAGCGCGACGACGAGCTGCTGCGTGTGCAGGGCGATCTCGGTCAAGTCAGGGCGGAGCTGGAGAGGTAATCTCGGATTCGGGGGCGTCCTCGCGCATGACGGTCGGTGACTAGATTAGCACGGTCAAAGCAGACGCTGCAGGCCGAGTTGAGCCGGGCCGCGGACGACTTGAACGATAGTTTGCGCCAGTTGGAAGTGGTTGGTCGTGCTGTTTGGTTGAATGTGGCGTAGTTGATGCTGTGATAGCTCCGTCGCGAGTTCCGTGCGCAGGAGAAAGCGCATGCAGCCGCGGTGGAAGGGCTCCAGAAGGACTTGGACGCGCTGCGGCACGAACAGTCGGAAACTCTCGCGATGAACGACGAGCTCCAGGCCAAGATCTCAACCATCCAGAGCGCGGCCAACGCGACGATCAACGACTTGGTCGCTGAAGTCACGCACGCTGAGGAGCTGGTCAAGGTCGAGCAGGCCAGCCGCGCAAAGGACGACGAGCTGTTGCGGAGCCAGTGCAGGTGCAACCAGCGCCAACGTCTCTGTGTCGTCACCGATGCGGCGCAGATATGTCGAGGAAGACTTGAAGCGCAAAGAGATCGAGTGGAAAGATGCGACCAACATGCTCAAGCGGGAGCTCGCTGTCCGGCGCGACAGCTTCGTCACCCTCGAAACGAAGTACCAAAAGCAGAAGGAAGTAAGGCCGAGAGGGCGGCTGCATGTGGGTGCGTGATGGCTTGCCTGGCTGTAGCTTCTGGAAGCCAAGAAGGCGGAAGTGGACAAGCTGACCAGGGAGAACGAACAGCGCCAGCTCAAGGTTGCCGAGATCGAGCGCAAGCTCGCGCCGCTAGCCAACATCAAGGAGACGATGACGACGCGGCTGAGCGAGATGAAGCTCATTTGCGTACGTGCCTTCCGCCGCGGCGTGCGCAAGCAACGGAATCCCGTCCTAGGACGCGAAATTGAAAGAGTCGCATGACCTGGAAGAAAAGCTCCGCGACGAAATCGTGCGGCTGCAAAAGGACAAGCGGGACCTCGAGTCGACCCATCTGCGCGCCAAAGACGAGATGGACAGTTCGTCGGCCGGTCGGTTCGCGCTCGTGCACCAGCAGTTGACGAGGTAGGGCGCACATCTTGTCAGCACCCCACGACGATGTAGCGAGAACAAAGTCCTCAAGTCGACCCTCGACCGCACCAAGCAAGAGCTTCAGCATGCGACTGAGAACGTCGCAGCGCTCGCCCAGCGACTGGATGGGCAGCAAAAAGCGTCGCAAGCGACGATTGCCGACTTGACCAGCCGGATGCAAACTTTTGATCAGCAGTACCAAGCCGCGCTCCAGGGAATGTCGCGGGAGTTGGCGGTCGAGAAGGAACGGACGAGCGAGCTCTTGGCGCAGAAGAGCCAGCTCCTCAAGCAATTGCGCAGGCTGCAGCGACCGCCATCGAGCGACGAGTCGCAGCAGCACCAACTCGCCACGTCGAGAAACCTTTCCACTCTGCAGCCCGAAGTGGCCACCGATCAGGGAGGAGGGCAAGTGCCCAAGACGCACAGGTCCACGGGGGACTTGACTAGCTACGAAGACCTTGCCAACATCCCCGTGGCGCTCCTACGAGCCCAGATCGGACTCGACATGTTTTCGTTCGAAGAGCAGCATGGCAGCAACCAGCAGCCGGACGGAGGAAGCGCCGCGGTGCCGTCCCTGAACCTTGACAGCCTCAACACGTCCCGGTACGGCGGCGTGTGTCGAGCGCATTCGGACTCACAAGTGGTGGTCCTCAGGTCCACTCCGTATTCGCACGACATGAGCAGTCGGCTCGAATCCGGCACCGCGGTCGAGGAAGGAAGCGGCGCAAAGTCCAAGATGGCGGCGTCCAAGGCCAAAGACGCGACCAGCTTGAAGCGCTTGAAGAAGAAAATGGCGACGAAGCAAAGCGACGATCACGCGTCGTTCAAGTTGAAGGCGACCGAGTCGCTTCCGAAATTAGTCTAAGTGAACTTTGACGACGACGGAACGAGCGGAGGCAGCTTGTAGAAGTAGATGGGGAACGCAGCGTCGGCGCGCGTGCCGCCTGCGTCGTCGTCCATATGGCAGAAGTGGCTAGAAACCATGTATGGGTCCATCTCGTCAACGCGATACAAGTACGTGAGGATGCGCAGCTCCTTGTGGCGGACGGGAGACGTGGACTCGAGCAACTGCCGAAACACGTGGCGCAACCCGCGCTCGATGAGGAAGAGGAAGATCACGGTCACGTCGTCGTCCACTTCCATCTCGAGCGCATTGCCGCATCGAATCGTCACGATGCCGTCAACCCGGAGGCGCTTCGCCTCGGCTTCGATTTGACGGACCCGATCGGGGTCGATCTCCATGCCTACACACCGGGCGACGTGCAACGTGCTGGCAGCATACAGCAGCACACGACCATCGCCGCATCCCACATCACACACGACATCGCTGGAGTTCACCTGCGCCAGCGCAAATGCTTGCTGGATCACTCCCAGCGGCGTCGAATGCAGCTTCTTCCGTGGTGCCAGCATGCGCGTCGCGGTGATCTAGTAGTACTATCCATTTCTTTAGTATACCTTGTCCCCGTATTCATTTTTCATATTGGTGCTAAGAATACTATTTGTCACGGGTAGTAGTTTGTCGAATTTTGCGCGTCGGTGCCATTGGTTTGCAAGATGCTGGCCCGCGCCGTCCGAGGCCGCTTCGTGAAGCACTTGAGCACCAGTGCCAAGCAAAGCCACTACCAAGGTAAGATGCTGTTCTGCTCGCTGTCCTCTGACGTGATCCATGTAGCCTTTGTCTGGGGCGACGGCACGGCTGGCCAACTCGGACGAGGTCCTGTCGAAAAGTCTGGCGTCGCGCGCAAGTACACGGAGCTCAGTCCGCAGCCCATTGATGCGTTCAGCTCACTGAAAGCCAACGTGACTCGATTGTCACTTGGAACAACGCACAGCGCTGCAGGTACGCCGCTCCCGGCGATGTCCTTGGAGGTACTACAACATGCGCGTGTCGGCTAGTCGATGCATCGGGACGAGTGTACACGTGGGGGCAAGGCGAAAAGGGCGAATTAGGTCTCGGCGACCGTACCAAGCAAGTTGACGTGCCCACGTTGGTGGAGCACTTGAAGGATGTGCATATCGTGGATGTGTCATGCGCGGTCCATCACACGGCGGCCCTCGACAAGGAAGGGCGGCTGTTCACGTGGGGCTATGGCGGCACGTCCATGTCCGACAGTGCGCTCGGCCTGGGACCTTCCGAGGGCAAGAATGTGGCGCTACCGACACTCGTGGAAACGTTCATCGACGACGTACGGAATCGCGTTCTCCGCATTCCATCGCGTTCTTTGGGTGATGTTCGTGTAGGGCGTTCGACTGCAAGCCGTCGATTGCGGCGACTCTCACACCGTTGCGCTGTCTGCGGACGGCGAGATCTGGACGTGGGGGCGCGGCGACAACGGGCGGCTGGGCAACGGCGAGCTCATTTCGCTCGACTACCCCGAGCCCGTCGAGTTTTTCGACTCGATGACGTGCACGGCGATTGCAGCAGGCCGATCCTTCTCGCTCGCGCTGCGAGACGACGGCCGCGTGTATGGCTGGGGCAAGAACAATCGTACGTTCGGCGCGTCCCACGAGCTAGGCGACAACTCACGTCGCTCGGTAGACTTTCAGCTCGGCCTCGAAGGCGGTGTGCTCGACATCAACAACGCCATGGAGCGCATTCCGATTGAAATCCGAGGCTTTGAAGGTCCTCGTCGCCGCGCTTTCGTCTCGTCTGCGACATGATCTCATCCATGGACGTGATAGGCGAGACTGTGGTCAAGATCGCTGCCGGCACCGAGCATGCCGCCGCTCTGACGGCGTCCGGCAAGCTCTATGTGTGGGGCGCCAACTTGTGGGTGTATCCAAATGAGATTACGCCGCTCAAGTCGAAGCGGCTCGTCGACGTTGCATGCGGCGATCGCTCGACGTTGGTCGTAGCAGGTAATCGTCGCCATCGTTGCTCGCCGGTGACGGCGCCCCTCCATAGACGACGGATCGGTCTATTCGTTTGGCAAGCGCGGCATCGGCCGCTCCAACTACTTGGGCCATGGCGACACCAACCCGCAGCCGCAGCCCAAGCAAATCGAGTCGCTTGCAAACCATCTCGTCACCAGGTACAGCGCCCACCACACCCATGCTGGTTGACACCGACGGTGGCTAGCGTGTACTGCGGCTACCGCCACTTGGGCGTCCTGGCCAAGATGGGCGGCGCGTCGGTGGACTCGGACTTCTCCCTGCGCAACTAGACCATGCGACGACGGCGGCAGAAGATCCGCCAGAGCCATCCGCTCATGCGAGATGCATGCAATCGATATATATACAATGGAGGTAATATCGCAGACGGGCACACCCGCTACACGATCGCGTTGTCGACGGCAGTGGCCGGGATGTGACCGAGCGCGCGGTTGAGGCAGTCGACGAGCTTGTTGAACTTTTCCTGCTCGATCTTGGCCTTCTCCAGGTCGAGTTCGCGGTCCTTCTCGCGCATTTCCTTTTCGTGGCGCAGTTTGCGCTCGTTCTGCTTCTCCTCGAGTTCCTTGAGATGGAGCTCTTTGTGGAACCGCATGCGCTCAAACTCCAATCGTTCCCAGTCCAACTGGTACTTTTGAATCTCGATGGTTTTGGGGTCGAGCGGCGGAGGGCGCTTCCCGGTGAACGAGCCAGGCATGGGCGGCCGCTTGTTTGGGGTTGCCTGGCGTGTAGTCTGCTGTACGATCGCGTTCATGGCGAGCTGGGTCTCGCTGTCGAGGTCTCCGCCGTCGTCGATCCCGCCTGGCAATCCCATCATGTTCATCGGCAACGACGTCATCAGTCCCATATTCACGTTGCACTGGGCAAGATAGTTGCGTCGCAGGTCTTCATTCTTCGCCAGCACTTGGTACTCTTGCCATCGCACCGGATGGGCGCCACTCAAGTGGCTTCGGATGTTGTCCACTCGGAACGATCGAAAGTACTTGGTCGTGGTGAGACCGCGGCGGCGCTTGCGTTGGTTTCCCGACGGCGACGACGACGTGTCGTCGTCGTCCTTGTCGCGTACTTCTCGGCCAAACGACTTGCACAGGCCACACACGGCCAAAATAACCTCGCCCGTGTGGGGATGGCGCTCGACGACCTGCAGGCCGAACTCGACTTCGTACTTGGGAATCCAGTGGTGCCGTCGCATGCGGTCCTTGAGTTCCTTCTGCCCTTGGACACTCGGGTCGTCTTGCATGACCAATTTCGAAGGTTGAAAAAGTGAAAATAGGAATGGAGGGCCTAAATCGTGGGAAAACATCTTGGAATTTGTATACGAAGATGCGCCCAGGCTATTTTCCCATACAAAACGTCTCCATACAAACATCAAGTGAATTTTAATATCGCTGGACTCTGGCCATGCATGCGGCCGGACCGCCGCTGGTCGGTCCCCATCTCAGGGTGGACAAGCGAAACGATGCACACCGGACGAGCACGGCACAATATGCTCCAGTGATTGCGGCCGCCATGGCATCAATGCCATGGATAAGATGCCACGCAAGCTTGGATGGTTCAATGGGTCGCACCGTGCAACAACGAGCCGACGACGTGAGCTCCAGGTTACGCGCATGGTGTAGAGTCGACGTGGGCGCGATGAGCGAGTACGTAATGAGACCGAAAGAAGGCACTTGTGTGTGGAGGCTGGGAGAGTGTTGTATTGGTTTAGTGCTTACGCTTGTCTTCTTTACCGAGCGGGACTTCGGGTTGGTCAACGTAGGTGAATCTGGCCGAGTCGGTCGTCGCGAATTGCTGGCCATTGAGCGCGATGTGGAAGATCAATTCACCGTTCGCGATCGTGCCGAGCTGGGGCAGCTCGACCTTGTAGCACGGACCGGCCTTCTCTTCCTTGTACTCGGCCGCCACGTCCTGTCGAGCCACGACGACGCTCAGTGCGACGTCTGAAACATGTCGTTCGTACCGCGGCAAAGGACCCGTCCGCCTTGGTCAGCTTGCACTTCATCGTTGACGTTGTCTTCAAGAAGGACCCAGTCAAACTTAAGACGGTTCCAGCGCTGGCGAGCTGGGGCTCAATCGACCGAATCACCGGGTCGCCTAGGCGCAGCATGAGCGTCGTATTGGCACGCGCCGCTTGCCGTACGGTAAAACTCGAACGGGATCGTGGCATCTCCGAACGATGTTCCGCTCAACGCGAGCCGGATGATGGCTGGGCTGAATGCTGACGGGGGCTGGCCGTGACCAGGGGTCCCAGGGGCAGCAGCAGCGTCGTGGTGTTCATGGAGAGCGAAGGACGGTACTTGGAACGTCACGACGCGGTGGTCGGCCTCAAACATACCTGCGTGAGATTCGCGAAAGCGAAGAAGCGGCACACACCTCGGGCGCTTTCCGAACGAACGCATGGACGGTCTGCATGTCGCCGCCGTACTCGACGGACACAACGGCGTCGTCCGTGTCAAAGGCGAGGTGGGTGGCCGCTAACGACACCACTGTCCCGCCTGTGATGGGTCCGATGCTGGGCACGACGTCGGTTAACGCGCCGTGGGTGTAGCCATGCAAGGCATTCGCGAAAGGCGACGCCGGCGGCAGAAACGTCACGCCGCCGTTGATAGACACATGGACTTGTGCTTGCATCGGCTCCAATGGAACCCACGACGTCGACCGCGGCGCATTCTTGGCGCTCTATACGTCGGTCAGACAAATGAACGTGCGCGGGCCAGTCGAGCACCTCGTCGTCCGAGTCGGCCGGGTCAACAGGCCCGACCGTGTGCACCGTCCACTCGGCAAACGCCGGCACGGAGCACACGACGATGTGTTCGTTTAACTTGACAGACACAACGGGCAGCATGGCTGTGGCGACGCGGTACGGAGCCGCCGTCCTGTGGCCGCATGAGAGCCGAGCGCGTTGAATCGCACTCGAGCTTACGCGGTGTCGCACTCGCTGTAGGTGGCCTTGCACACGATGCGCCCAATGTCAAAGAGTTGGTCGATGTGAACCGCGACGGTGGCTCTTTTGTCGGTGAACGGCATCGAGTTTGGCGAGCACCGCGTGACTTGGGCCTGGGGAACAGCGACATACGTGACAAGAGGGCAACCACCCAAACGGGTCCCTTGCCTTGTGAAAGTAGACCACATGCGGCGACGACGCCCCGTGCACGTGCACCTGGTCAAAGTCTTGGCCGTTGAGCGATACGTCGAGGGTACACGGCACGAGTTGCAGCGCTACGACCGCCGCATGAACGCGTGGAAGATAAGAATTGACCGCCGTACGAGTCGAATCGAACGACGGCGGCGTGACTGTGATGGTAAAGTTGGGGCTGGCAGGAGGATCGTTGACGTCGTCATGGGGGTGCTCTTCTTGGTCGTCCGTGGCGGCGCTACGCCACACGACGGTACGGACCGACGGCATCATCGATCGATCGACCTACCGTCCGTACTCTGCTTCGACAACGATAGCCGCGAACGACGAATGGAGCGGCACCCACTTGACGACCGGTCGCGTGGGCGTCTTGGGCTTGTCGCCGGTAAAGTGGAGGGCGACGACAGGAGTGTCCCCGTGAGTGATCTCGTCATGCGAAATGTGCGCGATCGTCGGGGCAATGTACACCTCGAATCGGTGGCCGTTCGTGGTGAAGTGTTTTCCATTCATGGCGACTTCGACGGCAAACTCGCCGGCGACGCTGAATTTGGGCAGGACGCATGATACCTGCCAGTGGATCGGCGGCGGTGACGCGACAGTCATGCGCTCGACGAGCCATGCTTACCACACCAGTTGCCGGGTCGAACGAGGCGAGCGCCGCCCGCGGTAGCCGGCCCTCCGTCAACGGGACAAACCGTACTGTGAGATCGTCGCTTTCCCAAAACCCCGACCCAAACACACGCAGCATGCATCCACCCGAAAGCACTCCGCACTGCGGATGCAGCCCCGACACCTGCGCGAATTCGAGTGAGAAGCCAACGACGTGAAGTAGCGACCGGACCCAAGTCGGAGCAAACACAACGAGGTTGTCCCACGAGCATGCGACAGCCTGGACGTAGACGTCTTTCAAGTCCTGGACCAGCGTCGGCGCCAGGACAGCGTCCAATTTGGCGGTCCCATGGGCTAGTTTGCCGTGCATAGCGTTTCCCCACGTCATTAACCGACCACTCCCTACGACCACATGATCAACAACAACGTTGGATGGACTGGCCCTTGTACTTGAAATGGCCGCCGAGTAATTGCCACCGGCGAATACATGCGCCACGGGGACGCAAGCCACCACTTGCTCGGGAGTAAAGCGTGTCTTGGTGTCGCTGGCCCCTAGCTGCCCGTACTGGTTGAACCCCCACGAGAAGAGCCGCCCGGTCTGCGTCATGGCAAGAGTGTGGGCCCAGCCACACGCAATTTCGACGAACGGGTCGTCCGGGGACTCGCTTGTCAGAGCCAACGTCGGCTGAAGCACCTTTGTGCATCGTCCTGGTGCGAATCAGCACAAACAACAACTTCTCGCCGTGCTCACCTGTGCCCAATTGCCCCGCCTGGCCCTCGCCGAACGCGTAGATGTCTCCATGGACGGTCAATGCCACCGTGAACTTGTCGCCGCACGCGACCTGCTTGCACTTTTTGTTGAGGAGCGGCGCTACGTGTTTGGGGCGGTGAAACACGCCGTTGAGCTTTTCGTTGACGGCACAGGAAGCTGAGGCGCTCGTGTGGCCCAGTTGGCCTTCAAAATTCCGCCCCCACGTGTACAAGTCGCCCGACTCGGACAGGGCCGCCGTGTGAAACCCCCCGCACGCAATCTAGGCCAGTGAGTCGTGATCTGCACAACGCGACAAGTACACTCACAGACTTGAACGTGAGGTGGTCGAGCTGGCCGATCTTGACAGGGTGCTCCTTCGCCACGATAGTCCCGCCGAGGCCAAGTTGGCCAAATCGACCGTCGCCCCACACAAACACGTGGCCGTCCAGGCTGAGTGCAGCCGTGTGCGCCTTGCCAAAGGCCAATTGGTGGATTTTTACGTCATTCAGCGAGTTTGCTAGCCCTGGAATCTGTAGGGCGAATGTTCAAGGTGGAAGAGCTGGAGGAAGCACAATCGCACCTCGGGTGACATCCACTCGAACTCCCACCCATCACACAGGGCCAATACCGACGCGTAGTTTCCATACACAGCCTTGATCTTGCGGCCTTGAGTGGACACGTACTTCTTGCACACCCCATTCGACTGCGCGAGAGATCCACTCAAGTACAGGTGCCCTGTCGTCCCTTCCCACCCCATCGTGGCGTGCCAGCCGAACTGTGTCGTTTCGCCAAAGGTCGCACGGATGTC